CACAGGGTTTGTCAACGGGACTGTAGTCCCAAAGGATAGCTGGGGATTATGGGTAGTGTACTGTCTTCGGCCATCCTAAACTGAATGTTTTTTCGGATATAATATCGCATTAACAACACCACATCTGGCTTCACAGAGATCTTCTGTTACTGTCCTTTCTTCTTAGAGGAAGTACAGAAACATGTAGCACTTATATACTAATAAAGGACTGGCTTATCTAAAGCCAGTTGAGTAGCACTTGAAATGTTTGGCTCTATGAAACCTGATGTACTTATATGATTCTGTTTTCTTCAAGGTTGTGTCTTCCTGGTCGAATGTACTTATTGTAAGTCGCTTTGGATAAAAGCGTCAGCTAAATGCAATGTAATGTAATGTAACTCTGGATTTGTTTTAATGTTTGAGGTGCAATAAACGCAACCTGATCTCACCAGAATGCGTGACTCCACCACGCAACCTTAACACCGCATTGCGTGGTGGAGTCACGCATTCTGTTACATTTGCGTGTCGGCACCACGCAAAAAACCCCAATGTAAAGTGAATGAGGCTCTTTTGTCGTGGTGCACACACGCATTTCTACAACGTCCCGCAGTGAGCTTTTATCCTATAAAACGTTTTTAAAAATCTACTTTATAGCTTGTAGTAACTCACGGGAGGCTTCTTTTATTTGATTTGTATTCATAATCATTTTTATTTTTCGTCAGAATGTATTATGGTGCATTATTTATCAATTTCTGTTCTCAAAAAACAGTGCATTGTGTGTAATACAACTGTGATTTTTATTAAATTACTTAGTTTTTAAGGAAGGCCAGAGCTTCAGCTGTGTCAAATAGATTGTTCCCTTTAGTTTACGTTATTTAAAAGACAATTATATTCCTATTTGATCAATAAAGGGGTATTGTAGGCCAATATTAGTCATTTAAAACATATACAATGATGATAATGATGGTGAAAACCACTCCCCCCACTGGCTACTGACTGTATTTGAAATGCTTTTTGTTTAATAGTAATAATAATCATTTTTATTATAACAACAATAAACCAGAAGAAGATTCCGTAGTTACCCCGGCAACGTTACGTCGCGCTTTACGTTAACGTGACGTAGCCACATTACCCACAATCACCTCACTTTCATTAATTTCATCCGATTTAATCTGACAACGGACAACAGTAAGTATCTAAAATCAAGGGGAGTTTATTTCTTTAAAACACGAAATAATATTGCTTTTATTTATTCCACTGTAGCACAGTCTCTATAGCGTTTCATTCCTGGATATTAGTTTGAGTTTTGTAGTGTGTTTAGCTTTTACAATAGGCCAACTAGCGGCCACGTTCAGCTAGCCTCCGGCCTTCCGGTCAACGTTTTGAGCTGGATAGCATTTATAGTTTATACAGCTAAATTACATTAGCTGTCACCGGCACAGTTGGATAGTGGAGGTGCGTGCTAGAAAAATATGTTTACATTTATGTATTTGCACATGTGTTGTAAAGACAGTGTTCAACACAGTTTTAATAGTGGCTAATGCATCGGCTATGGAGTGGAACAAAAATGTGGAACTGGAGTTTTTCCAGAGGATTTGACTGGCCACCCAATGTCCCACTCTGAATCAGAAATACTTCATTGATCTCCGGGGGAAATTGGGATTGTTACATTGTAGAATTTAAATATATAGTAGAAGATATAAGAAAAACAAGTGCATAATATAACAATATGCACAGTATAAATGCATAATGTATGCCAGAGTATTGCTCAGATGAATTATTATTGCATATAGAGTAATGCACAGATTAATTATTATTGCATAGAGTATTACACAGATGTTACTGTTATTCGAAATAATCCTAATCATGTTTTTCTTTTTTTCTGTTTTACAGCTTCATTACAACACTTAATATCACCAACACACACATATCCACACACACACACATATAAAACCAACGGCACTTTTAAGAGCCACTCTTTCTCTCACTGTCTCTCTTTCTATCACTCTCTCACTTTCTCTTTTAATCACTCTCTCACTTTCTCTGTTAATCACTCTCCTGTCTTTCTCTCACTCCTACAAATGGCTGGAGGGTCACAAAAAAAGACCTGCCCAAACTGTAGTGAACAAATGTACTGTGGAAATAAAATCTGTCCACTATGTGAACATCCACAGCCAAAAATGTGAGACTCAAAAAGAAAATGGACAAATTCCAAAGCCAGCAGAAGCAGTGGTTGTCATCCATGACTAAAAACAGAATCAAGTCCCACGTTATTGATGACGCCGCCCTTCTGGTATGTAGTTTACAGAATTATCTCATTCACCAAAAGTGTGAAAAGTAGTTTTATTACTTTGACAGAGGATTATAAATTAACTGGTATTGCTTCACATCCACATTATTAATTGTATCATTAATGAGAATATAATTCATGATTAATGATTTTCAAACAGAATGAACTATTATGTGTAGGAAGTTTAGGAAGTGTCTCATAAGTTAAAAATCCCAAATGTATCCAACAAAACATTATGAACAAATCATTGTTTTTATTATGATGCCAGGATATTAGTGTAGATGATTTATTTTGATGCTACTTCAGGGCAAGCTTGCAGATAAATTCAAATGTAAACAACAGTTTTGTGTATTTATCTAATTAATCTCTCAACAATTATTTTCCCAGCTGGAAAAGTGACATGCCCTTGGCTTGAAGCCCCTGCTGCTGCTGGCGTATCCCCCTACCAATTTGGTGCCACGGACATCTAAAACAAAGGTTTTGATGCCCAGCTTAGCACATCAGCCAAGACATGCCTCGACAATGTGGAGGCCATCTACAAGCTGATGGTTGCAGGTGAGATTGCATTTATTTAATAACCATCTGCACGAGTCACTCATGCATATATTGACTATCTGTTATACAATGTGTGGTGTTGATTTGTCCTGTTTATTTCAAAGCAATAAAGAGTCATTTTAAAAAGCTGGGGTCTCATTTATAACTGTTATGTATGCACAAAACAGGGCTTGAAAGAGGTGTATGCCACTTCCCATGCAAAAGTTGTAATATATATTTTGAAAAATGTTTACAGAAGATTATGGTGACAGGGGAAACTGTCTATGCAGATGGTGAGGTGGTGAATTGAAGCCAGATTGTAGAAATACATGTTATAAGCATCATTATACATATAATAAAGCCTCTCTCATATTTAATTTCAGTTACTATCACACGTTTCTTAAAGATCCTACATTCAAACCATCAGTGTTATTTGTGCATATGCTTGTGAGCCATAACTAATTCCCTAAGCATCTTTCAATTGTAAAAGAAGTAAACCAACTCAAATCTCAAATCAAATCCACTTTGTATTTCATCAGCACTGTCTCGCCATCACATTCCCCATCGGAGCGCAGAGGAGATGGTTGAAACAGTATAGTACTGACACTCATGGTCAGTTGTGGAGCGCACCACAGCTGCTGACAACAATCCAAGATAACATGAAATAGCAGTAAACAATAGCAGAACAGATGCAAGTACCAGACTGTGTCTCCAAAGCGTTCTGTGGTGCACAAAGAGCGCGCTGAAGACACTGCGGCCCCCACACACGTCTTCTCAAGTGACCTCACCCAGCACATCTTTCCCACCTACACATTTGGATAGCAAAGTCTAGAAGTAAAGCCAGTGACAGCTCTCGCACAATCTCACATATGAGTCCTAATTATATTGCTGGCCAAAAATTAAATAAATACATTTTGTTCACTTATCAAACTTCCATTTTCCAATGATAACCCAGTGTGGGGGATACCATTGACTTTTGCGATCATTGATTGCTGTAAACATTGAATTACTGTATGATACTCGTAATGCTGCATGGTGGACCACTGGCACTGCTAGGACGCCCTGAATGTAAGAATTAAGAGGGGACAAGTGTTCTGGGACCTCCTCCACCACAATCAGAGTCACAGTCACATAGTCAGAGCAGTGGCTCTGTGGACAACCCTCAGCTTCTCTGGCTCCTCTGCCCTGATGCCAAGCAGATACCTGTGGGTGACATCATACTCAATCAATCTTTTTTTTTACAGTTTAGGTTAGGGTTGCCTTTGTTTGCATGTTTTTCACATTGATAATGTATGTGTGTGTATTCCATGTTCCTGTTTTCGAACATTCAATGTTCAAAGGTGTTATTGTCATATGCACAGCTACAGCGTAGTTGTTGGCAATGACAATCTTAACTCCCAGGCTCCTCCAACAATGCAGCATACAAATAGTACAAGAAGAAATAAAATAGTGCAAGAAGAAACTAGTCCAACAACGTAGGTGCAAAACTTACATGCAGGAATAAGTCAAATATATACATATAAAATAGAATAAGATAAAACAGAAAGTAAAATGAAATACTAATATGGGGAGGCATGAATGAAAAGGTTGTATAAACAGATGTGGATATGTATATAAATATATTATATATGAACAGATAACTAACCAATGCAACATTTATGGTATTATACATAATAAATAAATAAATATGTGGGCTTTTAAACAGATTTGTACAACAAACTCTTTGTAGGTTGGACACGACTCAACCCAGACCAAGAGGAGCACCCTGACACACCAACACCACCCCAAGACCCACCCAACCAACTGCCCGATGGAAGCTACATCTTAAATTTGGTGCCATGTGATCCATCACCCATCACACATAACCAGCAACCACAGGAAACAGCAGACCCACCACCAAACCAGGCTCCCAGCACCCACCCACCACCAAACCAGGCTCCCAGCACCCACCCACCACCAAACCAGGCTCCCAGCACCCACTCACCACCAAACCAGGCTCCCAGCACCCACCCACCACCAAACCAGGCTCCCAGCACCCACCCACCACCAAACCAGGCTCCCAGCACCCACTCACCACCAAACCAGGCAATATAGTGCTACAGACCCCAAGTACTAGTGTAATGAATATAAGACTAAAACATATCCACTCAGTAGCAAGCAATGTAAGATGTAATCAGTCCATTAGCAGACACAGCAACATCCCGAAGGAATGGCAGAGAAGCTAAGATTTAGAATGAAAGCATGTGTAGACTCTTAAACTTCTGTGATTGCTCAGTAGGAAACACTAAATGTGCTTATGTCACACAGTGGAAATGTTTGTGCATTCTGAGATGAGCCCAATACAAAACGTACTTTACCTGTTCTGCACATTTGTGCAAATAATGTATTCCATACAATTACAGATTGCTCTCACAACCATCTGGAGGTGTTCCCTGTCCGCAACATAATAAAGACAAGGAACCGAAAGGTAGGATAATGATTACCTGGATGACAGTGTTTGCTGTTGGATAACTTTTCTGAATTTGTATAGCAATGACTTTATCTTACCTTGAAGGAATGCTGTTGTCCAATTCACAATATTAAGCTATTTGTGTAAACATCCTGTAAATCCCTGTAGTCGGTCAGATGTCTTTTTTCATGACTATTTTTTTAAATATATGCAAACTATTTGAACAATACATATATTATAAGTACTTGTGAAAGTACAACGTTCAAATAACATACAGATGTACAATGTCTTTGTCTGCCTACCACAGGGGGGACGGAGCACCTTTATGACTGGGAGCCCTGCACCATTTGGTATGTTAATTGGCTTTTGTACAATTACATCTATGTGTACATTTGTGGTAATTGTTGGCATGCCATTATCTTAGGTGGCATTTGTTAAAGAAAAATGCAAAAAGTTCTGCTGTCTGTAGCACCAGCTATACACAAGTTATTTTAAATGTGCAAAGTCCACACTAAACGATACATTGAAACTAGGTCGTTTATTTAATTAAAGCTGTGTCAATATTTGATTACACCACAGAGACACCAGGTTCACGTTAGCTACTCTGGCGTTAAGTCCACACTTACTAAAGTATTAGTAAATAATCACCAAACAACAACAGAAATGTAAAGGAACTAGGTCAAAGAATTATGATTAGACATTCATCTACAGATAGTGCAAATTAACAACAGTGATGACAATCAAGTGGTGAAACCGTAAACTACAACAAAGAGAAATATATCGGTACCCTATTATTGGGCAGATAAAATTGTAACGTAACAAACGCATCATGATATAATTTCCCCAAGGGGATCTATAGACTGTTTGTTATCTATCAAATGCTATTTGATCCCTTATCTTAGAATACAATGTGCCTGTTGGAGGAGTTATTATTCACTTGAAATGTTGTGCTGTAAGGCTCTAGGGATGCAATGATTTTACATTTTGATGCTATGATAATAGTCTGAGGAAACATCACCTTTGGGTTTTACAATTATTACACTAAGGATGGATGAATGTGTTCTTATAGTTAGAGGTTTTATAGGATTGTTCCACAACATTTTGGCATTTTCAGCTACTGTGCCTTTTTACCTTTGTTAACACGATTAACCCGTTTTCCATATTTTCCAATGAGCAACAGTTGCTGTAATGAACCTTAACATACCATAATGTCGTTTTTTAGAGAGTGAGAACAAAAACACTCAGTGTAGCTGAACTGTTAAAAGTGACATTGGTTAATCGCTGCATCCATACAGTGGAATACCAAATACTTCATACAACACTGCACTTGTCTTCAAACGTTTATAAAACAGTATAAAAATGTTACAGTAGCCTAATGAAAATCAATTTAATGTGTATTACTGCTCACTAATTCTTCTTCACCCTCCCTTTATTTTCTTTCTTTCTCAGTGGTATGGGCTGGCCTCCATCCTGGCAAGCAGCCTGATTCCCACCCCATGCAAATCCCATTGCCAAACAAAACAATAAATGTTTTGGTGTTTGTATGGAATTAATAAAGTGCAACAGACTTAACATTTTTTTGACTTGAAGGATCCCTGTATGCATTGTTTTATGGCCACTGGCAATTAATTTCACAGGTGAATTGCATATTGATGTAAAATGAAGCTGAGCGCAAATTCTTTCAGGAAGACGGGGTATATATAATATATATATATATATATATATACTGTATATATACATTCACTCCGCAGCTGCATATAATCAGCTCATCACAGGCGTTCTCTTTAACATATTACATTCACCTCATTCTCCAGCAGCCAATCACTGTGCTGCAGCCAAACTTTAAAATGGCAGTCAGCTGTGATTTCAGGTGTTCATGCTTCCGCCCGCCTCCTCCTCATCCACCTCCTTTCATCACATCCAGTGCCAGGAGAGCTAATCCAAAGACCTCATCACACCCCCTCTTCATCCCATCTCCTCATCAAATCCAGATCTTCAGCATCACCACCAGTGACTAGACCCCGGAGGGATTCCCTATATGCTCACAGCTGCATTTCCCCCTTTCGATATACCATTTCAGGATCGGGGTCTAATCGAGACTTAACATTTAACGTATGGCATGTGTCAATAAATGTTCTTTAAACAAAATGAAGTCTCTCCTGATTGAAATACACAGAAGCAGCCCACAAGCGGTCCTTGGGATGATAGTACATTATTGAAAACATTAATAACAGAATGCTTAATGCACAACATATCAAGAAATAAGTAGCCAATGCTTCAATCCTTTGAGAATACACTGTTTGTAGGCTATTTTAATTTAATAATACATTACATTTATAAAGTGCTTCTGGTCCTCAAAGCGCTTACAAGCAAGTAAAAACAAAAATAACAACAAAAGTAGAAAGTGCTAAGCTAGGTGGAATAAGAGAAAGGGTTAGTTGATTAATAGTTGAAGGCAAGAGTGAAACGGTGAGTTTTGAGAGATTGTTTGAATGATGTTGACGGATCTGACGTGGCTGGAGAGGGAGTGGGGGAGGCTGCTGCGAAGGCCCTGTCACCCTAGGTCTGGAGCTTTGTCCTGATGGGCTGCAGTAGGTTAGCTTCAGCTAACATCTGAGGCGACGGGGGGGGCAAGGTTGTTGAGGGCTTTGAAAGTGAAAAGTAATATTTTAAAGTCAATGCGGTGTTTGATGGGGAGCTCTTGATGGGAGGAATTTAGTGTTATTATTCTTTCTCCAGTTAATATGCTGAAGTGCCAGTAGATAACTTCTAAATATCAGTACAGGGGCTTCAAAGGTTTTTTACTCGTTTTTTTGTGGTCTTTTTGGACAGCGGAAGGCTAGATTACCCATGATCCTCAGCCACCGTTGCCGTGGAAACGGAGCCGGACCACTCTCCGCTACCTGCATAACCCTAATTTATTTCAGATACCAAACACACTTTTTCCGAAGATTTGTGTCACAAATATCAAAACAATATATGTGTCGATAACAAAATACATCCATCATAAACTAAACTGGAAACAGCAGTATAATTTGTCTTGTTAACACTTTAAAGTTGACAGTTTTTTTTAACCCGTACCCATTAGTGGTTAAAGCACGTTATTGAATTTGTTTGTTGAATTATGTTATATTTCATGAAACATACAAATATTAAGAGTACATACATAGGGGGAAAGTAGAAGGTCAATCATATAAATATAGATGAAAATATCAAGAAGATACTGTTGTGATCTCTACAATAAAACAGTTTAGTGCCGGACGTCCAAAGATATTAATAGGAGGATGTGCAAAACAGACAAACTAAATAGGCTTCTTTTTAACATTAAAGATTACTTTAAGTTAAGGTCTTCTTTTAAATAAGAAAAAAGCTTTGGGGGTATCTATCTACAGACCAATATTAAGTCTGACAAAGTGCTTAACGTTTAATATATTGCATAGTTTGTTTTGGAACTTGACAATCAACTTTCCTGCAATGTTAACTAAGTTGAAGCACTTATTTGAACTGATATTATACATATGTAGTATACTCTTATAAGATGTATCTAGATAGTATAAGAAATGTGCAGAATATGACAGTTTAATGGTGGAGGTATACACACATATCGATAGATGTCTTGTAATGCACTGTTGAGGAACCTGCGACCAAAGTTTTTAATCTCTGACCTTTTTAATCTCCGACCTTGTCAGGTATTGAACATCCAATAAATGAGGAACAGAGAATTATTAAATATAAAACATAGAATTTGTGTGATTATACTAAATGATTTCTAAATAAACACCACTGCATATTTCCAACTGTTACACATGCTGCTGTAACGAAAAAATGGCCCCGCTTGTGATCAATAAAGTATATCTTATCTTAAGATGATCGATGGCTTCTGCCATATTTGCAAAATGTGCCTCTGAACCTTGACAATAGCATGTTTCAGGCTCATCAATGAACAACAGGAGGGGTCACAAACATAAGATCAGCTGTTAAATAAAGATCTTCTGACCTTAGCTGTCATGTGGGTAATGCTGCCCATTATGGACACAAGCAATTTTCACCCATTTATTAATTATATGTTTTAAATATGAAACACATGTGTTTCGTATCCCCTAAACCTCCAGGGATGTACACAGTTTAATACTGACAACTTCTTATTATGGGAAATACGAAAACGTCTTTTAAAACTACAATTCCCAGTAGAGACGTGCTATAGAACATGCGAAACCTATGTGCGAAACACACAATAGCCAGCACGTGTAGTTCTGGTGACGGGGTGGGGGAGGGGGTGGACCCGTCCGACTCCAGTTTTGGACAGTCTGTCGTGGTTCCATTCCATTTCAAAGTGCTGTTGGACGCTCTGCGCACTGCCACTCCAATATCCAATCACAGAGCTTGAGGACTATCACGGGGTTTCTCAAGCAAAGAAGAGAGAATACTTACTTCCGGGTGTACAATTCTCTAAAGCAACTACTATGAGCTGCTCCGACCCTCGGTCCTGATGGACTCCAAAAGTCCGACATTATACAATCAAACAAATAAACACAAGAATAATTGTGTGTTATTGTTGAGTAAATAACAGTGTGTGGTTTAGAAAATAATACAAAATTAGAAGTACGAGTTGGGAGTGAGAATGTGTTGGTATTTACCCTGCATTATGCACGTTACTAATAAAGAATTATGTTATTGTATTGTATGTATTTACAATGTATTCACATTGTAAGTAGTTCATAATCAATGAATGACAAAATGCAGTGACAAGAAAACAACCATTGTATAGCACTTGTTTGAGTAATAAGAGGCAGTTTAATATAAAGGCAAGGCAATTTATTTTCATACACATCAGCAAGTCAAAGCGCTTTAAATAAACGGAAGTACAAAATATAAACACATTTTCACATTATTATGAACTCAGTCGGGCGAAACAAGTGCATAGTTTCATATTGTTCTCATATATAGTGTTTTAAAATGTCTTTATTTTGTAGGCCTTTATTATGGCGTGCGCCAGCGTGTGGACGTGACACTTCCCTTGTGAAAGAGCTCTCCAGTGCCTCTGTGTTGCTTGGCAGAAACCTTTACAGGTCTTCTTCCTCAGACTCAGGGCAAGTGTAGTCATTGTCATCCGACTCCTCAATGTCCTGCTGTAATTGAAGATCATGGCATTCCAAAGCGGCTACACCGCTGTACGCATGTACAGCCTGTTTGTGTTGGCTTTTGAGGAAGTGCCACCTCCGACTGAGGACACTCTTGAGCCCATGTGCAGCATCCTCTGTCAGGTCACCGAAATCTGTATATATAGGAATAACCACACAGAAAAAGGGCTCAATGTAAACAAACCATGACAATTGCAAATCTCTTTGCATTGTACAATGCTGCATATGTAAAAACACTACAAAGTAGGTAAATCCATCTTAAACTGAAGGATGTTAGTATATATTGGGTGCCAAATGGGATATGTTGATTAATGTTTGATATAGTGCTTGACAATTAGTCAATAGACAGAAAATAATCGATTATGATCTTGATGATGAATAGTTTCAGTAATTTACTATTTCACTTCGGCCTGACACAGTGACAGATGTGTTCTACTTATGTAAGACATGCAATGTGTTGAAGAGTGGATGAAAATATTCAAATGTTAAGATCTCAGACATACTGCTGGTTTTGATGCCCTCCAAAGTCTGTCCTCTCAGTGCTTCCACTTCTTGCACTTCCTTCAGAAGGAACATGATGTGCTGCGACATCTCTTTCACCAGGATGCTCTGCTCCTCCTCCAAACGTCTGACCAGCATTACCTGCTCAAAGACAGACCTCTTCAACCTGAAGGTGTTGCCTTTAGGTTGAGGAAAGGAATGGAGTAGTAGACAAGGAATATTTATTCATAAATTATATTATTACAGAATGATTTTCATTTCTGAGACACAAATCTTTGTAGCGATAGCATTGGTTCTCTATAATGTAAACTAATAACAAATATTATATATTTGCAGGTATCACCATTGCTTTTTCTGCCTCATGATAAACTGTAATATTTTGGTATGGACTAAAAAAACAACAAGCCAAACTAGCAATTACCCTACCATTTGCATGCCTCTCCCATGGTAGGGTGTAGCCCTCTGTCAGACTGCAAGCCAACTCCTCGTCAATCTGTTCTTCCTGCACTCCGGTGTTGTATTGCACAACTTTTTCGCGAAGCTTCTTTTTCAGCTCTCTCATTCTCTTCCTCTTTCTTTGCCTTGCCTGGTTGCTGTCTGCAAAGTGAAACGGAAACAAAACTGTGTCATGGTGCCAGAATGTTTTTGCTGTTTTTGAAGTGTAATTTCAATAACTACGTTTGACAACAAACCATGCTGACGATACAGATCTTGCTTCCTGCGCAAAAGAGTGACGGTGATGTTCTCAATATCCACCCTTAGTCCTTCAGTACACCCTGGGGCGTAAACTCTCTCTAAATAGTTGCAATAAAACAATTGGAGAAGAGATACAATCAGTGACAGTCTCAGTTTCAACATATAGCCAACTTATATTGTATGTCTAAACTTACAGTAATTAACAGATGTATATGGAAAACCTGTGGTATGTCTTACCTGTGACCGCCCATTGCCTGACATCATACACCCACTGCTGTATGGTCTCCTGATCAAGGTTGTGCTCCTTTTTGAAGTCGCTGAAGCTGGCAGCTTCCACCTTTGCCCTCTCTGTGATCTTTACAAAAAAAAGAAAATGTCAGAGCAAAAGCGCCATGCAACACCATAATGCAAAGAACACCAGTTTTCAGTACAAGACCTTCAGAAGAACAGTTGAAACATTCCATGACACCATCTGACTTGCAAGAGGAAGTGTGGATAAGGGAGAACATAATGTATATAGTAGGGCCGGGACTCGATTAAAAAAATTAATCTAATTAATTAGAGGCTTTGTAATTAATTAATCGAAATTAATCGCATTTTTAATCACATATAAATATTTGACCTGAGAACAGTGAGAAGCAATTTTTTTCACATGGATTTTAGTATACCATTAGGCGCATTCACACCGCAGTACTTTTCCCACAAAGGTTCATGAGAATTTAGTTCATGAGAACTCTTTGAACCTGGGGGTGGATTAGGCAAATTAAGCCGCTGACGTCACTTCTTCTTCTTCTGCTTTGGGTTTACTGGCAGGCCGCAAACCACTTCACGGCGTATACTGCCGCCCAAAGTCCCCGTCCGGAAGTCCCCGTCCGGAAGTCCCCGGAGTTGGGGACTGGCTTCAGTAGAAGCTGCTGGGACTCCCAGCAGCTTCTACTGAAGCCTTCCGAGTAAATCGCCAGAACGCCGACACCTCCTCATCTCCACCGCTCCCATGTTTTATTTTGTGTTGCCATAAGTTAGTCTCTCTGCGTTTCTGCGCTGGGCTAATGCTAATAATGCTAATGCGAGGATATGGCGACAATGGCGGCTTCACAAAACTTTTTGGGAGTTTTACGGGGCGTGGTTTGCAATCCGCCCAGCCAATCAGACATATAGCTCTTTTCTCACAAGAGAGCCGTACGAAAGTCCCTGCTCTCTAGCAGCTCTCTGCTCTCTAGCAGGGACTTTCGTGGGGGTAAAAAGGTTCTCATGAACTAATTTTAGTACCGGCTCTTTTTGGTGTGAACGCGATAAAAGAGGCTAACATCCACGCTAGCTTCCACGCTAGCTGCTATATGTTTTGCATTGAGGTGATACTTGAGGCTTGATGTGCTGCGGTGATATGCGAATTCCTTTTTGCATAATTTGCACACAACCGTGCTCTTATCGACGCTTCCTTCCGTCCGTTTTTTAAAACAACATTTCCCACTGTTGTTCACTGTGGTTTGTTGTTGTCTGAAGTCATGAACGTTAGTTGGTGCTCCAGTATAATCGGTACGCCTGAAACTCATCCAGTGAGAAACGTTCCGCGGTGCAAAAATAAGTGCGATTAAAATGCGTTAATTTTTTTAACGCGTTAATTTTTGTGTAATTAATTAATCTTAATTAACGCGTTAAAGTCCCGGCCCTAGTATATAGCCATGAGGTTACATTGCAGACATCCTTCATATGTAATGTCAGATGAGAAGACAATTGTAATTTGCCCTTACTTTGACATATCTGTGTGCTAAAACTTGATGAAGGTTGTCCCTCTTCCTTCTGTTCCATCCCATGGCCTGTTGAGTAAGCATGTTCACTCTTCCTAAAAAACACAAAAATATATCCACAAACAAAAAAGTAAGTATTCACATCAAAAAGGCAATACTGAGTGAGAAACCTGATAGACATGACTAAACCCAATCGTTAAAAGGTTGTTGAACTGGTAATACACCAATAATGTTTTTACGGAGGGAACTCTCTGTAAAATACTTATCAGGGCTGCCTTATCACAGTGTGTAGTGTTAATACCAACCTGATTTTGTCATGTATTTTGTGACCAGAGCTGCCCTGGAGAGAAAGCTGTTCACCTATAATGAATGTTACAATTAATGTTCGGTCACCATTACATAACAATATTACCTACACATCATAGATCTTGAACTGGATGGTTTAAGAGAAAACTTGTGTACTGACTTCCTACAATGTGCATGCATTTATTGTTGCTGAACATATGAGCTGCCTATCTTTCATTTGAACTCAGACATAAAGGATATGCTTTAAACTAATCAACAGGCTTGTCACTGAGATGACACATACATATTTGTATTGCTTTCTATTAAGACCTCTTGTATCCATACAGTTATAATAATGCCATTAATAACATACCTGCTCTACTTCCTCTCCCACTGTGTTTCCTGCCCCGTCCTGACTTCTGCCACCCCATCTCACCTGCAACACAGCGCAAATAGTGTTATATAGCAAAGTTTTTGATATCCAATAAGGCATGCCATGCACAACATTAAAAATCCTTTGCATTAAAGATGTTATGTACCTCGCATTTTGCTGTATGGGCTTTAGCATGCATCACGCTAAGAAATGGCCTCATTTCTGTCAACGGCAGAAGCTCTGGTAATCCCTCAGCTATTTTATTAAGGTATGGCCAGTACCTAAGAAGCAGGAGCAGCATTTTGTGATTGAGTGTTACAAAGATAAACTTTTAATTGACATGACAACAATATCAATATCATCTAAAATGACTGCTGAGGCATAGGCCATTTTAAACATTGTTGTGGATGTGCAATATGACAGTGAGGATTACCTGCATGTTACATCCATACAGAAGAAGTCAACATTTGCCTTCTTGGACATCTCTTTTTGGAGAAACATTGGGTACGCGTATATTTCTCCACGGAAGTGGTTCAGTCCTCGTAAGAGAAACCCATGTCTGATTAATCAGAAGAAAATCTAGTTGTTAATAATAAACTGACACAGCAAGGCCTGGCTTAAGCACTCATCTCTGTCATCTAGGTGGCTATAACAACAAATATCACTTGGATGCTACAAAGGATGGATCAATTCCGCTCCACAATCAAAAGTGTTTAATGCTTCCAATTCTTACAAAGACTTAGACTTGGATTGCTATTAAAACTGAAATAATGAGACCAGACTCAAGAACCAAACACATATACACACACAGACACACTTACAAATACATACCTGCAAACTGCCACTTGAATGCCCTCCTCGTCTATCTGGGCACCAGACTTTTTTGACATCTCTCTGCCAGCGGTGAATTTGGCAGTACCACAGACGGCACTGTCATTTCCTTATAAAGTCAGTTTATTACACACAAGTTTTGACATATATAAAAAAGAACACCACAGGTGTAACTGCAACTATCATAATAAGAAAAAAAACGTACACTTTTCATGTTGCCTCTGACAAGGTCAACAAATGTTGCGACTTCCTCATCCTTGGCCAGGAACAAGCCCTCATAGATTGGCGGCTCCTCAGTCCTGTCCATGATAAGTTAACATACAAGTCAATAATAAAAATCACAAAGCACTACATTACTATGATTTGTTTTAATGTCTGTTATGGCTACTCAATCACAACCCCAAGGGCTACTATTTGTATTAGCGGTGTGTTCTTTATCATTTTCAATAATACCTATACATACCCTTTTGACTTGGAAAAGCGGTAATGCTTGCGGTTTCCATCACAGCAGACAGCCAACATGTCTGGAGAACATGCTGAACAAACAAAGTGATGGACCTGGCACATATCCTCTTGTTTGTACTGACAGAAGCAAAACTCGAAGAAGCTTCGCTGAAATGTATCAGCACAGATAATACCTGTCTGTATATTGATTTAAAAAAAGTGGATTAGTAATTGTTTTGAAAGCAATGCCAACAATTTATGATATGGTATACAGTAATATGATATTGTTTGTTGTATGTTTCCGTGTGATTCAGGCAGATTTACCCGTCCAGCTTGAACAGATCTGTGCTCCAACATTTTCAGAAATGCCTGCCTGGACATGGCTGGTGCTGTCACCTTCATGTGCTCGAATGAGGTGAACACATCATATTTGTAAAGCGTCTGGCAGCTGGTGCTAGCTGGCCAGTACCGATACAAAAGCAGGTCTTTAACCTCAGGAGTCCATTCTGCAGAGCAGGATGGACAGGATTTCCGAGGCAAGCAGACATTGTGAACAAATGGAAAAAGTAAAGGTATTTCGGTAATTAAACTGTGAGTTTGCCTTAAAATATTGGATTTTATACATAGATGTGCATATATGATATATTAGCTATTTGACATGGCATTTGGGTGTTGTCTGAAAATGACCAGGTGATACAAATCTTTGCATTGCACAAAGTGGTAAAACTCTGCCGTACAATACTACTTGTACAAAAAGAAGGGCTTTCAGAACAACATACCGTTGATGGTGACCACAGAAATATGCTTCCAAGGAGTCACTGTGACGTCATCAGAGCATTCACAGATTGACCTTGGAGTAGGAACAGGCAGTTGACATACTGCAATATAGAAAATAAATTAGGAAGGGTGTATTTACAGTTTTTCCTTAATTCTCCAGATTATAAAGATATTCAATAAAATGTTGCATAACTTCCACATATCTTGCAGCCCTAGTCAAAACCAATCATACTTTTTTCAATCAGCTATGTACACTTCCCATTCGCACTTAATTTTGGGAACTACATTATAATGGGACATTGTAATGTAATGTTAACCTTTACATACTTTGTTCACAAAACTGAGGCTGGCCATTTTCATCCACCACCACAGCAGTTGTAGGGGGAATGGGCTCCAGAAATCCATTGAACACAGCCTCTCTGTCATGGAAGATATTCCTCTTGTGGGCCTCCATGTCACAGTTTGCACAGAGGAACTCCATGTCCAGTGGAACACAGTCCAGGCACCTAATAGCCGCTTCTTCTGCACAGCATCTGTGGCACTTCTGAATGGCTATTCTCTCAGCTGAGAGTTTTGCATTAAAAAGCATTGGCCTAGCCGTTTTCATTCTCACATCTGTGAGAAGCTGCCTTTGTGCCCAGGCAGAAACCGTTCCGTCTGTTGCCTCCGGAACCTGTACTGCAGTTAAGGTGTCCCTTAACTCTTAAAGATGAGTTTCTAAAAAATAAAAAAGCTGTTAAGCCGCCACCCTAAAACTGGTATGATGGATATTAAGGTAGTATACTGAACCACTTTTGAGTTGGAAAAATATATGCAGACTAATAATAGCAACATGCTATGAATCATCATATGCATCCAAAGCAATATTAGCAAGTGATACTTATACCAAATATGCATTCACTTGTCATGAAACAGTCAATACTCAATACTTTATTATGATTAACTAGATGAGTATAAAAATGGAAACATTGGGAAAAACTGTAGTGCCAGTCAACTGCTGTTATAATCAATATACTCACCAAGACTACCAAACTCTTGATGTTCTAGCTGAAGGCCTTCCTCATGCACAGGATCGTCTCTTCTGGCTTGTGAAGCTGCAGAGACAGTCATTTTTGCTTAACCCTTCAATCAATCTAAAATGACACCAATTCATTGTAATATGAAAATGCTCTGTAAGGACTGTAGGTAATGAAACTAAGAACTTATTACCACAGCATCACAATGACAATTTACATTTGGCATACTTTTATCCACATCGAGGTACACATTTAAAAAAATACAACACAGGCAAGGATTATCATCACAGGCTCTTAAAATATCTTGATTTCATTTGGAAATGTTTTAAACATTGCAACAGATTTGTCAAGAGGTATCTTTAAATTACATAATTTCATACTGTGTACACCAAAATAACTTTGTTATGAATTATCTTTATTCTTAGACTTAGAAATCATGATATAGTAAAGAACTAACCTGATGCGGGGCGTTGTGTTTCCCGTTGTCTCTCACGTGTGACCACTGGATTAGAAAGAGGTCTCTTCCTGCTTTTTCTTTTCTTTTTCGGAGGGATGGCAGGGGGTTCCGTGGCCATGGCAGTCTATATTTTTTCAGAGGTTGAGATCAACAACAAAGTTGTAATACAACATAAGACAGCAGCACTTATATTTGAGCAATTATTTAACGGTTGCATAAAAAGGACTAACTGTCCCTTTACATTACATCAATAAAAAGCAATAGCAATGATTATATTACAGACTTGGGTATTTGCTTATCATGAAAAGCCTCACCCTGGCCTCAAGGAGATGAGCCTCGCTAATCAATGATGCCATGTGCACCGTGGCCTCATTGAGATCCTCAAAGACCCTCACTTCAGGGTTGAGGGACATGGCATACAAATAATACAAACAATACACAAAATGAAGAGTGAGAGAAAGACAGGAGAGTGATTAACAGAGAAAGTGAGAGAGTGATTAAAAGAGAAAGTGAGAGAGTGATAGAAAGAGAGACAGTGAGAGAAAGAGTGGCTCTTAAAAGTGCCGTTGGTTTTATATGTGTGTGTTGGTGATATTAAGTGTTGTAATGAAGCTGTAAAACAGAAAAAAAGAAAAACATGATTAGGATTATTTCCAATAACAGTAACATCTGTGTAATACTCTATGCAATAATAATTAATCTGTGCATTACTCTATATGCAATAATAATTAATCTGAGCAATACTCTGGCATACATTATGCATTTATACTGTGCATATTGTTATATTATGCACTTGTTTTTCTTATATCTTCTACTATATATTTAAATTCTACAATGTAACAATCCCAATTTCCCCCGGAGATCAATGAAGTATTTCTGATTCAGAGTGGGACATTGGGTGGCCAGTCAAATCCTCTGGAAAAACTCCAGTTCCACATTTTTGTTCCACTCCATAGCCGATGCATTAGCCACTATTAAAACTGTGTTGAACACTGTCTTTACAACACATGTGCAAATACATAAATGTAAACATATTTTTCTAGCACGCACCTCCACTATCCAACTGTGCCGGTGACAGCTAATGTAATTTAGCTGTATAAACTATAAATGCTATCCAGCTCAAAACGTTGACCGGAAGGCCGGAGGCTAGCTGAACGTGGCCGCTAGTTGGCCTATTGTAAAAGCTAAACACACTACAAAACTCAAACTAATATCCAGGAATGAAACGCTATAGAGACTGTGCTACAGGGGAATAAATAAAAGCAATATTATTTCGTGTTTTAAAGAAATAAACTCCCCTTGATTTTAGATACTTACTGTTGTCCGTTGTCAGATTAAATCGGATGAAATTAATGAAAGTGAGGTGATTGTGGGTAATGTGGCTACGTCACGTTAACGTAAAGCGCGACGTAACGTTGCCGGGGTAACTACGAAATCTTCTTCTGGTTTATTGTTGTTATAATAAAAATGATTATTATTACTATTAAACAAAAAGCATTTCAAATACAGTCAGTAGCCAGTGGGGGGAGTGGTTTTCACCATCATTATCATCATTGTATATGTTTTAAATGACTAATATTGGCCTACAATACCCCTTTATTGATCAAATAGGAATATAATTGTCTTTTAAATAACGTAAACTAAAGGGAACAATCTATTTGACACAGCTGAAGCTCTGGCCTTCCTTAAAAACTAAGTAATTTAATAAAAATCACAGTTGTATTACACACAATGCACTGTTTTTTGAGAACAGAAATTGATAAATAATGCACCATAATACATTCTGACGAAAAATAAAAATGATTATGAATACAAATCAAATAAAAGAAGCCTCACGTGAGTTACTACAAGCTATAAAGTAGATTTTAAAAACGTTTTATAGAATAAAAGCTCACTGCAAGACGTCGTAGAAATGCGTGTGTGCACCACGACAAAAGAGCCTCATTCACTTTACATTGGGGTTTTTTGCGTGGTGCCGACACGCAAATGTAACAGAATGCGTGACTCCACCACGCAATGCGGTGTTAAGGTTGCGTGGTGGAGTCACGCATTCTGGTGAGATCAGGTTGAATAAACGACACAGCAGCTTTTTGGCATGTTAAAACTATTATTTTCTGCCTCGCTCATGAGAGTAACAGCTGGCGAAATGACAGCCTCGCCTACTGATTTCAAATGTGTGCTCTAAAAGGATATTTATAAATGACTATTATCATTATTATAAGCAAGACAATAAATGGCAAAGATATGTAGAAAATAAACGTATTTAAGAGACGTTCACAAGAAACGTAACGTGGGAGAAAATATGTTTCTAGAAGATATGTAGAAAATAAACGTATTTGAGATACGTTCATAACGAACGTAATGTGGGAGAAAATAAGTTTCTCTCTAAACGTAATTGAGAATGCAGTTTAGTTCTGTGGGAACGTAATTTTTAGGAGACAGGGTTGCGGGAGGGGACATTGACAGAGGATTACTCAAAACGTACACAGTAAGTACTTCATAGTACTTGTTGTGGGAGTAGTTTCACTAGTAGGCTACTGAGTCCAACAGGATCGATCTCACGAATAACTATTGGCAGAAAAAATAACAACAAACTCGAGAGACGGCTGAGTGACCGCAGTGCAGAATCGCTGTATAGTTGAAATCTCCTAACAATGTTGTCCATTTTAGACACAGGCCTATTATATTTCCAGCCCTTAATAACATTCATTATCTGGGCTCAATATGTGTCTTGGCTATTTTCGTTGTGAAAACAAATGGACCGTAGTAGATACACGGATTGGCCGTCCTCATCTGCGCTCTTATTTTGAAAGACAACTTCCGGTAGCAGAATATGAAAAAACGGGGGGGGTTTTTGTTTCTGTTTTCTAGTGATTTTATTTTTTGTTTTGAGAAGTAGAAAATGAAAATCATCCCGTTTTTTAAGTTTAGTAAATCCATTTTTGACCATGATAAAGAAAAACGCCTTGTATTTCAATTTTGGTTTTTCAATTTGAAAACGAAAATCAAATATCCAGTCATTTTTTGTTTTTGAATATCCATTTGTGAAAAGAAAATCCAATGACCAAAACATACACTGATGCTTTAAGGGCCCTACCCTAAAGTGGACAGCAGTTCAGTCGTTTATTGTTAAGTTTATTGTTTATTGTTAAGTGCCGTGTGTTCAAATTCCAGGTTCCATGATATCATCATACAGAACATTATTGTTGTAGTTTTCTTTAGCTGTATGACTTGTTAATTGTTCATCTGCAATGTTTAATAAATGGAAAATTGTTTGAATGTGTGTCCATGGTATGTTTAATTATGTTTCTAAACACAGGCAAATAGCTGCATACGTAAGGCAATACAATCAAACACTATTATTTGATCATCCACGCACCAACAGAACATTTGGAAATCAACCATTAATCAGAGGTTGTCAAAGTAATCAGATCTTGTACTTGAGTAAAAGTAGAAGTACTCAGATCTTGTACTGGAGTAAAAGTAGAAGTAATCAGATCTTGTACTTGAGTAAAAGTAGAAGTACTCAGATCTTGTACTGGAGTAAAAGTAGAAGTAATCAGATCTTGTTCTTGAGTAAAAGTAGAAGTAATCAGATCTTGTTCTTGAGTAAAAGTAGAAGTACTCAGATCTTGTACTGGAGTAAAAGTAGAAGTAATCAGATCTTGTACTTGAGTAAAAGTAGAAGTACTCAGATCTTGTACTTGAGTAAAAGTAGAAGTAATCAGATCTTGTACTTGAGTAAAAGTAGAAGTACTCAGATCTTGAACTTGAGTAAAAGTAGAAGTACCAGAGTGTAGGAATACTCTGTTACAGTAAAAGTCCTGCATTCAAAATGTTCCTCAAGTGAAAGTAGAAAAGTATTCTCGTCAAAATATAGTGAAAGTAGCGACAGTAAAAGTAGTCATTGTGCAGATTGGTCCATTTCAGAACAATATATATGATATGTTTTATAATGATTGATCATGAAAGGCCGATTATCGAACCTCAGATTGAGGAGGAACAATGCGGATTCCGTCCTGGTCGTGGAACGACGGATCAGCTTTTTACTCTCGCAAGGATCCTGGAGGGGGCTTGGGAGTACGCTTATCCGGTCTGTGTTTTGTAGACTTGGAGAAGGCGTATGACCGAGTTCCCAGGGAGTTACTGTGGGAGGTGCTGCGGGAGTATGGGGTGAGGGGGTCTCTACTCAGGACCATCCAATCTCTGTACTCCCAAAGCGAGAGCTGTGTCCGGGTCGTCGGCAGTAAGTCGGACCCATTTCCGGTGAGGGTTGGCCTCCGCCAGGGCTGCGCTTTGTCACCAATCCTGTTTGTAATATACATGGATCGGATTTCGAGGCGTAGTCATGGGGGAGGGGGTCTGCAGTTCGGTGGACTAAGGATTGCACCACTGCTTTTTGCAGATGATGTGGTTCTAATGGCTTCATCGGTCTGCGACCTTCAGCACTCACTGGATCGGTTCGCAACCGAGTGTGAAGCGGCTGGGATGAGGATCAGCACCTCCAAATCTGAGGCCATGGTTCTCAGCAGGAAACCGATGGACTGTCCACTTCAAGTAGGGAATGAGTCCTTACCCCAAGTGAAGGAGTTCAAGTATCTCGGGGTCTTGTTCTCGAGTGAGGGAACAATGGAGCGTGAGATGGGCCGGAGAATCGGAGCAGCGGGAGCGGTACTGCAGTCGCTTTACCGCACCGTTGTGACGAAAAGGGAGCTGAGCCAGAAGGCAAAGCTCTCTGTCTACCGGGCCATTTTCGTTCCTACCTTCACCTATGGTCATGAAGGATGGGTCATGACCGAAAGAACGAGATCGCGGATACAAGCGGCCGAGATGGGTTTTCTCCGCAGGGTGGCTGGTGTCTCCCTTAGGGATAAGGTGAGAAGTTCGGTCATCAGGGAGGGACTCGGAGTTGAGCCGCTCCTCCTTCGCGTCGAAAGGAGCCAGTTGAGGTGGTTCGGGCACCTAGTTAGGATGCCACCTGGGCGCCTCCCTAGGGAGGTGTTCCAGGCACGTCCAGCTGGGAAGAGACCAAGGGGTAGACCTAGGACCAGGTGGAGGGATTATATCTCTTCGCTGGCCTGGGAGCGCCTTGGAATCCCCCAGTCAGAGCTGGTTGATGTCGCCAGGGAAAAGAAAGTTTGGGGCTCTCTGCTGGAACTGCTACCCCCGCGACCCGACCACGGATAAGCGGGAGAAGATGGATGGATGGAGATGGATGGATCATGAAAGTGTTCTCAAAGCTGGTAAAGGTGCAGCTAGTTTGAATGACTTTGTATACTGCAGGGTAGCTTGTGGATTTACTCCAGGTGGAACTAAAGTCTGATTTAACACTTGATTACATTTCACATAATTAATCCAAATCTGTAAAGTTACTAAAGGTTTTAAATATATGTAGTGGAGTAAAAGTGGCTACGCTTTAAACTCTAAAATATAGTTACAGAAAGACAGACAGACATCGAGATAGAAAGACATCGAGACAGACATATACATAGAAAGACAGACATACGGACAGACTGTCTTCTGTACTTGTATGTATGAATATAATAATATACGTACATTTTGTAACGCAGTCTAAAGGCAAAGACGTATAACCTTTATTTTGAAGAGTACAGCGCAAGCATAGGGCACACTAGCCAATCAGAAGCAAGGAGGCGCTGGAGACACACCCACTTATGGAAACGAAACATTGAGTGGTATACTTGTTTTAACAGTAAGAACAGAAAAACGAAAAAACGAGCTGAATTTCCGTTTTTTCGTTTTGGGGCAACATTGAAAAACAAAAAAACGACCCGTTTCTGCTTTTTTTTTTTTTTCAATTAGAACGAAAAAACAAACGGTTAAAACGTACCTTCGTCGTCATATGTTTATATAATAGAATACTACTATGCCTAATAAAATAACAGCAATAATGTGCAACTTATATGCAATTGATTCATTAAAGTTTGAGGAAAATAATAATTAATGATTAACGGTGTGATTAAAAATCAATCGTAAATCTAAAAGCTGGAATTTAAATACAAAAGTAAGCAATACAAATGTATTATTAATAAATAAGAAAGTGTATTTCTGAAAGTAAACATGAACAGAGCTCACGGCAAAAAAGAGCATTTAACATCACAGAAAATCAACATTATAGATGAGTTATCAACAGGATGGATACAAAAATAAATATAAACACATTTATAATGGAAAAATACAACATAAAACATAGTTTACAGTTCTTAACAAGAATATATAAGTACATCATTTTGAACATGCTCTCTGTTGATTTGTTGATGTGTGATCATTTTACAGTTGCTATATTTTAGAAAGCGCTTGAAAGGCTTAGTAGATCAATGCAGCCTTAACAAAGCAAACAAACCCATTTAGATTTGTTTTAAATACATTAAATTGTTCAGAAAACATCTTTCTGATACTTAGACGGTATTTGCATCTTCCAAGATGATGCTGGCTGCCCGTAGACATCGAGCTTCATGATATTCAGCCTCCTCTTTCAGCAAAAGTGGACTTTCAACATCCACATAATCCTGCAATATAAAAAAACAATATTTTAAGTATGTAAAGTCATTTGCATGTAGTCTACATTTAATCAAGGTTGAGTATTTTTTTAAAGAATGAAAGATACATGATTTGTTCATTTTTACAAATAACAATAATTATTGTAAGGATACAAAAGATAGATAATGAATGGCCTTTCCAAGAACAATTACTATTGTAAATCATTAAAAAAGTGGTGAACCAGCTGCTCTTTACCGCATCGCTTTCCATGATGTTCTCCAGCATGCGGACGATGTCTGTGAACGAGGGTCTCAGAGTGTAGGGCTCCAGCCAACAGTCTTTCATGATATGAAGTCTGTGGAATTAAACATAAGTATCATCACGCAATAAACTACTGAAGTATCATACATAATATTAAAACACAATGTTATAGTGCAAACTTGAATCATGACTCAATGAGAATCAGATACCAGATTCACATATAGCAATAGTTTTAGTAAATACATTTGATTGATTGTATTAACTGTTTTGTCATGAGCTCTGCCTCTGATAACACAGAGGCTTTTCCCACACTGTGGCTGTAGTTAAGACATCTTATTTCCTGAGCTGCATATTATTACTTTGGATTGATGGTACTCAAAGATGCAAACAATTTATTTAACAATGATTTTGGCGTATTGAGACTATTCACTAGTGGCCAAAAACTGCTTATTTAATGTAGCTTTTGAAAAGACCAAACATGTTTTTGTAATTGTGAGTTTCTTCTTACATCTCTGGTCTGCAGCCTTCAGGGTTTGTGTTCTTATGACCAATACAGATGTGATACATGACCGCTTCTGATGTCTCGAGGTTTGGGTATGGCAGTGTACCTGAAAATGTGATAACATATGAGATGTATTCCAAAGGAAAACAAACCTACCTGTATAGCAATTAAACAAGTTCAAGGTCTTTAGTTAACTGCTGTCTCTGAAAATGTTTCCCACAATAACATGGTGTTAGGGTTCTACGAAATGTGGTTCTTCCCTTAAAAATATGTTAATACAAATACAACTAAACAAGGCAGTCAAACAGGAGGTGAATCACTTTGGACTTTGGTCTAACCTTGTATATAAATCATTCTTTGCCACATCATTTGTGCTATTACACTAACAACCACCTCACCAAATGTCTGCATCTCCCACAGCACGATGCCGAAGGCCCACACGTCTCCTTTGAAGCTGTAATAGTTGTTCTTGAAGTACTCAGGTGGGTACCACCGCAGCGGCACACGCTGCTGTCAAGTTACAGACAATGGAAAATGTGATGAAATGTGACCTGTAAAAAGGGTGTGACCAGCACCTCAACTCACACCATAGACCAGCAGAAATAAAGATGACATTTAATAACTATTTGAGACATCAGTATAGTGTGTCACTGCTAACTTTAATATATTGATATAATTTTAGTAGACTTAACCCTAATGTTGTGTTCGGGTCTCCCGTGACCCGTTTCAAGTTAAAAAGATATAATAACTACGCGTCATGATATCCTCCACAGCAGCTATATAAACACAAAAAACTGATTTTGACCATTTTAGCCAAGTCTGAAGGTCTCTAAAAAAAAAAAGTGTATATTTTGGTGTTCGGGTCTGGGGAGACCCAGCAGCATTGTTGTTTGTGGGTGACTCGGGGTCAAATTTGGCCCAATCAAGATTCATCTTTGACTTTAGAAACCCCACCCCCACCCCCTTCATACACTGTAACAATAATTTAAAACTTTCTTTGGGGAGATTGTATTCTAATATTAGTCTATTATAGTCAGATAACGTAATGATCACTGTCTTCACTATAATGAATATAATGAGTGGATTGAATCACATGTTTTACTTAAATATGTGGTGTTGTGTTTTTTGGAGCCATCAAATAAAATTACAACAGGATTGTACGGTTATGAATGCATAATAAGTTAGTTATGATGTAGTTAAAAGAATATGGGATGATAGTCATTATTATTGAGTGTTTTGGACTGAGATACATCATGGGTCAAAATTGACCTGCGAACACCATGAACGGTAACAGCTTTCGAACACAACACAAGGGAGCTCATGTGGAAATGATGAATAACCACTGTGTTGACTGAATGACACGTTACTGCTCTAAATCAAGACCACATCTCTCTGAAACGGTTGTTTCCTGTTGCAGAGGATGCTGCTAACCCCCCTTAACACAAACACACACAGACAAACATACACTTAGGGACAGTTAATATGGTTTCATGGAGGTACAACTGAGACTAAGACATCAGTTTGAAAAATGTGTGTGTTACATGTTAGTCTCATGTGGCTGCAAGCTAAGCTTGCGCTGTCTGTTTGCAGCATAAGGGCTGCTATTGTATATTTTCTCTCTTGTCATAATTTTCACACAAGCATGCACGCATTTCACCAAACGGTGACATGTGTAACAAATGTATATGGCAATGATACAAGGTGTGACCAGTGTCACACCTTGTATCAAATGTGTCAATTTGGTATAAAATGTGACAAAAAGGGTCTGATGTAAGGTTTGACTAAAATTGGCATTGTGTGTGTGTGTGTGTGTGTGTGTGTGTGTGTGTGTGTGTGTGTGGTGTGTGTGTGTGTGTGTGTGTGTGTGTGTGTGTGTGTGTGTGTGTGTGTGTGTGTGTGTGTGTGTGTGTGTGTGTGTGTGTGTTGTGTGTGTGTGTGTGTGTGTGTGTGTGTGTGTGTGTGTGTGTGTGTGTGTGTGTTACCCTTGGGTTCCTCCAGCGGCTGCTGCTGCTGCGGCGGCTTGTCATGCGCGTTAAATCTCGGGCCAGTCCGAACTCCGCCACCTTTACCTCCCAGGGAAACTTATTGACCATGATGTTCCTCAGAGCTAGGTCACAGTGCACAATCTGCAGAAAAGAGCCCACACACACTGCTTTGCATGGATAGATGGAACCTGACGACTTCATAAGAGCCGGTTATGTTGCTACCATTTTGGAGCGCAGGTGCTGCAGGGCCAGAGCGATGTGGTAGGAGGCGATGGTGAGGAGGCTCTGCAGCTCAGGGTCTTCACTTAAATGAGCTCTGTTGGTCTGCAGGAAGGTCCTCAGAGTGCCATATGTCACATACTCCATGATCAGAATGTAAGGTTCTGCACAGATCAAAACATGGAGAGAGGAAAGGGACTTACAGGGAGGAACATCATCCTAATTCATCAACCAGGAGCACTGTAGAAGAGGACAGAGGGATACAGTGTGAAGATAAATGTGTCATGGCTTTGGGTTTGTTGCTATTTTCCACCTTCATTTTGAAATGTTTTCCTCCTTGTGTCTTGTCTGGTCTTACTTCCTGTGTTTGCCTTCCTGTCTTTAGTTTCCCTCCTGTGCCTGATTGTCTTATGGTGTCCACCTGCTGCCCCTGTGTTTCACCTCCCCTTCCAAGCTGTGTCTTGTCCTGTGATTACCCTTGTGTGTATTTAGTCCTGTCTTTCCTTGAGCGCTTTGTCTGATCGTCGTCAATGTTACCTGCATGTTCCTGTCCGTGAGTTTGTGCGTTCCTGTTCCTCGTATGCCCCTGGTTAGTGTTTCTTTGTTTTTCTTTGTTTGTTTTCAGCTTTTGAATAAAGCTCACTTTTTGTTAATACTTCTTGATTCCCTTTTTGTTAATACTTCTTGATTCCCTTTTTGTTAATACTTCTTGATTCCCTTTTAGTTAATATTTCTTGATTCCCTTTTAGTTAATACTTCTTGGTTCCCTTTTAGTTAATACTTCTTGATTCCCTTTTAGTTAATACTTCTTGATTCCCTTTTAGTTAATACTTCTTGGTTCCCTTTTGTACTGCGTTTGGGTCCTCCAATTTCCTGACAAAATGTCCCTCACCCTCAGTGGTGTTCCAGTCCAGTAACTGGAGGATGTTCTTGTGGTGCACCAGTTTTCTCATGATGGAAACCTCCGTGTCGACATGCTTAGGACGGACACCTTGAAGAAAAAAAAGAGAGAACATTTAACTATAGCTCTGTCACTGGGCCAAACAATATCTACATCTAGGAAGTGAGTGAGACTTCTCAATTTAATCTCCATTGAAATCTAAGATATGAATCAATCAAAAAAAGTAATAAAGGTAAACACAGTGCTTCACAAAAAACAAAACAGTTTTTAAAGTTTTGAACCCATTTTTCAAAGAGTTTGTTTATGTCCTAATTGAGATGAAGAACATTCTCAGCCATCCATATCTTAACATCTTCATTTCAGTTAATGAAGTCCTTGGCAATGTAACATAACTATGGAAATAATGCTGTGTCTCATTTAAAAGTATAGCAAAAAAAAAGTGTAGGACCTAAAATTGAGCCTTGCAGAACCCCACAATTCATTTGTATAGCTCTAAGTTCCTATTAGTGTTGTATATCTTGGGAAATGCAACTTCTTTCTACAGAATAAATAGTCCACGGTTATCTTATAACCATAGCATCAAATTCCACCAAGGATGAGTGACAAAGTGTTTTTATCTATCATTTGGGTGGACTGACCTATCAAAATACATACATTTACTTGACTATTAGATGAAATGTCAATATAATGGAATTACTGAGAGCACCTCTGAAGTCCTGGTGGTTTTCAAGGTACATTGTGACACATTTTAGACACTGTTTAGGTGTGAGGACAACCCACAGCACTCACTTTGTGTAGGAGAGGAAGAAGGTGGGCTGAGTGTTTTATCTTCATATTTTATTTCACGCTTTCTCACCACAGCATTGACATCCTAAACAGTGTCAGTTTCATGTCGTTTGACTACCTTATTCATTATCATAACCAATGTTAAGAAAAAAAATTATGTTACTGTAGCAAATATTATGATACATTGCGAGTGTAGCTGGTCTTTCAATTTAGCTGTTTTAGTGTAGCCACTTTAAGTCCTGGTTATCATTTTTTAATCTCTTAGGCAGAAGAAACGTGGCATCATTTAATCAATTGTTAAGGAACCTTCTCCAAAATTAAACTAAAGATAACAAAAGAAGCATTTCCTGTCTTAAACACACTGATACTGATTCTTATCAATTATAGTTACAAATCATTTTGCCAAAGTTAAAACCTTAAAAGGACAGGTTTTCAAGGCAAAGTCATGGGGAAGGGGGACTGCTGTTCATTGGGCTAAGAATTCCATCACAAATCTTTGCAGATAATTTGGTTCTGATGATGCCTTCGGTTGGCGCCCTTCAGCACTCAGTGGTTCGGCACCTCTAAATCTGAGGCCATGGTTTTCAGCAGGAAATCGTTGGGCTGTCCAAGTCGGGAATGAGTCCTTACCCCAAGGGAAGGAGTTAAAGTATCTCGGGGTCTTGTACTCGAGTGAGGGAACCATAACATGTGAGATGAGAGCAGGGCCAGAAGGCAAAGCTCTCAAGCTACAGGCCCATCTTTGTTGTTACTCTCACCTATGGTCATGAAGGAGGTGTCATGACTGAAAGAACGAGATTGTGAATACTTGCAACTGAAGTGTGGCTGCCATCACCCTTGGGGATAAGATGAGAAGTTCAGTCATCCGCATCCGGGAGGGACTCGGAGTAGAGCCGCTGCTCTTTTGCGTAGAGCGAACTAGTTGAGGTGGTTTGCGGATCTATTAAGGATGGCCGTACACTTCTATTATCATTTAAAACTGATCAAGTTTTGATCTTTGCCTCTGCACCTTAACCTCAAAACGGATTGATTATCACTGCTTCCATTTCAAAGAAATGCTTGTAGGTCCAAACCTCCAGTCAGAGAAATGTGTACCTTCCTTGCTGATCTTGCAGGTGAACATGCTGTGGCCTTTACATGTCCCCCTGGTCATCCTGGCTTGGTAGAAGACACCCTCCTTTCCTGCTTTGATCAGCTGCAACAGGTTCAGGTCTGACTTGGTAACACGAGGACCCTTAAACAAATGCCATAGGAGGTAATGTTGCAGTATCAAATCAGGGCAGAACAGCAATGGGTAAGTACAGGACACTGAGAGGACAAACAACACCATACTGGTCAGTCACAAACATATTTTGTCCACATTGTACCGGAGCTTAAGCTACAGTAACTAATAACATATATTGAAACCAAAGAGAGATGATCAGAAATGATACTGTAAATCGACAGTGAGATGACATAGATGTGTGACATGTAGGCTGCAGAGAACACTCCGGTTAGTTGTTCTTGCATCTGAGATTTCCTCTGCTGTGGCTTCAGATGACTAACTAAATAAAGCACTACAAAAATAGTTCAAATATCTGACCGCAAAATATCTGGGAATCATGTGATGACATGAAGACAGTAATATACCTGCTGAAAGCTTCTCCATAGCCTCCGAGAGGAGAGCCTGACTGTCCTGCTCTGCTGCTGGGGGATCTGGGGGATCTGGGGGATCTGGGTAAGCTGATCTTCTTCTTCCACCACTGCTGGCGCGATCAGAGTTTCCAGCCGAGGAACTGCAGTCATCAACAACCTGCTAGCCCGCAGCTCTCGAATGGTCCGGACGAAAGAACGATATCTGCAAGAAAAAAAAGTGCAAAACACAGAACACTGTGCGTATTGTCACATGGTTTGCCTCTGATTCCATCATAAATCAAATGAAGCTGTGCCAGGGGAGTTGAAAAAAAGAAGCTACAGAGAAATAAAAATAGCCTGACTGTATGTGAAACAACATTTGGACTAGGCCATGGGTGCTAACTGCACTGTTTCCAATTCAAGGCCTCAAAACATATTTCACAAACAAATCTGGAATTAATTAAATATTTCTTAAACTGAATGAAAAAAAAACAAGCGCCTAGCAAAGACAGTTCTGTACTTATAAATAACCAACCCAGTCTCATGGCATTTCGTGTTCATTAACAAGATGGTTAATCTATTGATTCGTGTTCACCAACACGATTTTCCCCTTTTTTTCGTATTGCACAGCACGATTTTAAAAGCAATGTATTTCTACTGGTAATGTGTTTCGTGCCTGCAGCACGTCTTTTTCTCCGGTCGGGTCGTGGAAGACCGGAAGCTGTGTGGTTCATAAAAACATGTTCTTACTCAATATCAAGCCACAATTATTGCTTTTATTTTAAATCGTATAATTTCGGACTTTTGTTGCCGTCTGTGAGGAAAATAAATGGGGCTCAGAGCCTCAGGATACTGAAATCTGTATTTTTTTTAAATCTTTTTTTCCTTCTAATTTGTTATTCTTTACTCACCAATAACACACAATTATCCTTGCTTTTATTTATTGGTTTAATTCCATAATCTCTGGCTTTTTTGGCGTCTGTCAGGAACTGAATTTCAAAATAAAAATAACCGGAAACAGAGTAGGCATTTCGAGTGATTACCCAAGATCCTCAGCTATGGTTTAAGCTCGCTGATTGGATGTTTTAGCCGCAATGCATGCTGGGATTTGGTGTTTATATTATATGAAATCCGGAAAAAAAATTAAATAATAAAATAATACTTAATTCCGAGTGTTCTTGCTTTTCTCTTTGAAAGTCATCACATAACGGCATTGTAATACACGGTTCGGCTGCATTACATATTACAGATCTGCCGTAGTTCTTTATTTATAGAGCCCTGATGAGAAGACCTTTGGAAAAACTGAAGAAATGCCGCCGAAACTGAATACTTGACGTGGATCATAAATATATCAACAATTAAACAACATCTTCAATTTCTCTTCACACAATACGTCTCCTTGCAGTATCAACACTAATTCGGCTGACTTTTACAATTTATCTAATTCATAGATAGGTTATATTTACACCATAACGGTGCACAGCTGATATAAAAGGACTTGTAGTTTTTAAAGATATTACTGATTTTCTTTGAATATAAGAATGTAAATACTGAGTCTGAAATAGTATAGCAATATGCTGTAAAATTATGTGAAAACATGAATAAAACTACACATCTTCAGATGTTGTACATACATAAGGGTCCTACACTAATAATACAAAGTTATTATGGCTGTGTGTACCTTGTGTGCACCGCCTAGTGGTTAAAGCACATTATTGAATTATTGTTTTTATGTGTTATATTTGATTAAAAACATATTAAGAGTACATACTTTCATAGGGGGAAAGTAGAAGGTTTGTGATAGAAATATAGAATATAAAAAATCAAGAAGATACTGTAAGTGATCTCTACAATAAAACAGTTTAGTGCAGGATGTACAAAGATATTAATAGGAGGAGGTGCAAAACAGAAAAACGAATGAACCTTTATTTAAACATTAAATAACAGATTAAAGGTGGGGTAGGTAATTTTGGAGAAACCGGCTCGAGTGCGCTAGAATTTGAGAATACACAGCCGGAAGAAATGTGCCACTTCCTTACTTCCTCCAACACACATGAACGCGCACATGACCAATGAGGGCACGAGATAAGTTTGTGCACAGATGGAAGGCTGACAGGCAGGTAGACCATCCAGTTATTTTAGCCGGGCCGGCTCAGATGATTGGTCGTGCTTTTTACAGTACTACGGCTTCCACAGATGATATTTTTTTATTATGATATTTATTTATTATTTTTTGTCAAAGCACTTAAGATATTCATTGCTATCGGGATGTTAAGAGCATTCCATGGAATATAACAAAAAGTGTATCTCGAGCCGGTTTCTCAAACTTACCTACCCCACCTTTAAGGTCTTCTACAGATAAATATTAAGCCTGACAAAGTACTTAACGTCTAATATATTGCTTTCCTGCAATGTTAACTATGTTGAAGCACTTATTTTAACTGATATTATACATATTAATTATACTCTTATGTATGTAGATAGTATAAGAAATGTGCAGAATATGACAGTTTAATGGTGGAGGTACACACACATATTGATAGATGTCTTATAATGCACTGTTGAGGAACCTGCGACCCAAGTTTTTCATTCATTGCATAACTACACCGTAGTTGTGTATATGATATGTCAATAAACCTTTGAAAATCTTGAAATCTTGAAAGGGATGTGCAAAATAGCCATAATATACAGTCTTTAATGAACTATTAGTAGAGAATAACGAGTAATAAATATACTTTATCACTCGTTTCCATTCATGTCAATTGCAGATACATGTTTAGTCTTCTCAAGCACCAACTATCAAATATCTCTCCTGATTGTTGGCACTTGACAATCACCTTCCCTGAATTTTACTCAGGTGTAACTAAAGTCTGATTTAAGGGTTGTTTATATTTTACATCATTAATCAGAATCTGCAAAGTAACTCAAATAAATGCAGTGGAGTAAAAATACCAGGTTAACCTCTGAATTGTAGTGGAGTAGAATTACAAAGTAACAATGAGCTGTCATGTGGGTATATATATTAATTCTGCGCATTATGGACACAAGCGATTTTCACCAATGTATTAATTATATGTTTTACATTTCACAACACCAATGTGTTTAATACTGGCAACTTCTAATTGTGGGGAAAACGTTCAGTAGAGACGTCCCATAGAACATTTTGCGAAACACAATAGCCAGCATGTGTAGTTCTCGGGGGGCGTTCGATTCCAGTTTTGGATAGTCTGGCGTGGTTTCGTTCCATTTCAAACAGCTGTTTGACGCTCGGCGTAACCTTGGCGCACTGCCACTCCAACATCCAATCCCAAAGTTTGAAGATTAATCACGGGGACTGTAGTCCTAAACGATAGCTGGGGATTATGGGTAGTGTAGTTTCTTCGGCCATCCTAAACTCAGAAATGTTGACAATCGCAATGATGCTCGAAATGTCCCTTATAGGCCTACGTCTGTTTCCGGTTATTTTTATTTTGAAATTCAGTTCCTGACGGACGCCAAAAAAGCCCGAGATTATGGAATTAAACCAATAAATAAAAGCAAGGATAATTGTGTGTTATTGGTGAGTAAATAACAGTGTGTTATTTTGAAAAGAATAACAAATTAGAAGAAAAAAAGATTTAAAAATACAGATTTCAGTATTCTGAGGCTCTGAGCCCCATTTAATTTCCTCACAGGTGGCAACAAAAGTCTGAAATTATACGATTTAAAATAAAAGCAATAATTGTGGCTTGATATTGAGTAAGAACATGTTTTTATGAACCACACAGCTTCCGGTCTTCCACGACCCGACCGGAGAAAAAGACGTGCTGCAGGCACGAAACACATTACCAGTAGAAATACATTGCTTTTAAAATCGTGCTGTGCAATACGAAAAAAAGGGGAAAATCGTGTTGGTGAACACGAATCAATAGATTAAAAATGGTGTTGGTGAACACGAAATGCCATGAGACTGGGTTGGGCACAACTGGTCATGTTAGCATGCTAATAGCTAGGCTCACATTGACAATGCTAACAGGCTTACATTAAGCAGGTTTTAACTTGTATTGTGTTCTTTTTTAGGAAGCTAACATAAGCTGTAAATCAATTCCAACATGCTGATGTTTACCAGGTAATCTCATCTTGTTTTCTGTATTAGCATGCTAACATTAGCTCGTTAGCTCTGCAGTTAAAGTATGCCTACAGCTAAACGTACAGCAAGTAAAGTGTTGGAGCGAAATAACTACCATTAGGTTAACTTGTTATGGGTGTCTGTTGTAATTCATGGTGTTGGACATTTTCACAGCAGACATATTTACATGGTAGGAAAACCACATGCCTTGGATTACACTTAAATGAAAAGGAGACATCCTTCATGTTGTGAGTTATCTGTGCTGTTACCTACTTTGACATGATTATACTGTTGTAAAAAAGTACTATTATTGTGAAAACTAACACCATTAGTTTTCCTTTCACCTGAACCAGGTAATAGGATCTACAAGTACTTAATCAAGGGCACCTGCACTTGTTGATATGTTCCAATATGTTATACTTTTGAAAAAGAAAATGCTCCCTTTCGGACACATTATTATCATTATTATGAATATTTTTGTTGAATATATATATTATGACTTTTTTGTTGAATATATAAATATCATTATGAATATTAATAAATACTGTATTTTAACAATATGGTATTCTGTTTTTCAATTATTATTTTTTTCTGTTCGAAATAAAGATTGAAATGAAATCCCTAGTCAAACCTAGCTCAGATTAATCAAAGGAAACATGAGGACAAATCATCCAGTAAATCATTTCAGCCTGCCTTACTTTCTGAGACACACGATCCCCAGCACTGTGAACACCAGGACCGTGACGGAGAGGGCCCCTGTGAGGATGAAGACAGGTGGTCCCAATTGCTGGCCTGAAAGATCCAACAATACACAAACAGTTAGCTCTACCATGCTCTCACCATGTGGCGGTCAACACAAATGGATGTAAATGTTATCTGTGAAACCTCAGAGCTCACCTGAACTGCTGGTATAATTCATTGTTTCTTCTATGGCTATAACAGAATGTCACCACATTCTGAAAGGTAATATTATAGCATTTAAAAGAACAGTAAAAAAGAATAAACGGACTATATTCATGATGTATACATAATCACAAATCAAACAAACTATATTTTATGTCATTAATAACAAGAGGAGGTACGATACAATCGTTTTAGGAGTTTGCTGTGAGAACATCCTTTCAAACCTGAAGCCCAAAACAATAAGAACGCACCGAAAAGACACATTGAGCTCATACAATCACATGAAATGCTCTATTATGATTCTTAAAAGCTGTACCTGTGTTTTTTGATGAACACCAGTTTGATGCTGATCAGAACCCAGCTGCAACCGAAGTTGTCTGTCTCTGGAGCTTAAAGTTACACCATGTGTTGAGTTAACCCTCCTGCCCGTCTATATTGTCACCAGGAAAAGCGCTCATTGTCTGTCAACCACAACATGAGCAGAGGAAATGAAGTAGCGAGAGGTTGTTTGAGCTGCATAGCACATTCTTAATGTGCCTGATGCTCAGCATCTGTATCCATACGCTGAACACTAAACCTTTAACTATTGTCAAATAAACTTTTCAAGACATCTCAAATTATTTTTAAATGGGGGTGACTGGGGACAGTAAAGTGATTGAATCACTGATTAGATTATTAGGTATGAGATGAAACAACAATAAATATACCAGTTTAATTGTGTTGCCTTGAAACCTCCATCTGTCAGTTTAACAGATTATTTCCAACAAAAACTCTAAAATATTTGCGGATTAATTGAATTTCTGAGAAAAAATGTGAAGAGAAAATTAAATGTTTTCCAGACCCTCAATACTATTAAACTTATATTATAATAAGTATCACCATTAGTGGTAAATGTATTTATTTTATTACAGGATTTTACATACTGTTGTTGGTTTAATATACTGTATAACAATATTAACAAGTAAAATAAAATATAAACAGTAGAGTAACAAGCTATAGTTGCCACTTAAATGTAAGTAAAACTAAGTGGGATGGAGTTGCGAGTGTAGAGTTTAGTATAGCAGTTGAAACCAGAGACTATTGCAGGATGATGTCAATCCACCAGCTGATAACACATGAACACTTTAACTGATAAAGCAGCCATAGTCGATCCATAATGCTTGCTATGAGGGCCTAGGACATTTTAACATGTAAACCAGCACTACGTAAGAGGCATAGAGGAAAAGTATAGGCATCTTTGTTTCAGTAGCAGTTTACTTCTGTGACGTTTCTGCAGAGACCCTGCCTGTGGTTACCATCTGCAGAGATACATGATACTTCAAAGGCAGGAAGCAGAATGACAAGTTCAGTGCATTCAGTAAACAGCATTTGCCCTAACTATAAAATGCATTTCCTGTAGAAAATGTGTGCGAGTGCTGTAAACTGTGAACATTTGTGGCTGAATTTAGCAGAAAAAGCCGAATATTTTATTAGTTGAATGGTCTCTGTAGCTGCTTTTAGCTACAACAACCAAGTAAGTGTGTTGCTGAACTTAGCAGGGAAATGCAGAAAAGTGAAATGATTTGAATCAAAATAGTTACAGCTCAAATGCGTTGCAATGACTTTGTTGTAAACTTGAAAGTGAAATGTTAAACTGGAAGAGTAGGAAAAATAGTGAAGAAGCTTAATATTGAAAAGAAAAGGTTTAAAAAAAGGTATCAACAACAATATGTCCAAACAGCCTCAATGTCCTGAAATAGCTGAATAAGTTAATAGTTGAATGGTTTCTGCAGCTGAAGGAGATAGATATTAAATGTAAGTAGTAGTGAATGAATGTTTACAAACACCTGTGTGTGTAAACCCAGAGATCAAAGGTTACCATGGTGACAACGTTATCAAACACCTGTTTAAGTGAGCCCAGAGATCAAAGGTTTCCATGGAGATGTGCTGTGAAAGGAGAGCCTTTCCATTTGTTCTGAATGAGAGATAAACCTCTTGCATTTCTAACTTTAGTTGAAAAAAAAATAATACAAACCTCCAGTGTTTATGTGTGCATGTACCAGTCTGTCTGTGGGTGTGTCTGCTCTGATTAGATGATGTCACTCAGGTGTGTGGCTCCGATCTGCCCAGCAACACCATGGTTACCAACTGCAGCACTGAGTCCCATTAAGAATGCATTGAGGATTATATCTGACAATTTTACCTGTTAAAAAACTATGGCTCCTTTAAAAGAATTACCAGACCGTGAGCATCAGGGAACCCCAATTAACTGATGTATGTTTTTTTGTTGGGTTTTGTGTGTAAAATGTGAAGATGGGTGCAGTTTGTCTAAAGTTTACTTTTCTCTGTTCTGAAGAAAGTTCCGGACAAATTTAACATCTATTTGAAGCTAGATGGACTCTATTTGAAGCTAGGTGGACTTTTTGTCACTCAGATCACTATTGGGCCAGAACGGTGGGTCCGTTTGATATGATGAAGGCAATTGAGCAGGCCAGACTAATTATGCTCCTGAAATCTTTTGAAATGATTTGAATAGAGTATATTTTGGCTCTGAGAGCAGTTTTAAAATATTTTTTCCAAAGATTTGCACGAGCATTCCCACAAAGTAGTAATGAATTTCAGGGGGAAATTAAAGTAGCCTACCTGTAGCCTGTGTGAAACACAATGTGTAGAAGGCAATGTTTCGGTGTCAAGTGCACTGGTTCTAATTTGAGGCTTAAGAACCTATTGTAAAATTAATTCTGGAATAAACAATTTCATATATTCATATTTCATATACTGAATGACAAACAAGAGTTCAGGCAAACTAGCAGTTCTGTAGGTAATATGGCACAGTGCGCTAGTGGTCATGTTAGCATGCTAATATGCTCATATTGAAAATGCTAACGTGCTGAAGTTTAGCAGGTTTTAACATCTTGTCTTCTTAGCATGCTAACGTTCGCTAGTTAGCACTTAAGTCAATGCTAACATGCTGTAGTGAAGCACGTTGTACAATTTGTTTTCAGTGTTAGAATGCTAAAATTGGCTAGTTAGCTGAGCTCTGCAGTCAACGTATAGCTAAACTGCTAAACATACAGCGAGGAGGGAAATAACTGTCATTAGGTAAACTTGTTGAGGGTTTCTGCTGAAATTCATGGTGTTTGCCATTATCAAAGCAGACATATTGACATGGTAGGGAAACCACATGCTTAACTAAAAAAAACCTAATGGCTACAGTCCATTCAGAGGTATTGGCCTTGGCTTATAATGACACTGAATGAAAAGGAGAAATCATGCATGTTAGCCTACCTGTTCTGTAACCTACTACCTACTTCTAAGGGGGGTGTAAATAGTTATTAGAAAAACCTGAGAATTAGCATATTAAATGACAGTAGCTATATAAAAAGCTTCCAAATGATGTACAAAATTGACATCATGATATTCAAAAGTAGATAACGGTGGTTCAAAACGTAACAAATTCACCCTGTGAGGAACATAACATATTGAACCTGCCTCCTTTAAAAGCTAAATCTGTATTTGCTTAGGACACACACACAAATAAAAACACATTTCATTTAGCCGTCATCGTTTCCTCTGCAGAATTTAATTTGTTGCTTGGGTATTTTGTTACAGATGAACAGTATCACTCCATATACAACTACAAGTACAGTATTTTGTACAGTTCATATTCAAATACATAGTTTTCATTGGCTTATTTACAAAACACATTTTTATGTACACGTTTTCATGTCAGTGCAACGTCACTTTCTTTCAACAAACACCTTACAAAAAAGTTATTTAAATTAACACGTGTTGTTCAAATCCAACAAAAGTGAACTTAAATAAAAAGAGGCTACAGACACTGACAGACAGTTCAGTAGTAGATTGCACTGCCTTCTGGGGGGGGCGGGGCGAGATGGGCGGGGCTTTTGGGGATGAACTGAACTTAAGTTTTATTTGAGATAATACAGTTTAGGCTACAGGTTTGGTCATTATAGCATCACACAAGTTTAAGGGGATGTTCACAGCCACAACAAAACTTGACAGCTATTGCACCTTTAAATCAAGTGAACATTAAAAACAGGGTTCTCAAGAGACTAATCCTCAGGAAAGTTTTCCCTTCGAGCCATCTGATGACGTTTAAAACACCGACACAAACTGGACATCATCTACAGCTCGGTGCAAAGGCAGGTGGGTGGAGGACAAAAAGAGCTGAGCAAGCATACATAAATAGCACTCATCTGTACATTTCCATTTGTTCAACAAACGTACTTGGCAAAGGAAAATAAAGTTTAATTCAGTGACATATATCTCTCCAAAACACATCCATAAAGACGCCTTCTCCTCATAAATACAGCAGCTAAAAACACAGAATCATCTCCTGTGACCTCGAAGACAAAGTGGGGAACCGCTGACTGACCGACGCTGTCTGTTCACAGTGATTAGACCGAGCCCAGCTCAGGAGGAGCTCCACTCGCTGCTACACACCAGACACAAAGCTCCACCGTGACTCAACACTGCAAAACCTTTCAAATCAACCTCCACAGTCACATTAAGAAGCCAAAGCTTCAGATAAAAAGAAGGGACTGAATTTGAACGTAATTGAAACCAGTATTTAGACGTAAAACCTAATTTTCATGTTGGGTCCATTGTTGAGGGAAGTTTTTACAGATCTGACCAGCTCTCAACAGGTTCCACAGGCCATGTTTCTTTTGAAGAATAAATGCACATCAAACTGAAAGCATCCGATGGCAGTGGGTTTATGGGGACTGAAGTTTTGGTGTGCTGCATTCTGTACAGTATGTATCTAGTTGATTTCTAAAGGAATTTCAAAACAAACTAAATAAATGAAATCAACTGCATTTTAAATACATGCTTGCCATGCAATTTAATGGAAGTAAATGATTTGAAGTGCATCAATTAAACACTGTGTCTATGTCCCATGTAATTAGTATCCAATGATGTCACCCTTTCTAGAAATGTTCCAATTACTTTGCAGTTCTATCTCACTTCTTTCACAGGAAATCATTGGCTGTTATTTGTCTACCTTGTCTGGGCAAAGATGGGCAGTGGGCACCTCCCTTCGTTTTCATTGACTATTACAAGTTCGATATGGTAGATGTAGAATACTAAAAGAACAACAACTACATTTTGACTACCCTGCTGTGTTGGGGCCTTAATGTTTGGTATGAATGAAGGTTTTAAAGGTGCACCGAAAACATTGGAAATATATCCAATTGGCTTTGGGGCAATGATAGAGTTGGCCCACTTCAGCTAGATGGTAATCCAGATTTTAGAGAAGTTTTATGGATATTTTGTTTACCACAAAGGGGCAGGTAAGCATTAACTGCACACCAATATTTCTCATATGGGTAAGAATCATGAAAAGTTTTTTTTTGGTGACCTTTGTTGTTTTCACTTGTACTTCCGGATACTGATATGACAGTTGGCGCGGTTACAGGAGCAACTAAGCACAAAAAAGAGGTGAACGAGTCCACCAGAGAGAATGCTTAACAGACTTCTAGCATTCTGGCGTTAAACGAAAATTGAGTTCACCCATCAAAGTCTGCTGCCAGGTATCGGCGAGAACCTCTACATATGTGATATGATAAACGCCCTCATGTGATATTACTTGTGTTTGTTGGGGTTAAAGACTGCAAGTCTGAAAATGGAAAAAATCTAGGGGTGTGAAGTTAAAAAGAAGTGGGATTGACCAAACTCTTGATGGTTGAGTTGCACTGTGGGTAATGTAGGTGCCAAGTATGGACAAGAAAATGTAATATGTGGGATACAAAATAAGATGTTCTGAACTATACATTTGTATCCTTTTTTTATACTGGCCTATGTTGTAGGAGTGCTATGCTAAACCAGTGGAGTAGCATTTTAAGTTAAATAAAATCTTTAAATCCTTTTGTAAGTACAATCAATTGATTCCCAATGTCCCAAATATTCTGGCTTCTTACTGGAGGGTATATGGACATTAGTATACGAGATGAGTGTCAACAGTTGAGAATGGCAGCAGGTGGAAAGCTCATGTTGCGAGAGCGCTGTTAAGACCAGCCTTGTGTAGCTTTGAGACAAATATCCATTCCTAACCTGAAGTAGCTACTGAAGCCTGCCTTAAGAAAAAAACAAAACAATAAAATAAATATTTTATAAAACAACGTATTTGCAGAAAAAATTAAACATATACTGTATCTTTAAGTGTATCTATTTTGAATTCATGGCACCTGTCCTAAATAAACCCAGAGTGATACTTCAAGAGTAGACGATATGGGGACAAACAGATCAACATTGCACAAATCACCACTGATATTTGGCAGCTGTGGAATGGAACACAGTTTGGCAAAAATGCCTAATTTTATGTCCGCATCAGGACCTGTGAGTGTCCTAGAAGAGGGGGAGCTGAAATGTGTGTACCATGACTGCAAAGTTACATTTTGTGTATTACAATTAATACTGTCACAGACGTTTTAGGGTACAGTTGGCTGACAGACTGCAGGAAGCGTTGAGGTAGCATGTGACTTACCCTAGTGACATTTTTGCAAATAAAACCTTTGAAACTTTTGAAAAGCTTGTCATAGTATCACATCAACATCATGTTGAACTGTGGCATCAAATTTGACACCGTTTTTTTTAAACTCTTGGCCCTGTTTACGGTGGCTGTATCCATTAGGATAGGGGGCTGCAGTTTCAAAGACGATGCAAATAAAAAAACACAAATGTGCCAAAACACATGCAAATGAGGAAACATCTATGCCAACTTCAAAACACAAGCGCAGCGTTTACTACAATCGCCGCATAATCGAAACGCTGCAAATAAAAAAAAATGAAGCCCAAAGCACAACGGAAACGGGGACACTAAAAAGTGATGCACACAGTTGGGACCGGAGTGCTTGTTGATGTTCCGACATTATAAAGTTGGCTCTGTTGGCATAGTTAGCCTGTTTGATCATTTTAAGTGTCGCGTCAGTATCCTTGAAATGACTAGGTTTGCTACGCTAGCTAGCTACCCAATGATATTATTACCAAATAATATCAGAAGGAATCATGTGATCACATTGATAAAATATGCCAACAAAACCTTCATTTTAGGTAAGTTTCCAGTGACAGTGATTGTTGGCCAACTTTAATCCGAACGTCCACAAGCGCTAAGGTCCCAGCTGTGTGCACTTTTTAGTGTCCCAATTTCCATTTTGATCTTTTTTTATTTGTAATGTTTCGTTTACGACCGCTATAAGTAAACGCTGCGCATGTTGGGTCAAGTTGGTGAAGATGTTCCTTCATCTGCATGTGTTTTGGCACATTTGTGTTCTGATCTTTACATTGTTTTTGAAAGTGCTGATGTAGCGCGTTTGCACGTGTCAGCCACCGTACGTTTTGGCATTTAAACTGTAACCAATCATTGGCTTTGCACTTACACTTCATTGTTTTCCTTCTACTGGTCAGATATCTAGGCTCAGATCACATGTGGACCCCTGGTGTTTTTTTTTTTCCATTCTGACATCAGCGAAATATGCACAATGACAAAGCAACATCACTTCATGACTTGGCCATACTGGCAAACATTCAGAGATGTGTTAGTATGCAAGTATGTGTTACATGTATGTTCTGGCAGGGGTTGAGGAGAAGGGGCGGGGGGGTTTGTTTCGTCTGGCTCAGCAAAGTGCGACAGTTTTAGTGCTTTCGCCAGGGCTCCACTGTTGTCTTGACAAACCTTTGCACTGAAATATGTATGCGATCAAGTGTAGAAAGTGCTGAGGCGCATCTCTAAAGACAGAGAGCACAGGACATCCGACTCCAGTCATTAGCAGTTTGAGAGAATTCTTCAGAAGGACTGCAGGCGGGAGCGGAGAGCGGGTGTAGTGCCGGATGATGGAAGACGAGGTGCGATCACTGGAGCACACAGTATTTCTTGTAGTCGGACTCAAAGTCTTCATCCATGCTACTGGTGTCGGCCATCTTCTTGCCATCGATCTTTGGCAGAAACTGGGAGTAGTCGACCCCCTGCTGCTCGTAGAAGAGGATGTAGGCCGAGTCGGTGTCGATCTCCTCAGAGTGCACTTCCTGTAGGGAACGCAGAGAGAATGTGAGTGATTAGGTTGATTTAACTGTTGTAACAACCCCTTTGACAATTCTGTTAAACCCTACAGGCATATTTTAGATGTGGTGTTGTGTGCATCCACCACTAGATGCCTCTAAAGTCAAGAATTGCCACATGCTCCTTATATTCAGTTTGCAAAGATTTAGTTTACATTTTAAAACTCTTGATTCTGTCTATCGGTTTGAAAACAGAAATTGCTATGATATTGACTTACAAAAGTCACGGTACCAGACATTTTGTGGTCAATAGCAATACCATTGCAATTCCACTATTCCCTCCCTAATATCTATTTCATATTGCTGTGAAAATGTCTCCATCTCAATAACTGTATTTTTTCTAAATCTTTCACCAAGAAACAATTATTTCACAATATCATAATTTAACGCAATACTTAGTTTTACTTAGTCTCGAGCCCCCGGTACCTAAGGTACCGAAGTATTTGTTCTTGTGACATCCTGACAATTTGCTCCCCTGCCTTAAAGGAGCTAAAGTCTGTGGAATATCCCTGAAATGCCAGCTTGTGGGTGGGGGTTAAACAGTGAAATTCCTCTAATTCCAAAATAGTACAAAACAAAAAAAGAGTCTCTTCATAGGCACTGACGGTGGATGTTGTACTATATGTTTGGCCCGGTAATCATGGCAATAGTTAAAATACATGAATAGTATGCTATTAGTTGTGGGAACAGAATATACAGTGTCTTACCTTACAGCTGCTGTCATTGTAACAGTACCATTTATCTTTGGGGTTTTTGGCATATGTCACATAGTGGCCTCCTCCCATGATTCCTGAATGGCACTGACGAGAGAAAGGAGAAATGCATTATAAGAAAAAGCTTATTGAGCGATGCTAAAAAATACTCTTTGATACTGTTGATGTGGGATTCTTACAGATATTGCATAGAGGTTGTAGATGGCATCCAGACAAATGTTGTCTCTGTGCTGGAGCAGGGAGTTGTCAGGGTCCATGCTGCTCTCCGTGCTGCAGTCTGAGCCCAGCCCGTTGCTCTCTCCGTTCATCAGGACTACGTCACAGTGGCTGCTGGACGCCTCAGTACCGCATGATGCGTCCGTCACGATCACATCTCCTAAACCTGGAAGACCTGCTGTGCTCCCCTCAGTCTCTGAATGCTCTGCCTCAGGATTAGCGGCTCCATCCAGGCTCTCTTTGCTGTTGGAGAGGCGGTGCCGGCTGCCCAGCTGGGGCAGGCGTAGCCGGCCTGGCCTGCGGCCCCCGCTGCCGCTCTTTGGGCTGCCAGAGGGGCTGCTGGTCCGGGTGAGAGAAGGTGCCGACTTCCTGCTCGAGGCGGGAGAAGCTGTAGGGAAAACCAATAGTTAAATACACTTCCTCTGCTGTTAGGCCTCTGCTCTGCTCATCCAGGAATGAGTACTGAACCCGCTAATTAATTTGCGTTTTGGTACCTCAAGCTTCTTTGTCTCAAAGTCAATGGTTTCTTTGAAGACATTTTTGGTTAGATTGAATACAAGCTTACACGATGTAAACGTTTGTTTCTATGAGATAAAAAAACGCCAGTAAATACCCCACTGGTGAATATCTGAAGCTTCTATGTGTCTTGAATAGGGTGGTTGTTAACAAGTGGCTGATTTTGCCCACTCCATGTCTGCACGCGGAACATTAGCTGCCTTTAGCTTAGCGGTGGTGACGTAAAGTTCTAAACAGTCATGTAGTTTGTTTATAGCCTAACCTTTTAGCTAGTTTTTGAATGAGTTTTGGGTTGGATTCCTGAAATAAGGTCTGTGATTAATACAAGCTTAGGAGATTTTGTGTTGATTTGAAGTCATGTGACGGTGATGTAGTTTGTTTTTAGCATTATGTTAGCCTTCTACTTCTGGCTATTGCATTTATGCATCAAAAATCATAAAAGTGATGTTAATATGTGGAGGTAATCCTGCTGAATAAAACATGTAAGTATCATCAATGCGTGTTGGCCAAAGATCCTACTTTCTGCAACATTTAAAAATCCAGCGAAAAAATCCCATTGCTTGTAGTCGAAGGAGCCCTTACAACTACTAACTTCCATTGGCCTGTCCATTTAGTTTCACAAGCCATCATGCTCTTTGTCATCAAACACACCAAATGGTCTCTTTAAAAATATGAGCTGCCTCAGTGCATGAGAGGCTTGCCATAACTAAATAATAGTCTTTAACCTGTGGTATCTTTGGGGAGGTTGCAGAAGCCAGCGGGGGCAGAGATGGAGGACAGGTTGTCCTCTCCGACCCTCAGCAGATCCTCGCTCTGGCTGCGGGAGTGAAGGCAGCGCTGCTCCAGGTCTCTGGGGGCCAGGAAGGCGCTGGGGTCAAAATGCTGCCTTGGGAACTTGACAATCTTCTGGGATTTGATCCAACGGCCATTTACAAACTGGAAGCGCTTCAGGTGGACAATCTGGATAAGAGAACATACATCCTTGAACTATTTTCAAGCAGTAAATATTACAAAACATGTAGGGTTCTACTCAAAGTGAGCCAGACGTATGAGTGAGCCACTGACCAGCATGGGCGGCAGCCTCCAGAGGTCCAGCTTCTTAGTGGCCAGCCGGTGCGTCTTGCACTTGGAGCAGTAGTAGAGCTCGTCCTCACCCAGCTCCTCCTCGCTGGTGAAGGCCTTCAGGCAGCTGTCCAAGCTGATGGGCTCAGCCTGGGCCCGACGCGACTGCTCCACACTGCAGTGTTCCTCCACAATCTGCGGAGAGGCCGGTATGGTGAGGATACTGAACAAGGTGAGGCTACATTTTATCTTTATTCTTTTTTTCAAATGCAGCTCTTGAATGTCAGAGACTGACTGAAAGAAAAACTGTGCTAGATGAAATAATGTTTCAGAGAAAGCAACTATTGCCATTACACTTTTCATTATGATGAGATAAGGAGTCACAAGATAAGTGGCTGATAATGAACAGTGTTATGTGTTCATAAAAAAAGAGCTTCACAGTTAACACACAAAATTGTGTTTGAATAATAATCATAATTATAATAATAATAACTGACGTTTATATTGCGCCTTTCATAAACCCAAGGACGCTTAAACAAGTGTGTGTGTGTGTGTGTGTTTGTGTGTGTGTTTTACCCTCTCCTGGGAGGTCTGGTAGCGGAGGTGCAGGGCGGTTGGGTCCCAGTCCACAGCTATGTAAGCATTTCCTACAGAGGCTCTGTCCTCTGAACACTCTATTGTACAGCCTCGACAGAACCTGGGGAAACAGATATTATGCATTCATTTTGCAGTATTTTATACATTAAATGTTTTATAATAAATGTTTATGTTACATACTTGCTCTAATCAATTCAAATAGGATAATTTCAAATCAAAATCTAGACAAAGTGGTCTTAAACCAGCAGATGCATGGTTTGGGTGCCTTACCTGTACCAAGGACACCAGGCACAGGAGGTGCCGTCCTTTCCCACCACCCGTAGAGTGAAGGGGTATTGGTAGCCCATACTGTCGTCACTGCAGGTTAGAAGAAGATCAAATCAATTCAAGTACACTGTTAGTGCAGATGTCAATATTTTGAAACTGCCTTCTGCTTTTTTCACAGTTCTATTCATCAATAACCCTTGATTCTTATTGTCTGGATCAGCTCAGGTCATTCCTAATATCTTCATTGCTACAAAAAGTCTGTGACAATTTCCTCTCTGTTATTTAAGTGCTAAGATACTAGCCTTGTATTGTGTTTAGCTAGCTTAGAAATGTAGTATGTGAGTGTAAATATGTAGGTATGTGTGCTAAGATGACAGCATAAAGAAGTGGCAGATTTGTTGGTATGTATATAGACATTTTAAAGACGATTATTTTTGGCCTTTTTTTGTAGATAAAGATAGATGGATATGAGAGGGGAAAAAGTTATCCAAGGATGTATTGTTTTTAATATAGCTTTTGTGATGGTGTAGGGTACCTAATGGGAATTAGGATATTACGCTGTGCAGATGACGTTAAAGGCTTGTGATTTAGTTATATTGGTATCTTTGTCTTCGATCTGTGGAAGGAGGGAATAAATGCAAACCTACATGTAGGTCTGCTGAAAACTAAAACATGTTGGAAGGAAGATGGAGAAGAGGTGTGTTCGTACCAGTCCTGGGCGTGGTTGCTGGCCTCCTGTGGGGGGAGGGGGCTGGCCAGGCGGGACACTTGGATCCAGACAGCGTCGTACAGATCCTTCTTACTGGTGTGGACAGTGCAGGGAACGATGAGCGGCATGCCAAACAGACTGGCCCGGTTCTTCTGAGAGGACAGGAAGTACAGCTCCGTACGCATCTGAAGGGACAACACAAACAGGAAGTTATATAATTTGGGACTTACACAGTATACCTAACATCATTCATCCATTCATTTATAAATAAACATTATATTTATTGAATCTGTTTGTCCATATACTGTATAGGTCACTCAAAGTAGAAACACAAACAAGCAGAATATAAGTACAAATAAATCAAGAAGCAGGCCTTGTATGTCTATAATATGAAACCTTCGTTTTTTTATAATATTAAAAAACAACATCCATCCATCATCCATCCTTCCATCCATCCATCTTCCATTCCTCCATCCATCCATCTTCCATTCCTCCATCCATCTTCCATTCCTCCATCCATCCATCTTCCATTCCTCCACCCATCCTTCCATCTTCCATTCCTCCATCCATCCATCTTCCATTCCTCCATCCATCCATCTTCCATTCCTCCATCCATCCATCTTCCATTCCTCCATCCATCCATCTTCTATCCATCCATCCATCTTCCATTCATCTTCCATTCCTCCATCCATCCATCTTCCATTCCTCCCTCCATCCATCTTCCATTCCTATATCCATCCATCCATCCATCTTCCATTCCTCCATCCATCCATCTTCCATTCCTCCATCCATCCATCTTCCATTCCTCCATCCATCCATCTTCCATTCCTCCATCCATCCATCTTCCATTCCTCCATCCATCCATCTTCCATTCCTCCATCCATCTTCCATTCCTCCATCCATCTTCCATTCCTCCATCCATCCATCTTCCATTCCTCCACCCATCCTTCCATCTTCCATTCCTCCATCCATCCATCTTCCATTCCTCCATCCATCCATCTTCCATTCCTCCATCCATCCATCTTCTATCCATCCATCCATCTTCCATTCATCTTCCATTCCTCCATCCATCCATCTTCCATTCCTCCCTCCATCCATCTTCCATTCCTATATCCATCCATCTTCCATTCCTCCATCCATCCATCTTCCATTCCTCCATCCATCCATCTTCCATTCCTCCATCCATCCATCTTCCATTCCTCCATCCATCCATCTTCCAATCCTCCCTCCATCCATCTTCCATTCCTCCATCCATCCATCTTCCATTCCTCCATCCATCTTCCATTCCTCCATCCATCTTCCATCCATCCATCTTCCATTCCTCCCTCCATCCATCTTCCATTCCTCCATCCATCCATCTTCCATTCCTCCCTCCATCCATCTTCCATTCCTCCCTCCATCCATCCATCCATCTTCCATTCCTCCATCCATCCATCCATCCATCTTCCATTCCTCCATCCATCCATCTTCCATTCCTCCATCCATCCATCTTCCATCCATCCATCTTCCATTCCTCCATCCATCCATCTTCCATTCCTCCATCCATCCATCCATCCATCTTCCATTCCTCCCTCCATCCATCTTCCATTCCTCCATCCATCCATCTTCCATTCCTCCCTCCCTCCATCTTCCATTCCTCCATCCATCCATCTTCCATTCCTCCATCCATCCATCCATCCATCTTCTATCCATCCATCCATCCATCTTCCATTCCTCCATCCATCCATCTTCCATTCCTCCATCTTCCATTCCTCCATCCATCCATCTTCCATTCCTCCCTCCATCCATCTTCCATTCCTCCATCCATCCATCTTCCATTCCTCCATCCATCCATCTTCCATTCCTCCCTCCATCCATCTTCTATTCCTCCATCCATCCATCTTCCATTCCTCTCTCCATCCATCTTCCATTCCTCCATCCATCCATCCATCCATCTTCCATTCCTCCATCCATCCATCTTCCATTCCTCCATCCATCTTCCATTCCTCCATCCATCCATCTTCCATTCCTCCATCCATCCATCTTCCAATCCTCCCTCCATCCATCTTACATTCTTCCATCCATCCATCTTCCATTCCTCCATCCATCCATCTTCCATTCCTCCATCCATCCATCCATCCATCTTCCATTCCTCCATCCATCTTCCATTCCTCCCATCCATCCATCTTCCATTCCTCCCTCCATCCATCTTCCATTCCTCCCTCCATCCATCTTCCATCCATCCATCCATCTTTCATTCCTCCATCCATCCATCTTCCATTCCTTCCATCCATCCATCTTCCATTCCTCCATCCATCCATCTTCCATTCCTCCCTCCATCCATCTTCCATTCCTCCCTCCATCCATCTTCCATTCCTTCCTCCCTCCATCCCATCTTCCATTCCTCCCTCCATCCATCTTCCATTCCTCCATCCATCCATCCATCCATCCATCCATCTTCCATTCCTCCATCCATCCATCTTCCATTCCTCCCTCCATCCATCTTCCATTCCTCCCTCCATCCATCTTCCATTCCTCCATCCATCTTCCATTCCTCCCTCCATCCATCCATCCATCCATCTTCCATTCCTCCATCCATCCATCTTCCATTCCTCCATTCCATCCATCCATCTTCCATCCATCCATCTTCCATCCATCCATCTTCCATTCCTCCATCCATCCATCTTCCTTTCCTCCATCCATCCATCTTCCATTCCTCCATCCATCCATCCATCCATCTTCCATTCCTCCATCCATCCATCTTCCATTCCTCCCTCCATCCATCTTCCATTCCTCCTCCATCCATCCATCTTCCATTCCTCCCTCCATCCATCTTCCATTCCTCCCTCCATCCATCTTCCATCCATCCATCCATCTTTCATTCCTCCATCCATCCATCTTCCATTCCTCCATCCATCCATCTTCCATTCCTCCATCCATCCATCTTCCATTCCTCCATCCATCCATCTTCCATTCCTCCCTCCATCCATCTTCCATTCCTCCCTCCATCCATCTTCCATTCCTCCCTCCATCCATCTTCCATTCCTCCATCCATCCATCCATCCATCCATCTTCCATTCCTCCATCCATCCATCTTCCATTCCTCCCTCCATCCATCTTCCATTCCTCCCTCCATCCATCTTCCATTCCTCCATCCATCCATCTTCCATTCCTCCCTCCATCCATCTTCCATTCCTCCATCCATCCATCTTCCATTCCTCCATCCATCTTCCATCCATCCATCTTCCATTCCTCCATCCATCCATCTTCCATTCCTCCATCCATCCATCTTCCATTCCTCCATCCATCCATCTTCCATTCCTCCCTCCATCCATCTTCCATTCCTCCTCCATCCATCCATCTTCCATTCCTCCCTCCATCCATCTTCCATTCCTCCATCCATCCATCTTCCATTCCTCCATCCATCCATCCATCTTCCATTCCTCCATCCATCCATCTTCCATTCCTCCCTCCATCCATCTTCCATTCATCCATCTTCCATTCCTCCCTCCATCCATCCATCCATCCATCCATCTTCCATTCCTCCCTCCATCCATCTTCCATTCCTCCCTCCATCCATCTTCCATTCCTCCCTCCATCCATCCATCCATCTTCCATTCCTCCATCCATCCATCTTCCATTCCTCCATCCATCTTCCATCCATCCATCTTCCATTCCTCCATCCATCCATCTTCCATCCATCCATCTTCCATTCCTCCATCCATCCATCTTCCATTCCTCCATCCATCCATCCATCCATCTTCCATTCCTCCATCCATCCATCTTCCATTCCTCCCTCCATCCATCTTCCATTCCTCCTCCATCCATCCATCTTCCATTCCTCCCTCCATCCATCTTCCATTCCTCCATCCATCCATCTTCCATTCCTCCATCCATCCATCTTCTATCCATCCATCCATCCATCCATCTTCCATTCCTCCATCCATCCATCTTCTATCCATCCATCCATCCATCCATCTTCCATTCCTCCATCCATCCATCTTCCATTCCTCCATCCATCCATCCATCTTCCATTCCTCCCTCCATCCATCTTCCATTCCTCCATCCATCCATCTTCCATTCCTCCATCCATCCATCTTCCATTCCTCCATCTTCCATTCCTCCATCCATCTTCCATTCCTCCCTCCATCCATCTTCCATTCCTCCCTCCATCCATCTTCCATTCCTCCCTCCATCCATCTTCCATTCCTCCATCCATCCATCCATCCATCCATCTTCCATTCCTCCATCCATCCATCTTCCATTCCTCCCTCCATCCATCTTCCATTCCTCCCTCCATCCATCTTTCCATTCCTCCATCCATCCATCTTCCATTCCTCCATCCATCTTCCATCCATCCATCTTCCATTCCTCCATCCATCCATCTTCCATCCTTCCATCTTCCATTCCTCCATCCATCCATCTTCCATTCCTCCATCCATCCATCTTCCATTCCTCCCTCTATCCATCCATCCATCTTCCATTCCTCCCTCTATCCATCCATCCATCTTCCATTCCTCCATCCATCCATCTTCCATTCCTCCATCCATCCATCTTCCATTCCTCCATCCATCCATCCATCCATCCATCCATCCATCTTCCATTCCTCCATCCATCCATCTTCCATTCCTCCCTCCATCCATCCATCCATCTTCCATTCCTCCATCCATCTTCCATTCCTCCATCCATCCTTCCTACATCCATCCATCTTCCATTCCTCCCTCCATCCATCTTCCATTCCTCCATCCATCCATCTTCCATTCCTCCATCCATCCATCCATCTTCCATCCTTCCATCTCTCCATCCATCCATCTTCCATTCCTCCCTCCATCCATCCATCTTCCATTCCTCCCTCCCTCCATCTTCCATCCATCCATCCATCTTCCATTCCTCCATCCATCCATCTTCCATCCATCCATCTTCCATTCCTCCATCCATCCATCTTCCATTCCTCCCTCCATCCATCTTCCATTCCTCCATCCATCCATCTTCCATCCCTCCATCCATCCATCCATCTTCCATTCCTCCACCCATCCTTCCATCCATCCAGTCCTCCATCCATTCATCTTCCATTCCTCCATCCATCCATCTTCCATTCCTCTATCCATCCATCCATCCATCCATCCATCTTCCATTCCTCCATCCATCCATCTTCCATTCCTCCATCCATCCATCTTCCATTCCTCCACCCATCCTTCCATCCATCCATCTTCCATTCCTCCCTCCCTCCATCCATCCATCCATCATTCCTCCCTCCATCGCTGCTTTCGTATTCCCACCATCTTTCTGTGCATGGCGATGATGTATCCAATGAAGGGGCTCTCCTGCATGGGTGTGATGTGTCCGTTGGAGACCCCGTTGGCGAAGGGCGTCTCTGGGTTATAGGGCACAACAGTGCTGGGCCCACCGTTGGGGATGAGGACGGGCTTGTTGCCTAGGTCACCGTTTGGAGCCGAGCCGTTGGCTATCAGGGTTACATCTAGTGAAGGGGAAGAGCGAGGAGGTGAGAAATCTGTGGATTCAGACAGAGTGATGTTCATGAGAGAGTAATGACCGAGGGTGAGGCTCACCTGTCAGCGTGGGGGAGCACAGAGACGTTGGGGAACCTGGCACCGGGATCTCAAACGCACACAGGAAGCCGTTCACAGACAGACGCACCTTGTGGTTGTCCTGAGGAAAGGTCTTGACACAAAGACAGACAGTAGCAGATTAGCATCATGCTCACTTGCCCTGAGAGGAGATCAGGTCACATTTTTCTTGCCCCTATACAAGTAGTTATCCAATAACATAAAAACGTAATTTAAATGTTGTGTTAATATTTATCTTAGTACAGTAAATCAATAGGAACAAGGACAGGACACAGTATGTATTTTATATTATTATTTTGTATCACAATCATTACAGTGGAACATAGAAAACATTATGTTAACTTTGTCTAACTATGTAAATAAGAATGCAACAACTAAAGTGAACTCCAATAGTCAAAAGGCTAACATCTGTAAAAGCTGCAGTGATGAGAAACCAAGACCCTAGAAGCAATATTCTGCTGTGTAAATAAAGACATTGAACCAAAATAGTAAGGACATGCTTTATATAGAACAATAGCAATTAGATGAATAATATTTAGAATAATCCAACCAAAACAATTTTCTTTATTAAGTACAATACAGCTGCCTTTATGTTGGTGGAAATAATATCAATGATGCAGTTGCCTGCACAGTGGTCAATGAAGCCAAGGTTGGTTGTAAATGAAACCTGATTATTTCACTATTTGCTCACTGGATTTTGATCTTATTTGCAAGAGTAAAATAATCTCAAAAGAGTAAATTAAGTTTAGTTGACATCGTTGTTCGAAACTGTCTTCAATGCTTGATCTTTCTTTCCTTTTTAATATAATTATGCTTTGCAAATGCAAGTTAGCATGTCATCAGCCCTACATCTTCTGCATCCACCCCAAAACAAAGTATCTATGTTGAATTTTGTTTGTGAAGTGTTGGGTTAACTGGGCCTTTAATCTGATATCTTAATGTGTTGAAGGACCCTAAACATAATCTTGCTTCCTGCCCTTGAAGTGTTTAAGACGAGGCCTGCAGTGTGGTGTTGTACCTTGATGTTGGAGGTGTGGACCTCAGCCAGGAGGATCTGCTCAGGCTTCAGACTGCACAGCTCACTCAGCTGTTTCTTCAGCCCTGTGTACTTCTCATCCATATTCAGCCGCAGGCCGTAGCGCACAGGGGTGGAGCCGTCCAGTTTAATGACTGCACACATAAACACAACATTATACCTTGTTCAGGTTATTTTCAAAGGATACTTTCAGAATCTCCCCTCACCAGTGATCTCCAGATGCATGGAGCTGTCCATGGGCAGGGGCAGGGACAAGAAGTTGAAGGGGTCGAAGCGAGCGCTGATGTGTCCGCACGTCTTGCACTTCACCTGGGACTTGAGCTGACCGTGGAACAGATCCACCACGATGGAGCGGTTCCTGCGCAGGTGGTTCTCCCACGCCTTCAGGGAGCAGGAGCATGGACACACACACAGAACAGTCAGATCACACAAGTCCTACCTCAGCAAAAATACCTAATTAAAGTAGAGCTTGGCTGATTAGACTCTTATAATGGACTGCAGAGGAAAGGACAGCTTATTAAATCAATCTCTCTCCAATGAGGGGAGTGCTCCACTCTCAATTGAAACGGTAGCATTAAGTGTTCAGAGAGTTGAAATAATAAAGTCATACAGTACTTGGCCTATTCGGTTTTATAGCTTTTACTCTATTTATGTAAGCGTAGTTTTATTGATCCAATTGTGGGATTCTTTTTTGTCGCAGCAGCATGGAAAACAAGGCATTGCACATGAGTTACAAATTAAATAAAAAACAAGGTATAAGATTATGGGGCTGAATCTGGGTTTGTTTTTTCCGAATGATCATCAAAACAAATTTAGCTCCATATAAGATATGTACAAATAAATGAATAAGGCTTATTGTAATTATTTAGTTATTGTAACAGTAATTTATTAAAATGTTGCAAATTTAAGATATTGCTTGCTATGTCAAATGGAAAAATATAGTGAACCTTCATTATTTTTTAACAGATGCCTTTTTTTTAAGTTATCCCCGAAACCTTTGACTGTGATGGATGTGATTTTCTCCTTCTTTCTATGCAGAGATACGATACTCTGTCCGAAACCGTTACACTACAGTGATTGGAGTAGTATTCCTTTCATTTGTGGACCATAGTAGTTGATCAGCAGTGTCTCTGACCTCAGAGGCCACCTCCCAGTCGGGCCGCCCGTCGCTGTCCTTCAGCTCCACGTAGGGCTTCTCATGGACTCTGTTCAGGTCTTCATGGAGACCGTCCAGCAGGAAGGCCAGCAGCTCCTGGGAGTCCTGCTGCTGGAAGCCGTTAAAGCGCGGGGCGTACTTTGCTATTGTCCACTGGGGAGGAAGCGATGACATCACAATGTTTTTTTCAACAAACAAACCCGTTAAAGCCTTTTAAAGACAATTATTAAAATAGCTCCGGTAGCAAGTAGGATCAGCACATACAGTGGTGCTGGTAGTACATTTAATATCTTACTTGAGTACAATTTTGAGGTACTTGTACTTTACTTTAGAATTTTCATTTAATGCTACTGTTTACTTCTACTCCACTACATTTTGGAAGCCAATATTATACTTTTTACTCCGCTACATTCATCTGAAAGCTTCTTTACAGATTAAGATTATTAGCTTAAAAAACGTTGTTATCTAGCTGCAATACACTATGTCATTTAAATGAGCTCCACCTTTAACTGCTGTGATGACAAGGGTTATGGTTCTGTTGCTTCAGAAAATATTTTGAATGCGGGACTTTTCTACTTTTACTTAAGTATACAATCTGAGTATTGCCTTTAAAACTGCAGAAATGTGAAGGGAAAAAAACTACAATACCTGACCAGACTCAGAACCTAAGTTTAAATCAAACAGATGCTAAGAGACATAACAACCCGTTATCCCTGTTAGCATTAGCATTCTTTCAGTGGACCACACACATACAGTCAAACACACATTTACACACTATAGCCACATAAACACCATGAAGATAAACAAACAAAACAACAAATCACATGTAATCATCAAGTATGGAACTGAGACAAAATGATCATCCTTTCAATTAAGCCAAACACGAAATGTACGATAAATTCCTCAATAAATGAGCAATTCCTCAAGCATTAATAACGCATTTCTACTGGAAATAAATAGTAAATAATGGCAAACTTAACTTCATGTCTGAAATAACCTTGAATTGTTTATTTACTGTATCTATCCTGCGCTTTCAGACATACCAAATTCCAAGAAAATAGGGTATTCTCTGTCAATGGAGATATCTACTTTCACCCTTGTTTAGTTTCTAGTTCTTACACCTTATCTCTTAGTCTTCATTGTGGACCCACAAGTCTTTCAAATGTCATGTTTTCAGAGCAGTGGTGAAGCTTCTTACCCTGAGTTTGAGCGGAGCGATGTTCTTCTGAGTGCCGCTCCACAGCTCCATCACCAGGTCACCGTAGCACTTGGCCATGTGACCTCGCATCCCGATGGGGTTGGTCCTGTAAACGCACCAACGCGGGCCAGTTAGGGTGATAGGTTCAGGATCATGATGGGAACATTCAGACCAGAGTGCTACCTACCTGTTGAGCTCGTAGAGGTGTCTCCCTGAGATGAAGTAGTCTGTCAGAGGCTTGGTGTTGCTCACACACTGGATACTGGAGTTCATGAAACAGGTGTTGCCAAGGTTACTGAGGCCTGTGGCTCCTTTCTCTGTGGGAACTGGGAGGGGAAACAAAGACAAGCTTTCTATACTGACCTCATACTATAAAGTTAAAATTGTTGCTAGAGGGAATCAGAGACAATATTGTTCTACAGTATACTACTGTATGTTGGCACATGTGAGACAACGAGTGTGTTTGTGCGGGATATGTTTCTGCAACACTAAGAGATGGATAGATTTAAATATGATGTCTATGTAACCCTTAAAGGTAAACATTAATATTAAAATTAACTACGTTAAATACTAATAACAATGGTTAATTGTTTGCACAAACTATGCAGTTAAAGGAATTAAATATATTTGGTTTGAATGGATTATTTTTCCAACCAACAATCGTACGCATACTTTTTTGGCAATCTTTGATTCTGGATAAATGAAGGGAGGTAGCTTTCTTCCACAGACCTGTATGATTGCGAGTTTGTTCTTTTAGCGGCTCTTACATTATCTGTTTATAATAATAATCCTTATATTTATTATAGCGCTTTATCAAAGACTCTCAAAGCGCTTTACAAATACACATTACACATACAGATCATACATGTAATGGTCATCTACTGTGGACAATACCCACAGGAGCAAATTCGGGTGAAGTGTCTTGCCCAAGGACACAACGGTCTGACGCAGTGGGGCGGGAGCGGGTTTCGAACTGGAGTTCCCCAACGCCCCCCTTGATCTGATGATCAAACGCACAGACCACTGCGCCACCCGTCCCCGTTTAGTAATCCTTTTTTGGGTTTCAGGAGGAATGGCTTTGGATAAAAGCCAAGATTAAGAATGGCGACTGTCAATCAAATGCGAAACATTAGCTCAATTTGTGGAACAAATGATTAAAATGCTATGCAGTCCAGCACAAAAAGGGACACTTGGTCACCCAACTTGCCTCCAACTATATCATACAAAGAGTAGATTTGTGAGGGTGGCAAGATGTCCCTTCATATCTACAGTTCATATCTACCATTCAGAGCAGGTCAATATTTGACAAAAACTAACAATTTCTCATTTACAAAAGCACAATAAACTCCTCCAGTGTTTTCCAGCTTACCTTTGTGTCTGTCCATCTTACTACTGTTGGCAATGAAAGACATTTCCTCAGGCCAGCTCATGTCTTTGTTCCTGACTGTGGAGGGAAAGAAAGAGATTAAACCAATTCACTCATTGTTTAGAATGACCTTTTATCAATAAGATGGTGTGTTGTTGTCACACTTTTATGCATCTGAATATATGTTTTTGGCAGGATTTGTAACGGGTAGGTGATTCAAACCTTCAATAACTAGCTGCTGCTCGTCATAAATCTTCAGGCTTTCCAGTGTGTGGTCTTCATCGTCCAGGAGGGTGAGGTAGTTCTGCAGGACAAAGAGAGGAGAAACATACTTTTAATTCATCAGACTATGGAACTATTACTCTTCTGCATCGCTGCATTTTAAATGTACCATTACATTTGGTCTTATGAAAGCTGCTGGGCTCCTAATATCCCATTGCTCCTTCCACACTTTGAGTGAGTTGAGATTCTTTTTCTGTCCCCTTGTTCGCTTGTGTGGTCATTTGACAACATTTTGATTTAGTTATACATTCTTTAAGTGTTATAGTGAACATCCAGCCAACATTATTAACTACCTTCATCCTTATGATCAGAATTGATTTAAAATATTTGTATTGGTTTTTAACGCTCTTAATGGTCTTGGTCCTAGCTATCAGATTTGCTTTTAACCTATGAACCCTAACCGATTAAAGTAAAAACAAAGTTCCACTGTTCGGATTATTATTATGGCCCCAAAGTGTGGAACATCCCCCATGAATTACATGGAAAAGAGGGGGTGTTAGAAACTTAAAATAATTTTTTTTGGGTTTTATTAAGCACTTTTCATTAACGTTTGTGTATAAAAAGTGCTATATAAATATAGTATGATTTGTAATATACTGGCTGACCAATATCTGATATCGTCTAAAATCCATACTGTATGTATGAAAGTAACCGTGAAAGCTTGTTGGCCCACCTCACTGTTGTAGAGCCAGAGCCTCATGTCCTCCTCCTTGATGCGCAGTCTCTGGGACAAGTACAGGTGGATGTCTTTGATAGTGCCCATGCGGCTGAAGCAGCCGGTGTAGGCCAGCATCCTCTTCAGAGGAGCGTTGGGTGAGGGTACGCTTCCTGCTAAGGCGCACAAAAACGACAGGAAAATTCACAAAAAAATCATCAGAGCAAATCGGTGTGTTAATATAATTATTTCTTAGCTTCAACAGTGACTTTAAAATCCTTGTGTGATTAAAAAGTCAACTAACATTGTCAATGCACAAGCTTACAGATGCAAACAAGTGATCAATTCCAACAACAGCATTGTGGTGACTGAGGATTAGTTGTAAGGAAGCAGCAAGAAAGGGCTTTTTTAAATTTTATAATCAATCAGCGCAGATTTGATTGGTCAATCATCTTAGTGGATTTAGTGGACTCAGATTGGATCAAATCAAAGACAAACCAATCAATATCAGTCCTGTTTCTTTCAATTAATATTCACCTAAATGATATTGACTTGAAAATGATTAATAAACTAGTGATTTAGAGTGTTATGTTTTCAACCTTCACAGATTTGCTTTTCAATGAACCATCCTCTACACTTGTTTGAATGCTCTACTGTTGTCAGGAAGACATTGTGTTGTATTTGACGCATAATTGGATCAATTTGAGATATTTAGCCACATCCCCGAGAGAGGGCTTTAATGGCAGGCAATGACAAGCAGCTGCTCAAGACACATTATGAGTCATGATGGAACCCGAAGCTCCACTCGGGACTGAAACCTGATAAGATGACTTGATTTGAAAAAGCGCTCGCATGCTGAGTGCTGATGCCTGATTACCCAGGAGCCACTTCTTCATTTCATGCTTTGTCATCGGCTTCTTTTAGCAATGAGGCCTTTTCAGTTTATCCATCATATCTTCATATACATCATGCAAAGGGATAAAAACTGGAGTCAAATCAAGCTTGATCGTGCGTGAGTTTACATTATGAAGATAATAGTGACAAAGACTGCACTAAGATAACTTGATATGAAACAACTACATGTACCAAAAGGAAAAAGCTCAATCCTATACAATCATTAACGTGTCAAATCTCAATGATGTTGCTGATTTAATGGCTGCATAATCAAGCACACACTAGGGCTGCACACAAACACAACCTATTTGCAATTATTTTTGACTGATGTTGCAATTGCGATATGATTCACAATATTGGAGAGAATACATTTCTGATTGGTTAGGCTGGTCGGCTCTGTTGTATTTGGTTAAGAGAAGTCCCGCCCCTAAGCCTATCATACATAATGTGTTGGATCGCTAGCAAATACAAGCGCTAGTGTTACATAGTGATGTTATTATGTAACGAAAGTAAACAAGGGAGTGCAATATTAACACATATTCAGCCTTAAACAAGCATTTTTTAATATTGCAATTACACTTAGATTGTGCAGCCCTACTACAAACATTGCTGTTTTAGAAATCTTCCAAAATGTTTTTTTTAACAATTAAAATGTAAGATGATGTTTCTTTGTAATTGGCAAACACAAACAAAGTACTTAATCCGACAGTTTATTTTTTACGAGCTACTTCTTAAAAAAACAGGAGATACCAGTTCAGAAATATAAAGTTTATAAGTTTGAATTATTGATATCATAAATTACTCCTGAACATTTTGTGAAGCAATCAGCTAAAGAGAAAAAGTATGTCTTTGATCATTCTTCAGGTGTTCAAAATTGTTAATAAGTGACCTTTCAAAGCCCAAATGTAAATATGAGGGTACAGATATGCCTGACATTATTTTCAAGGCCTAAAGTGTTTCAAATATATTCCTTTTAATAACTTGAAGTTGCTATGATTTGTTGTTTTCTTATGATTAAGAGTGTAGAGCACTTGAACAAGTGTTATCAAAACTAACAATTTAATTGCAAGGTCTGTGAAGATGAAAAACGTTTGAATTATGCAAGTTTTAGAGTGATCAGCATTCTTTCCCCTTCATGGGCCATTGGTTCATTCCACTGCCCACTCCAGAGAACTGCCCGGGCTGGATCAGTCCACTGTGGGAGGATTAAAAGGGGGAGGGGAGGGGGATGCGGGGCGGCTCAATGAAGCATTTGTCGACGGCTTGCTCTGGTCTTGCTGCAGGCTTACGTTACCTCTTGGTGGGGGTAAATACGGTGGGAACATTCGCAGGCTGCTCATACCCATGTTGACCCAGATGTTGGACTGGGGGGAGCGCGTGGCCGGCTGCTGGCGGAGAAAGAGGAGGTACCGAGGGAAGAGCTCCAGCTCTGCACTGCCTGACTTGCTCTCCAGGATAACCTGCAGCGGTGGAGGGGAAACGTTTATACTTTGCCTTCATTGAAACCACAGCTTGATCAGTCTAGAAAAATACGGGTTATTGATCAAGGCTAAGTTTACTCCTGTAGATCAGTTCAGAACAGATCAAAAAAAGAAAGTACATTATTGTGATATATATATATGTTATTTTTTGTAGCACAGTGTGCATTTTTTAAATGTAACTTCTTATGTTTATATTTATATTTTAAATGTATTTTATTTGATCTTTAATTGGACATTTTACTTTAACTGCTTATGTTTCTATAAATATATATTTACTTACTTTAACTTAATATGTTAAAAACTATTTGATTTGATCTTGAAAATAGGACATTTTTATTCAAACACCTGATATTACAAAACCAAATTCCCCCTGAAATAAAAATATTCAGATTTATAGGGACTGAAAGGAACTAAAAAATATATATAGGACACAAAATAAAACACATTCATGTTCTAATATTTCAGAGAAAGAACTTGTAACCACTGTTATTAAACGATGTTCCATAGGTTTTTATTTGAGCCTGATATACAATCTAAGTAAAAAATATATCATTTTCCCTAGATGAATGAAAAACTGTGTGCATTCTTTCTTCTGTAGACTGACTTCCTGTTGCTAACTTCCTGCAAAAAGCATAATAGGGTCCCTGTGAAATTTAAGACACTAGTTGTAATATTCCAGCAGGTCTGAGACACTGTGATGTTAATGTTGACCAGTGTTACCTCACATCGAGTGAGGTTCATCAGCTGTTGAGTGTATGTGTGTGTGTATTCCAGACTGTATTCACTCACCGGCCGCGGCAGGCTGAGGTTGGCACCGTACCAGTGGTAGAGTGCCCTCCACACCGGCTCTGGCACCGTCTCAAAGTCCCTGCCAGGCACCAGCTGCAGGGAGCGCCTCAGCCGCCCCCCCTCCATGGTTAACGTGGGGGCCTGCAGGGACACAGCACACACATCAGCATTTCTACAAGGGGACAAAAGACCCTCTTCTGCCTGCTTGAATTACAGATAATACACAGAGACAGAATCCTAATGCTGTGCACTGGCTGGCAGCCTGCTATCAGTACAGCATGATGAAGACGTAAGACAGAGTAAAAGGGAAGCACCATCTGGTCCCTGGGAGCCTTCGCCAGCAGGGGAGTAGTGCCTCCTAATTAGGAATCTCAGATCATCTCTGCTGTCTAACAAAGGACACACTGATGTAACCAGCTGGTTGTCAAGATCACAAAAAAAGACTGTTTTGAAGACTCACAGTGTGTAATGAAGCTAAAATCTCATGACACACTCTTCTTCTATTTTGGTAATACGTTGTCATCTGTTAATCCAATTATTTGTAATCTCTTTTTTTGATTCATGAAGTATGGAAGACATAATGAGCTCCTAATTACAAGTGTTCTACAGAAGTGTCCCTTTGGCTGAACTCTAATGTTTATATCGTAACGCTTTCAATACCATTAGTATTTCTAAAGGAAAGTTAGTTTTGGAAAGTGAGTGTATGTAAGACTTGAGGGTTGATGTGTCATCAAAATAAAAGAGAAATAAATATGGTTATACTTGCATACACTTTTTTCATTCAGTCATTATTTCAAGAGAAATAGCTAGCCATAAGTTGTTGTTGTTTTTCTTTCTATTACTGCATTTGTTAATTAACTATATAAACATACAGTAACTAGTGAGCTTTAGAGGTATTGTAGATGTTTTTCAAACTTTAAACAGAACCTCAACCATGTTTTCACTCTTCAAGCTTAGCTAGGCTAATGGCTAACTGTATTGTTTTTTCGTACTACTGGTGTATTTGTTAATTAACTAGATAACACACAGAAACTGGGGAGTTTACAGTAATGTGACTTGCTTTTTACCCATGTTTTTACTCTTTAAGCTGAGCTAGGCTAACTATATTCCGACAAACTCTGCAGTTGATTTCTTGTCTCACTCTCAGGAATAAAGATAACAAATGTATTTCCCAATGAGAAACTATTCCGTTAAATAATTGTTGGGATACTTTAATTTGTATTTTTAACATAGAGTACATTGTAGGGCTGTTCGATTTGGAAAGATTATTGCAATTATTTGGACTGATATTGCAATTGCGATACCATTTGCTATATTTGAGAGAAGGATCATTTTTGAAACATTATTCACATTATCATGTTTAAAATACATATTTTAATGATCATGGTGTGTCTTTTTCTGTACAGTATCTGTACCAAAACAAGTATTTGTAATAAGTCTGTAAAATACCGTTTTAAATCCAGGACTCTGCAGGACCACAACAAATAATTTAGAATGATATTTTCACATATTTAGCATTTACTTATTATTACGAATAGGATAACATTTAGATTAATCCTGCAGCCCTATTCATAACTACACTTTTACTCTTCTTCTAATAAATATCCAAGCATCAATCCATCTCCTGCTTTCACCCACACATCCACACAAACACACACACATCCTTGCCTTCATGGGGTCGGTGTTGACCAGAGGCTGGTTGTCGATGGCTCCGGGTCTCTGTGCTATCAGCTGGGAGGGAAGGTGGCCATTGGCTCCAGAGAAACACTGATTGTTGTTGTCCGACACGTTGTGCTGACGGGCGAAGCAGCTCTCTGTCGCAGAGGGAGTGACCTGGGGGCTCAGGGCTGCTTGGACACAAGGGGGGAGAGCATACATGTACTGTAATGTTTCACTGTAATAGCGTTATCTCCATGGTAACAATTAGATTCAGTACAGCAACAGTGAGTGGATAGTCATCAATTGACTGTTCTGAGATTCTCTTTTAATTTGGGCAGAATGCTTGGAAAGAAGCATTTTGTAATGTATACCTGAATCAAATCAGTTTATTTCACGGCTTAATGGAATATTTAATTTTGATTGCTCAATTTAGATTTTAATTTTTTTCTGGTAGCAGAACGTTGCTAAGGGCGCTCTGATCAAGGGACTTTGTGCAGTCATATCAATCCACAGAAAGAAGTCTGGTCAAATGAATTCCAGCTGTGGCCAAAAAAACATTAGTTTTAGAAAATTCATATTTCTATTTCTGAAGAGTACATTGGAATCAGATGTCTAAACTTTCCCAATTAAAGAAAACAAGATACTAAGAAAACAGCACAAAAGAAGGAAATAGGTCAAAGACACAGGGAGCTGGAGGACAGAGAAATCAGCAGAAGAAGACAGACAGTAAGTAAACACTAATGAGAACAGGAGAAGAAAACAGACAGGAAGTAAACACTATAGGGAACTTGGTATGATTTTTTTCCTAAGTGCTGACTGACCGATCTCAGTGGCCTCCGAGGAGCTGGACACAGCGTCAAGTGACCTCTCCTCCGTGGGGCTGATGGGGGCAAAGGTTCCCAGTCCTACCAGTCTGTCCAGTGGGGGGGGCACTATGGTGGCCGTGGCCATCGGAGTCCGCAGTGAGCTCAGGATGGACGGCTGCTCCACCACGATGCCTTTATGCTCCTGGACAGGGAGACAACAGCAGGGACTGCCCTGTCATTGTTGAAAGTGATATATGTGATTAATTTGCCGATGGCTTCAGTGAAAGTCACTGCTACTGTCCCAGTGGGATGGTGTTGTGCGAGATGCTGTAATAACCCGGTCTCATAAACTGATATTTATATTAAACAAAACTGTAACACAAAAAGGGTCAGTAAAATGTGATACTTAGAGAAATCTGTGAAGAGGTAGCACACTATTTTACTGTGGTGGAAAGTAACCGTTTACTCAAGTATTGTACTTAGGTACTTTTTTGACTTACTTGTACTTCACTAATTTCTATTTTTTGTTTTTACTACACTACATGTATTGCATACAGTGGGGCAAAAAAGTATTTAGTCAGTCACCAATTGTGCAAGTTCTCCCACTTAAAAAGATGAGAGGCCTGTCATTTTCATCCTAGGTATACCTCAACTATGAGAGACAAAATGAGAAGAAAAAAGAAGTCCAGAAAATCACATTGTCTGATTTTTAAAGAATTTATTTGCAAATTATGGTGGAAAATAAGTATTTGGTCAATAACAAAAGTTCATCTCAATACTTTGTTATATACACTTTGTTGGCAATGACAGAGGTCAAACGTTTTCTGTAAGTCTTCACAAGGTTTTCACACACTGTTGCTGGTATTTTGGCCCATTCCTCCATGCAGATCTCCTCTTGAGCAGTGATGTTTTGGGGCTGTCGCTGGGCAACACGGACTTTCAACTCCCTCCAAAGATTTTCTATGGGGTTGAGATCTGGAGACTGGCTAGGCCACTCCAGGACCTTAAATGCTTCTTACGAAGCCACTCCTTCGTTGCCCGGGCGGTGTGTTTGGGATCATTGTCATGCTGAAAGACCCAGCCACGTTTCATCTTCAATGCCCTTGCTGATGGAAGGAGGTTGTCACTCAAAATCTCACGATACATGGCCCCATTCATTCTTTCCTTTACACGGATCAGTCGTCCTGGTCCCTTTGCATAAAAACAGCCCCAAAGCATGATGTTTCCACCCCCATGTTTCACAGTAGGTATGGTGTTCTTTGGATGCAACTCAGCATTCTTTCTCCTCCAAACACATCTAGTTGAGTTTTTACCAAAAAGTTCTATTTTGGTTTCATCTGACCATATGACATTCTCCCAATCCTCTTCTGGATCATCTAAATGCTCTCTAGCAAACTTCAGACGGGCCTGGACATGTACTGGCTTAAGCAGGGGGACACGTCTGGCACTGCAGGATTTGAGTCCCTGGCGGCGTAGTGTGTTACTGATGGTAGCCTTTGTTACTTTGGTCCCAGCTCTCTGCAGGTCATTGGCTAGGTCCCCCTGTGTGGTTCTGGGATTTTTGCTCACCGTTCTTGTGATAATTTTGACCCCACGGGGTGAGATCTTGCGTGGAGCCCCAGATCGAGGGAGATTATCAGTGGTCTTGTATGTCTTCCATTTTCTAATAATTGCTCCCACAGTTGATTTCTTCACACCAAGCTGCTTACCTATTGCAGATTCAGTCTTCCCAGCCTGGTGCAGGTCTACAATTTTGTTTCTGGTGTCCTTTGACAGCTCTTTGGTCTTGGCCATAGTGGAGTTTGTGGAGTGTGACTGTTTGAGGTTGTGGACAGGTGTCTTTTATACTGATAACGAGTTCAAACAGGTGCCATTAATACAGTTAACAAGTGGAGGACAGAGGAGGCTCTTAAAGAAGAAGTTACAGGTCTGTGAGAGCCAGAAATCTTGTTTGTTTGTAGGTGACCAAATACTTATTTTACCGAGGAATTTACCAATTCATTCATTAAAAATCCTACAATGTGATTTCCTGGATTATTTCCGCCCATTCTGTCTCTCACATTTTCTAAACTTTGACAAACTACAACAATAAAATCATGAGATGTATTTGTTGATAAAAACAGAATAATGCTGTTGTAGAATACTGTGGAAAGAGCCATTCTGCATAACAAGTACTTTTTTGCTTGATTCGTTTGACTTATTTTAAAAAGCATGTCAGGTTCTGTACTTAAGTAACCTTTTCAATTTAAGACTTTTACTTGAAATAATATATTTTGAGATCATAGTATTTCTACTTTTACTAAAGTAAAGGATCTGAGCACTCCTTCCACCTCTATACTAGGAACTATTTGGAGGGTGCATTTAGAGTACCCAAGATATAGAAATAAATTATTATTTTTTAAATAACCTTTATTTCCTTTATTTCCAAGCTATAGTACCCAGGATAGATTAATACAAAAAAGTATATATATATTTGTTTTAATACTTTTAATTTAGAAGCAACATGGAGTGTGGATTTACTGTACTCAGGTTAATATTATAATTTCGTTCGGGGGGCGAAGCCTCAGAGCTTCCCTTAGGAAGAGGAATACCAGCCTATGGCTCCCCACTGTGTTGTTGTCAACCCTTGCGTGTTGAGCTGATTATAGCAGCCACATACACCCCGATGGTAGCAGGACACCGGCCGTCGTCCAGGAGGGACTGCAGGAACTCAAGGATAGTAGGCACCGAGCAATGTACTGGGTCCTCATTTCGCTCTTGGCACCAGTCAGAAAACTATTTTCACCTGTTTTCGTACTGCCTACGAGTAGATGGTGCCCTTGCATTGAGAATAGTCCTTCTGACAGGCATTATGCAGTCGCTCAGCAGCGGGTCGGGACCTCCAGTGGCCAGACCCACAGCTGGAGGCGGCAGGGGTCGGGGTGCCACATCCGACCCTCCAGCTGAGACAAGAGGTCCTTCCTGTTGGGGAGACGCCAAGGCGTTCCGCAGCAGGGAGAACCAAGTCCTGGCTGGCCAGAAGGGGGCCACCAGAAGAAGCCTGTGGCCCTGATGAAGCACTCTGAGGAGTGTTAGTAGAATCAAAGGAAGGGGTGGATAGGCATAGAGGAGACACCTTGGCCATGAATGAGCCAGGGCGTCCTGACCCAAAGGGCTGGTCTTCTCTGTCAAGGAGAACCATAGGGGGCAGTGGGTCGACATCTTCGAGGCAAAGAGATCTATCTCTGCCCTGCCGAAGAGACCCCAGATGCTGGTCAACACCTCTGGATGAAGCCGCCACTCCCACGGTGGAGGCTTGTGACGGGAGAGGAAGTCGGCTACTTGGTTCTGTTCTCCGGGCAGATACATTGACCGTAGGCTGGCCAGGCAAGGAGCTGCCCAGGTCAGGAGAGTCTGGGACACCTCTAGCAAGTGTGCAGATTTGGTGCCCCCCCTGGTGGTTTATGTGATACATTGTTGTAGTGTTGTCCGAGCGGACAAGCACATGCCTCCCCCTCAGGAATGGCAGGAAGTGGCAGGAGTGCTAGGTGCACAGCTCGTAGCTCTAGCACGTTGGTGTGTTCTGTGCAGTCCTGAACAGACCACTGCCCACAAGCTGTCCTGTTCTGCCACACCGCACCCCACCCCGAGAGGCTGGCATCCGTCGTAACGGTCTCTCTGCGGAAAGGGACGGAGCCCATGGCCATGCCCCTTGACATATACGACGTCTCCCTCCATGGGGATAGAGTGGAGAGGCACTGTTGTGACATCCTGACTTTTCCACACCAATGAAGAGGCTCTGAGAGGGGTTCAGACAATTCTTCTCCATGTTCGCCTTGAGGCCTAGCCGGGCGACATGAGAGAGAAGGAGAGCCGTGTCCTGGGTTGACTGCAACCTGGATGGTGCACAGATCAACCAGTCGTCTAAGCCAGTGGTTCCCAAACTTTTTGTGCCCAAGGCACACCAAAGGACAAGTAAAAATCTCAAGGCACACTTATTGTGCAAAAATAGCCCTTATAACACGTGTTATCACTCATATCATGTAGAATATCTGTAAATGTGCATAATTATTTACTAATGCCAAATAAAATGTGACAAAGACAACTATATTACTCATTAAATATTTATTAACGAAATATTTCAGAAATTAATTTGAAACGTTATCAAATTAGGCTTCATCAAAGCAGCAACACACTCATTTAAACCAGACAGGTCACAACATTAAAAAATTAAGGCAAAGGAAACTCAGCAGAAATTCAGCACAGAGAACTGTCAATGCAAGGAAGCTGCATTGTCCATGGTCCTGAACTACAAATTATAAATGTAACATTTCAGCAATCAGCATTGAAACATGTGCTATTGTAAATATTTTGCCGACTTACAAATTAGTGAGATACATGTGAACGTACGAACTGCGCATGCGTGAGTGGCAATAACTTTCCTTACCAGCAAGCGGCGGTAGTGTGTATTTGTCATTCAAAACAGGCAACAACCGGAAGACAGAGAAGAAGAACAGACTGCGTGATATAAACAAACAACTAATAGCTGTGCGTTAGCTTCACCTTAGCATGTGTTCTTTGCAGGTGTTTGTTGAGGTTTGACCACGTGGTGTTTCCAGCAGTGGATAACAGCTTCTGGCCTGGACACAGTTTGCACCTCACCGTCACGTTCCTGTCTATTCTTCGGACGAACTCAAAATAATGGGCATACCTCCACCCCTCGAAAGTTATCGCTGACTCAGCCATGTTTATGCAGCACTGCACGAGGAGATGTGGACGCGCAAGTCGCGCAGATTACGTACATATAAACCTACAAAGTACTGATATAGTACATTAAAAAATAATTATTTTTGAATAGTTGTATATTGCAATAATAATAACGTATGGTTGTCACAAAATCCCACGGCACACCCGGACTTGCCTCACGGCACACCAGTGTGCCGCGGCACACCGTTTGGGAACCACTGGTCTAAGCATGGCAGAATCTTCATACCCTGAGACTGCAGGGGCTAGAGGGCTGCCGCGACACACCTGGTGAACACCCTTGGGGAGAGGGAGAGTCTGAATGGGAGCACCCTGAACTGGAAATGACTACCTCTGAAGGCAAAACGAAGAAACTGCCTGTGATGAGGCACAATAAGTACATGAAAATAAGCATCCTTCAAGTCGACGGACGTGAACCATTCCCCCCTGGCAACGGTACGAAGAACATCCGCTGTGCTCAGCATATGGAAAGGTAAAATCTTTCGGAACTTGTTGAATCCCCTCAGATCGAGGATTGGGCGAAGTCCACCACCTTTCTTCCTTACCAGGAAGTAGGTCGAGTAGAAGCCCCCGGCTGTGAGATGGGGTCCACCGGCTCGATTGCACCCTTGGCAAGGAGGACTGACAGCTCCTGGTTTAGGGCTACTTCTTTTGCCGGGTCGCTTATGGTCGTCATTTTGACCCGGCTGAAGGCTGGGGGCCGGCGTCGGAACTGAAGCTTGTACCCTTGGGTTAAGGTGGAAACCACCCAGGGGTCTGAAGTTTGAGCTACCCAGTAGTCGAGCTGCTGCTGGGAGAAATAACCGACAGCCGGCCCTAGACCCTCAGTACCTTGCCCCCCGGCCTCTGGAGGCTCTGGGGGGGCGACGGTTAGGCACCGGATGCCGAGGCTGCCTTGGGGGCGAGTTAGCAGGACCACGCTGGTAGTGGGCCGGCCCCCTCGTGGGACGCTGAGGCCCATGGTGGGCACCGCGGTGAGCCGGTGGATGGGAGCGGCCTCGGGAGGCAGACACGGAAGCTAGTCTAGGCCTACCGGGGGGGGGCATGTCTCTGCGAAGAGCTGAGAACTGTTGCCTGGTCTGACTAGCTTGGACAGTCCGTTCGAGCACCTGTACGGCAGCTGAACCGAACAGCTCCCCCGGCTCCACTGGGACAGCACAGAGGGTCCTCCTACATGCCTCTGACAAGGGTGACTGTGCCAGCCAAACCCGGCGACGAGTCTGGACGAGAGTGGACATTAGGCGCCCAAGCTCTCTAGACATCAGAGCGAACGCTTGTAATGAGGCGTCACTGAGGCTGGTAGAGGAAGCGCTGAGAGCATCCTGCTGCAGGGAAGCTGAGAGGGAGAGCATGAGGTGAGAGAGGGAATTGCCTAACGGCCCATGCATGCCGCTGTATCGTAAGCCTTAGTGAGCAGGTCATCAGTAACCCGACATTGGGGTCTAGGGCACCTGGCCTCCGACCTCAGAGCTTCGTCAGGGGAAACTATGAGGGAAGCAGTGGTAGGCTCAACTGCCCGCATGTGGTCAAGGCCGAATCTTGCCGCATCCTGCATGGCTGCCAGGGCTCGGCCATCGGACGTAAGACGGGAAAGAGCCTTAGTGTCCCTCCAGCATGCATGTAACTCCCTCAGATACTCACAAGAGGGAGGAACGGTAAAGGAGGCGGGTGCCAGAGTGCACCTGAAGAACGCACTAGCAGGCGCTGTTTCTGGCTGTCGTACATCCAGTTACTGGCGAGCCAGTGCCATGCGAATGACGGCACCCATGGAGCCGTGATCAGCCCCCTCCGAGGATCCATGAGCTGAGGGACAGGAGCCAGGCCCAGAAGCATGGGATGGGCCCTCCTTGTCATACTCTTTAAAATGAGTGGCTGAAGCTGCCATCGAGACCACATCGTCAGCTGGAACCATCTCAGCCATGGGTGGATTGAGTGCAGCGGCGTGCTCTGTACGGGCACCAGAATGGAGAGCCAGGAGGAGTGACTTCATCTGGGCTAGCTCAGTAGTTAGCAGGTCCACCCTGGAGGACAGCTTATCAGGCTTAGTCCTCTTCTTGGGCGGGGCACCCACAGCCTCTGCGGCCCAACGCCTAGGATGGGTAGGTTGGGCTGGATTCAACTGTGCAGGGGGCAGGCCACCCTCAGCCAGTAGTTCTACCTCGGCTATTCTAGCAGCTCTTACCGCACGAGGTATGATGGTGCAATTCATGCACGGGTCCTCGGAAAGGCCCTCCCTCAGATGCTCGAGGCCAAGACAAGAGAGGCAAAGGTCATGGCCATCCTCTGGTTGAAGAGGAGCCATACAGGTGTTACAGCCGTTAAACATAGCGACAGCACCAACGAAAACTCCACACTAATTGCTGCTGGCAGCTTAAGTCAGTCTGAGCGAGAGCACTCAGCTGACTGTAAATAACCGGGCCAGGAAACAATATATGTAGTGAGAGGGGAGTGAGCACAATAGTAGTTAGCGTTAGCGCTCTGCTAACTGGGGTAAAAAATGAAGTCAGTTAACGGTGTATATGCCGTGAGAAGAGAGCGGGGATACTCTCTCCACTAGGGCCATAGCGAGTTAGCCTGAGCGAGAGCACTCGGCTAACTTGGGGACACAATTATCTATTAGCTTGAGAATAGATAGCACAATCAGAAAGAAATGGCAGCGATCTCACCGACTGACGTGCAGGAGCGTCCGCTCTTTACCGGTCCGGAGCTCCTGCGAGTCCGAGCGGTGAACACTGCGGTCCCCTCCCTTGGGAGGGGGACAGCTCGTCGCAGCCTTTGGAGGGCGAGCATTTTAGCCCGCAGCTCCGATCGAGACGATCACAAGGCTACAGGTAGCGATTTTTTTCAATAGGCTAGCTTGGCTGCTACTCATAAAGTAGTAACCTGTGCAGCGAGAAGATGAAAAAGGACTGAACTCGTTGACAACACCGGAACTTATGCCTCCGGGGTCATACCATGGATGTATAATAAGAACTGGATACAGCGTGGGAGGCGGGGCCTCATTCATTCCTATGAGAGTTGCTCAATAGCGCATGATGACAAAATGGCCCAACTTTTGAGAGAGCGAAACGTCACAGATTACCCGGCATGCCTGAGAAGTACCCGTATGTGCGCTCATAGAGCATGCGCAACTTTAACCACGCCGCCCAAAAGGCTCGTTCACGTGAATTTGCGTAAACGTAACAGCACCGCGCGTTCATGACAGCATGGTACTGGATTTAACGAACGAGAACGGGAACGAGGCGGCAGTTAGCAGCTAGCGGCTAGCTAGTAAATTATGCTAAATCACACATCAATCGTTATGTACTTTTATATTACGCTGACATCAGGATCTAGTGATATCCAAGCAACAGAGCTTCATTTAGCATGATACTTGTGTGGGTTAACTTGTACATGAAACCACTTGGTAATATATAAAAATGTATGTTGAAGCCTGTTATGATCAATTGTGAGTTAAAACTTTATCTAAAAAGTAAAGCTGATGATGGATTACTGTGGTGGAGTTAAAATAACAAGAGCCTATTTCTTTTTGAAATGTGATGGAGTAAAAGGATAGTAACTGTGATTATTCATGTTAAGTAGCCCACAAGTAACTAAAACAATTGCAAGTGCAATAAGAAGCTACAGGAGCGTTAATCTACGTCGGTAATATTAACTTTATTTAATACAACATTTACGGTACAAGATTTACATCATACAGCCCATGTAGTATAATATTTTACAAATGATGAATTACAGCAAACATGTGCAATATATCCATTATTACAGCTCCGTGGGATGGCAGTAAGGCGATATGGGTCCGTTGTTATTGTGCATCCATGGGTAAAGATAAACGCATGTAATGCTGAACACGTAACATGAACGTGCCGGGCAGCGCGGTCCCGTGGGTTAGATGCGCGTTCATAATGCCGAGGGAAATAACTCTCAGAATAACGTTATTAGCACATTTTACAACTTGAGGAACGAATGTTTTTAATAAGGGCTATACAAGTGTTCATACTGGGTTGTTTATTTAGTTTAAAAAAAATTATCCAACGAGTTACAGACCACTCTTTACCAATGTAAGTCAATGGGAAAAAGTGTTTCCGGGCCCAGCAACCAAACGGAAGTGTAGTACCGCCGTTTGGCCACTACGAATATTCTCATCAGACTCCGGCGCACTTCCTGGGGGCTTGGGTCATACGAGGTCACACGTGACTTTGTTGATATAAATATTCGACCTGCGCATGCGCGAGACTAAAGATATTCAGTGCTAAGCACAGCCTCTGGCGGTCAGTAAGGATGAAATAGAACCCTCTTTAATGGTCACACATGCAGAGCACATAGCACACACAGTGAAATGTGTCCTCTGCATTTAACCCATCCTAGTAACTGGAGTCTAGTACAGTGGGCAGCTATTGTACAGCGCCCGGGGAGCAATGGGAATGGGGGGGTATCCGGTGCCTTGCTCAAGGGCACCACGACAGGGCAGGAGGGGAACTGGGACCTCTCCAAGTAGCAGTCCACACTCCATATTTTAAACCTGTGCAGGGACTTGAACCGGCACACAGTCCACAATCACAGTCCAAGCCCCTACTGACTGAGCCACTGCCGGACTTGTCCTGCCAGAGGGAAAAAATACGACTTGTGAATTCATAATGTAATCCAAAATTGACTTACATATTTAACGTAGTCCTTCCACTGCTGCCACCACAGCATGGAGATGAGGAACCAGTTCTGACTCTGCTGCAGCCCATGTCTGCTCTCCCTCTCCAACCAGCCCCTACACACAGATACACAGAGAGAGAAAAATGATGGTCCAACAGCTTATTCCTTAGAGTTATAAATAATAACAAGACAGACAAATAAGACAGGTATGTACCTTATGATCTGCCCTTCCTCCTCAGGACTGCCAGGCCTGAGCCCCAGCACTATGTGGCAGACCTGGAAGAAGAGAAATACACAAAGATGCAAAATCACATGGATCAATACACACTTTTACAACAATAAGTTGTAATACCAGTGCACAGTGTGCTGATCCACTGACCTGGAAGAGCAGATTTAAGAACTCATTGGCCAAAGCGCTCTTCACACTCCAGATCTGGTAGTCTTCCAGGGTCAGGTGACCCAGCTGGGGAAGAGTAAAAAAACACACAGGTCAGCATTAAGGCAGCACAATTATTTAAATACTCCTTTATGAAATTGGCTTCCCACAGTTAAAGTAACATTATCTATTAGGATACTGAGGTTACATATGCTCACTACACTCTTTGAAAACTTCACTACATTCAAAATGATGGTATTGAGTTTCTTAAACTGAAAACCAGCCACCAGGGGGCGTAGAGATGTTATGGATTTAAATTAGGGGATCTGTCTGGCCAACATTCCTTTTCTTTTTACTTTTTCTTGGCTGTTGCGGGTGCAGAACTGAGTGTAAGAGTAATAAAGATCTGCTGTATATTATATATGCCCAAATATATTAGTATTAAATATATGTATAAATATGCCCATATCTTTTGCTATATTTTTCGACCCCCCAATATTATTTTATTATATTTGCTTGTAGGAGACGGTATAAAGTATGTAAATAAGATTATAGAGTTACAAACTACTTCACAACAAAAAAACATACATTGTACAGTTGTTAACAGAGGGCAAATATAGAAAATACAGAGGACATTTATAATTTACAGCATCTATACAGTGAGGACAAGTCGGTAGAGATGGGTTTAGAGTTGTCTGAGCCCAGTACAGACTCAACTAAAATAACAGAGAGATAGATAGATTCTTTTTTAAATAAACCAAATGATCGCAATTTGAATTTTGGCTATAAAACATGCAGCCTATGTCATCACATTCAAATATGGACTGCTTTAAAACGTTAAAAGAAAATAAACAAATATATTTATTTTCTTTGGTGATTGAGGGTGAAATTAGTTTTCAGTAGTAGAGACAAGTACAGTAATGTTGCCATGTGTGTCTACTGGGCACAGAAATCAGTATGTGTAGCTGGAGAGTATAATGGTGTTGATTTTCTCTGCAAAATAAGGTTATAAAATATTCTTAGCAGTAAAGGAATGACTTCCTGACAGCTGCATCAATGGTGCTTCTGTCACCCAGAGTTGTGTCTCACCTTGGTTGTGTCGTGCATCTTCAGGATGTCCTCGACTATGTCCGACACGCTACTGTGCAGCTCCTGCAAGGGGAGACAGAATATTTTAGCATGAAGTAGCAAACACTAAGCGGCATAATAAAAGAATGCAGTGGAAAAAGATCCTAACACCTCGGGGTCTAGAAATGTGGGATGAGTGTTATCTGGCTGTTCGCAAAGCCATAAATACCATAACAATAGACTGTTTCAATTCCTGTAGCAACCACACTCTGTCCAGTCTATTTACACTGCTAAGAAGCTTTAGTTTATATAAGCCTCCTGTAATGGCAATTTGTAATGTTCCAATGTCCTATATCCTATTGCCATTACTTCACAGGAGGGTTTGGAGTGATCCAGACGCAGACACAAAACAGATTAATCTCCGGTCTTTTGCTGCAGTTTAGAATGATGTTTATTTTGCTTTACATACCAAGGTTTAAGTATACTGTGTCAATAGTTGTGGTGAGCATCTGCCGGGCTGGTGAAATCGGTATGCTCTCTTCCTCCTGTGTCCTTGTCCTCGTCCTCTCCTGTCACCTATGACCCCTTTTATACAGCCGGTGCAGCTAAAAAACCCTCTTAGGTTGAAACAGTCGTGTTGCCATCCCATCCAGCGCTGAGAGAACCTGTGGGTTATATTTTCACCCAATTCCTAGCCTTTCCTTATAGGGCTCCTGCATTGATGTGTCAGTCACTTCTTCAGGTCTGTCACTTGGATTCAGCCGGTGCCCTGGTACCATAACAGCGAAATTGCAGATGAGCTGCTCGGTAACGTGTTTGTTGTTGGGCAAGCTGGGATTTTCTTGTCTGAATGGTAAGTGTAGGCAGTAGTGTCCATCTGACATTTTTGCAGAGTGATTCATAATGTTCAAGAATGGTTTATCTTTTCTGGGCATTTCCTCTGTTTCCTTGCTGTTTTTATTACTCGGGTTGGTATTGTGTTGGATGACCTTTGGATCCTCTTTGTTTACTATGGATACTGGATGTTCAGCAGCAGCGCAGCCATTCTTATCCCTGATGATGTTGTTTCTTCTCAGTGGACCATCAATGACCCACCCCAGTAGGGTCCTTACAGCGTATGGTCCATCTCCCTGGCTGTTGACTAGCTTCCAAGGTTCCAAGGTGCATTTGTCCCAATGAGTAGGTCAATGCCAGAGTCAATTGATTGAATATTGATGTCTTTTCAAGTAAGGCCTTTGTGTCAGGTCATCTTGAACAGGAATGTTGTGCTCGGAAACAGGCATGGTCTTGTGTGTGAACACATCAGGTTGTTGGTTGAAATTGTCTTTGTCAAGAGTAGATACTTCCAAACTTGAAATGTGATGACTGGTTGCCAGCTTCACTTGGTTTATTGTCCTCAAAGGAATATTTGTCTTCTGTCCTGGAATAGAGGTTTGGGTTTGATGAGGTAAGTATTCAGTTGCATGTGGATTGCATCTTGCTGTTGTGTTTCTGAAGTAAGAGTTCATCCCATCTGATACTCTGGAGGTGTTTCTTGATCCCATCCTGAGCACTTTTATCCTGGCATTGGCTGCTGCCAGTTCAGTTAGTAATTCCAATTGTTCTTCTTTCGTTTTAACTGTTCTAGTTGGGAATCAAGTTCCTGTTGCATATTCAGTGCTGCAGCCCTTTCAATTAAAGCAGCACTTTCTGCCTGAGCTTTCATTCGAGCAGAGGATACAGATGATGCATAGCTAGTTTTGTGTTTTGAATGAGGTTTTGAAACACTGTTATCAGGTCCGATGTTATCCGAGTTAACACTTTGTTTTATGGCACTTCCCATAATAGTGTGTGTTTGACTCTCCACCTTCAGATAACCACACATTTACATCTTGTATGAATCCATCAAATATTTCCATCTTTTGTTGCAGCCACTGCTTTTGCTTTTTCCATTTCTTAATAATAATAATAATGGGTTTCATTTATAAAGCACTTCATATTTGACTTCAAATCCCGAAGTGCTACAAGCAGTGAGCATGAACAGTATAAAAACATTACACAACACGGTAGAATTAATAAAAAGCAATAAAAAACAGACAATAAAAATAAAATAAAAGGGTGGGAATACATAAAAGGTCTAGGAAAAGGCTCTATTGAAAATATGGGTTGTGAGGCCTTTTTTAAAAGCCTCCACGGTCTGTGGTGCTCTCATGTGGTCGGGGAGAGCGTTCCACAGTCTGGGAGCAGCCGAGCAGAAGGCCCGGTCTCCCATAGTACGGAGTTTAGTCCTGGGGGGTTTGAGGAAGTTGGAGTTGCTGGAGCGGGTGGTCCGCAAGGAGGTAAGGGGGGTGAGGAGTTCCTTGAGGTAGGGAGGGGCAGTTCCATGGATAGTGTAGTGGTGGGTGAGGACGGAGACCTTGAATTCGATCCTCAGTTCCACGGGGAGCCAGTGTAGTGATTTAAGGATGGGGTGATGTGATCATATTTGAGCACCCTTATCAGGATCCTAGCAGCGCTGTTCTGAATGTATTGGAGCTTCTGGATGCTTTTGTTAGGGATCCCGATGAGGAGTGCATTGCAGTAGTCCAACCTGGAGGAGACAAAGGTGTGGACTAGCTTTTCGGCGTCAGACAGAGTGAGTGTGGGCGGAGTTTGGCGCTGTTCCTGAGGTGATAAAAGGAGTTCTTGCACAGCTGTTTAATGTGAGCCTCAAAGGTCAGATGGGCGTCCATTTTCACACCCAGGTTGGTGACTATTAAGGAGAGGGTAATGTCCTGGCCGGACAAGGTGATGGTGGATGACCGAACCTGGTGTGGGGTGCCAACTATAATGGCTTCGGTCTTGGAGCTGTTGAGTTTCAGGAAGTTTGAAGAGGGTGGGGCCGAGAACTGACCCTTGAGGGACACCACAGGTGACGTCCACTCTGCCTCGCCCAAGGAGACGTACTCTGTTCTCCCGGTGAGGTATGATCTGAACCAGTCAAGGGGAGAGTCAGAGAGTCCGATGGTGGAGTGCAGACGATGGAGGAGGAGGATGCTGTGATCGACGGTGTCGAAAGCTGCAGTGAGATCGAGGAGGATGAGGAGAGAGGGAGAGCCAGCATCAGCCGTCATCAGCAGGTCGTTGGTGACCCTGACCAGGGCAGTTTCTGTGCTGTGGCCTGAGCGGAAACCAGACTGGAACTTCTCAAATAGGTTGTTGGAGTTTAGGTGGTCCTGGAGCTGAGCAGCAACTAGTTTTTCCAGCACCTTTGATAGAAAAGGAAGGTTGGAAATGGGTCTGTAGTTGGCCAGGACTCCCGGGTCAAGGGAGGGTTTTTGAGACGAGGTTTGATGACAGCGGTTTTTAGGGCAGAGGGGACATGGCCAGCCTGGAGAGAGAGGTTTACGATCTTAGTGATCATGGGGCTCATGGTACAGATGTACGATCTCATCAGAGCTGACGGAAGGGGGTCCAGGACACAGGTGGAGGGCTTCATCCTCCTAACGATGCCCTCAACCTCTCGCTGAGAGATGTCCGTGAAACAGCGAAGAGGCTGGGTTGTCCCAGGCTGTGGGTCAGCAGTTGGAATTGGAGGTGCAGAGGGGGCTAGAGCGGATGGTGTCAACTTTGTTTATGAAGAAGGCGGTGAAGATGCTACACTGCTTCTCCGTGGAGTCGGAGTGTAGAGGACTTTGGGGTTTGAGGAGGTGGTTTATGGTGGAGAAGAGTTGCTTGGAGTTTCCAGCACTGTTGTTGATGATGGAGGAGTAGTACTGGGACCGTGCATCTCTGAGGGACTGTGCGTAGGCCTTCTGGTGTTCACGATAGGCTAACCGGTGAACAGTGAGTCCTGAGGCCTTGAGCCACCGCTCAAGGACACGCCCAGCTGTCTTCATTCTCCGCAGCTCGGTGGGTGTACCAAGGGGCTGAGCGCGAGAAGGTGATCATCCTGATTTTGAGGGGGGCGTGCAGATCAAGGAGACTGTTAAGGGACTGGTTGTAATATGCCACTGACTCATTTACTGATGAGAAGTTGGCGGAAGAAAGATGCTGGAGGTCCAGGGTCATGGTGTCCGGGTTGATGTTCCTCAGGTTCCTGAGGAACTTCTTCAGGAAGTGGAAGGTTCACCAAAGCCTCATGATTTTCCTTTTACAGAACTTAATCAATGCAACCAGATTTAACTGTATTTCTTTTTGCATTGTCCTTTGAATTCATAAGCTCTTTCAGTCTTTCCATTAACTTCTTAGCTTGTTTGCATTGAAAGTTTCTTGCCTTTTCACAGTTTACAATAAACAATTCCCATCTCTTGGCCATGCGTTGGGTAATCCTTTTTTCCATTACAGATCCCATTCCAACAGCGCCATCTTGTGACGTAACGTCAGAATTGACAGGCATAATGTTCACTGTTTCGTTTTCTAGTTGTCCGTTTTCCGACAGCGCCTGTTTCAAACAGCTGGCATTATTGCAGCATTAAATCCATTTACTAAGCCATTGTCCAATACAGCTTAATGTATCCAATATACAATCTAGTTGTAATGCTGCACATACCCGGTCGCTTGGCTCTCGGCGTCTCCATTCGCCGTTTTAATGAGCGCAGGTGGGGACAATCTCCAGTTGATTGTGTCGTGTTGTCCAGGCAGCTGAACCGGAATGACGTGTCGGTTGTGAAGTAATCCAATTATTTGTCCGGTGAAAACGATCCTTAATCCATTGTGAGGTGATTCTTACTGTCCAGCTTCACTCGTAGAGTGCGATTCCACTTAATGTAATGGCAATTGTTAACGTTTCGAGCCAGGTCCCGGTATCTCGCAGGACAGTGCAGTGTGCATCCAGCAGGAGCCTCCAGCAGACCCCCCCGCACGGTTCCCTCGTCCCTTGGAAGAGGCGGAGAGGTGGGTGTTTTTCATCTGCTGGTGGACTACCGGGGAGAACGTCAACATGGCAACCATGGCAACCATAGCAACCATGCTCGGGAGGTCTTATTCGCTACTTTTGGTGTATTTTGTACTACAGTGCCACTTACAGGCCCGGCATATGTACTACAGCGTCTCCAGCGGTAGAGCGATCTGGAAATGTTTCATGAGGCGATGCCTTGTGAACGGAAGATTTTTTTTATATCGAATTTGTTTTTTTCTCCGTTTCGTCTCTGTGTAGATGCAGCTTAAGGGACGGAACATCTCCTTGGGTTGACCAATTACAACAGAGCCGGCCAGCTAACCAATCAGAGCAGACTGGGCTCTGGTTTCAGACAGAGGGTGAAAAGAGGTGCTGAGCTTTTTGAACATTAAAGCATGAAAACATGTCTCAGTAGAGACACAGCATACAAATATGAACTTGAACATTTGCATCATAGGGCCCATTTAAGAAAAGGCTTGCCTTGAACAAATATAGTCACAAATCACATTACCTTGCCAGAAATCTAATGATTTATAAAAGATAATCACTATTCGTGATGTCAATAATGGCTGCAAAAGAGAAAATCCTTATTCAAATACAATTTTGGAATGTATTATTTAAGCAACTGATCAAATGTCCAGTGTGGGTCATGTATAATGTATTTTTCTTGTTCCCTGATGCTGGTCTTTGGGGCAAAATCTGAAACTAATTGTAAGATTCATTCATTTAGAATGGTTTATCGAACACATAAATATATCTGATAAGCTAAAGCAAACTATCTTGGCTTCAAACTATTAGTTCAACATTTAAGAAAATACATATGTATTCCAGAATAAGATCAGAAGATTAAAATCAATCTAATGTCTGATCTAATTGTGTCTGTAAAAATAACAAAAACGTAGCTACAGACAGACATGCAGTTTGTCAAGAAATGTTTCCAACACTTAACTCCACCTTCAACCACACATTGTGTTATTTGTTATCTATAAAAGTACAGATCAAACAGATGATTGCACAGTGTAAATAGGTCAGGCTGAGATAAAGACCGCCTCGGCCAACATCATAATGTACTTTTACTAAATAGAGAAATCCTAACTACAACTATAAACAGTACAAGTGTGCTTTCAGAGGAATACAAAACAATCATTGTTTTGATTGCCTATGATGTTCCTGACATTATAAAATACATCAAAAAATATATATAACTGTGATACATGGAAAAAGTCATGACTCAACCAGACCACATACTGAATGAGGGAACGTTTGATGTTTAGTACAACCTTGATATCTCTGTAGAGCAGGGCTTTTTGCCCACACCTACATTCAGTGTGTGTGTGTGTGTGTGTGTGTGTGTGTGTGTGTGTGTGTGTGTGTGTGTGTGTGTGTGTGTGTGTGTGTGTGTGTGTGTGTGTGGTTTGTATGTGTGTGTGTGTGTGTGTGTGTGTGTGTGTGTGTGTGTGTGTGTGTGTGTGTGTGTGTGGTGTGTGTGTGTGTGTGTGTGTGCATACAATACGTACAGGGAGTGTGTCTGTGCGATTGTCCTTCCACACCTCCAGCAAGGCCACCACCATTTCATGAAGTTCATCTCGAGACAGAACCCCATCGCGGTCCACATCAAACACTTTGAAGCAAACTGGTAGTGAAAGAGAGGGATGGAGTGGTGGAATACAAATAAAGTTATTAAACACAGTGGCTGAAATATGGTGCTGTTTAGTACTTTAGCAAAAATTACAATTAATATCCATTTCTGACCAATTGAAACTCCAATCACAACAATGATTGTTATTGATGCACACTTCAAAAACACCTTCAAAATTCCAGATAACAGCAATAAAAAATAAATATTTTGCACTCCTTTTGATGAAAAAGCTCTGTAAGGTCATGTGAAGTGTAATTCTATGATGGCTTACATTTCTGTCTTTCAGCTACGGGCCCCCTGCAGCACGCAGAGAGTCCGCATGATATCTCTTTAAAGTCAATGTGATTGTCCCGATTCTCATCAAAGGCGTGAAACAAGCCTGGAAAACAAGATTAAAACACAAAGAGTATTTACTCAGAGCAGGTCTTTGAAGATACAGAAAAACATCTAAACATGTACAGAGCCATAGTCAGTTGGAATTCATTACATATTGTTCAAGAGAATACTAGAGATCGCTTCTAACTTTTGTTAAAGAAGATCCTTCGTGCTTGCCTTTCCGACTACCAGACGGCAGTCAAAGCAGCCAAAACGGAGCACATTTCTCTGTTAATCTCCAAAAACAGCCATAAACCTCAGGTTCTTTTTAATGTCCTCAACTCGATCATTAATCCCTGTGATGTTTCTCCAATTGTGCCATCGACTACTCTCTGTGATAAGTTTCTTACATTTTTTTATTGAAAAGTATCTGCTCTTAGGCTAGCCCACACTAGTGCTACCCCAGATACCCTGCTCCTTTTCTGTGCCCTGCTGTCCTCGACCACTTTGAGCCTGTATCCCTCTCTTCTCTCTCGGATGTAGTCAAGCACCTGCGGCCGACAAACTGCACCTCAGACACCTCCCTCTCGCCTTCTCAGAGATGTTTTCGAATCAGTTGGAGCAAGTATTTTATTACTTATAAATACCTCTCTTAGCTCAGGATGTGTCCCAGCTGCCTTCAAACATGCCGTGGTCAAGTCACTACTTAAAAAATCTCAACCCTTCAATTCTCGCAAATTTTAGGCCCATCTCCCAGCTACCTTTTTTATCTAAAGCCCTGGAGCGAGTAGTCTACTTCCAGCTACAGTCGTTCTTAACCACACATGGCATCCATGAAAAGTTTCAGTCTGGCTTCAAACTTATGCACAGCACTGAAACAGCCCTTTTAAGAGTTTTTAATGATCTACTCCTAGCCGCCGACTCAGGTAGCCTAGCTGTCTTGGTGCTGTTGGACCTGACAGCTGCCTTCGACACTGTGGACCATAGCATCCTGTTGTCACAGCTTGAACAGTCCGCTGGCATCACAGGCTCTGCCCTTGCATGGTTCAGGTCCTACCTGACAGACCATAGCTTCTCAGTGCAGCTGAGTGGGGTTCCCCAAGGCTCGATTCTGGGCCCCATCCTTTTTCTACTGTACATACTGCCCTTAGGTTCAATTCTCACAAAACACAACATCCCCTTCCACTGCTACGCCGACGATGTACTGATCTATCTGCCACTCAATCAAAATGTCAACTCACTACAGCAGTTGATGGACTGCTTAGCAGAGATCAAATCCTGGCTGAGCCAAAATGTCCTCAACCTCAATGAGAGCAAGACTGAAGTTATCTTTTTTGGACCCCAACCTCCAGCCTCCCAGGTTGATATTCTGGGCTCCCTCAAAAATAATATCCTCCCCTCTGTCACGAACCTTGGAGTGACCTTCACTAGCGCTTTTAAATTCGATAAGCAGGTCAGCAGCGTAGTCAAAACCTGCTTTTTTTTTTTTTTTTTTTTTAAATACGACTATTGGCCAAGACCAGGTCGTTTTTATCTTTTAAAGACCTGGAAAGGGTTATTAACGCCTTTGTTACCTCGAGGTTGGACTACTGCAACGCTCTGTACGTGGGTATGGACCAGGCGTAAATTAAACGCCTGCTGCTAGTGCAGAACGCAGCTGCACGTCTACTCACTGGCCACAAAAAGCATGACCACATCACCCCAATTCTGGCCTCACTGCACTGGCTTCCAATTCGGTTCCAAATTGATTTTAAACTCCTTTTATTTGTTTTTAAAGCACTAAATGGACTGGCTCCGGCCTATATAGCTGAATTCCTCCATCGCTACACCCCAGCCAGAGCCTTAAGGTCGGCTGATCAGCTGCTGCTGATAGTGCCCAAGACCAGGCTCAAAACCCGAGGGCACCGAGGCTTCGCAGCAGCTGGACCTAGGCTCTGGAACACTCTGCCCCTCCATGTGAGGTCGGCCCAGACCTTAGGGGTTTTTAAATCTACTCTTAAAAACACACTTCTTCTCCCTGGCCTTTTAGTCAGAGCAGAGCACGACTCCTGACTTTTCCCTATGTTTTTTTATATATCTGTTGTAATTTATTGTCTTTTATTGTGATTGTAGTAATGTGTTTTTATGTGATTGTAGTATTTATTACATGTACAGCACTTTGGCCCGAACAAAAATCGCTTTAAATGTGCTTTATAAATAAACTTTGATTTGATTTGATTTGATTTAAAACAATATCTTCATTTCAGAAATGATAACTGAGATCTGTCTGTGTGTATGTATACTATTATCTATGAGTTATGGTGTAAGAAACAACATGTTAACAAGGGGTGACAGTAGAAATCACCCATGGCAGAGAATTTGATTACATTTTTGCAATATTAAATGTTTTATTTCTAGGCCCTATTAACACATTTTCAAGCTCATATTTGTGTTTTGGGCCTCTACTGTGACATGTTTAATGTACTTGAATGTTAAAAGTGTTTTATCTTTCTTCTTTGTTAACTTGTGTAACATAGTGAAGACTTATGAGACACTCTCACATCTATTGGCTAGCGCTCCAACACATTGCATGTGATAGGCTAAGGGGCGGGAAGTCTCCAAGCCGTTGACCAATCACAACAGAGCCGGCCAGCTAACCAATCAGAGCAGACTGGGCTCTGGTTTCAGACAGAGGGTGAAAAGAGGTGCTGCAGCACAGGCAGTATGAGAAACATAAAGGGCTTTTTGAACATTAAAGCATGGAGACACTTCACAGTAGAGGCACAAAATACAAATATTAACCTGAACATTAGCAGAATAGGGCCCTTTAAGGTTATTCCCGACGAGGACTAAGTTTGTTATAAACTAGTTTTTATTTGCGGTAGAAGTGTGTTACTAATAATTGATGAATTGATGGATTGTTAATAATTATTTATGATTATTTTCTTTCACTTCCATCCTTAGCAATGGTGAGTAATGGTGAGTAAATGTGTGTTTGACTGTATAGAGCCCAGGAAGAATAGCCAATGCTAATGCTAGTGCTCAGGATCCAAATAAAAAGTGAAAGTGAAGAGGGTTTAATCTCTGCTGAGGGATTAGTTTAAAGACCTGAATAGCTCCATGATGATCTAATGTATAGAGGTACATGTATGAACTTGACACCCCTATGAGACTTACAAAAAACATAGGTGAATATTGTCTTACCTTCACTCAGTGAGGCATGGATAGGAGGAGAGACCAGTGGGACAAAGGTTTCCAAGTCAAAGCGGCCGGTTCTGGACTGAGCTTTCAGTAGCCAGTAGCGTTTCTCCAAGTCTATAATGTCTGACTCCTCCACTGCACGATAGGAAACAGAAGAGACAAAGTCAAAAATACAAGCATGGCAAAACTGTTCATAGGGATATAGTTATTTAGTATAGGAAGAACAATGGGAAGTGTCATTTCTGTATTCATTACCCTAGCTTAAAGCTGTGTTAAGCTTTAGGTTTGAACTTCTTTGGTGTTACCCATACCAATGAAGAACACTCGTTGGTGGTTATATTGGATATCAACATCTTTATCATACCAGCATAGTTTTACACACACAAACAATAGGTAACCAGTAAAGGAAAGGAATATAATAATATAACACACGTGTCCATGGAATAAATATATACAACACTGCAGTGCTAAAAATAAAAACATAAGGTGTGTGGTTCATGATTTAGGGGGAAAAGTGAGTTTTTGTAGTGAGAGAGAAGGCTCTGTAAACTGTGTTAATAACAAATATAGTTAGTGTAGAAAGCTGTACATTGCACGATAGGTAGATATAAGGACACTGCAATTTTCAGTTTATAACAACTTTGAACAGCAACGTTAAAATCAGACAATTTTGCTAAAAGCAAGTAAATAACTCAAGCAACATCATAACCTAAATGCTTTCCAACTTAGACTGTATTTTACATTTCTCTTATTTTAATAAATCAATTTGTGTCAAACCATGTGAAGCCTAACATTAGTCGGCTGACAAAAGGCTACATCTGGTGTTTTTAAGATAAAATATCATATAATATGTTTGTGTTGTCCTAAAATAGGTAAAGGATGTAGAGAAAACTGCTTAACCAAGGTAGAAACTTGGGCTATAGAACCATGATTTATTGGATTTGCACGTAGATCTAAGGCATCTAAATTGACTTTTTAGCTGAAATAATCTGGCAGCAGCTTTTCGAATGTGAATATTTGCTAATATAGATCAGGTTTTAAAATGTTGGTCATACCAAACAAGCAGTGTGAAGCACTAGGATATTGTTATAAGCTTCATTCACTTATTTAAAAAACCAAACCACAAATCGAAGAAACCAAAATAATAAATAAAGTAAAATAATTGTCTCATGCTGCCATTATAGAAACAACCAAGTTAAGAGATACACAAGGTCATAACACATGTTGGGATGAGGTAATGGTCAGTGGGTTTAACGCAATTTGACTCAACAACAAAAAAGTGATACAGATCAGACCAATATAGCATATGAAGCTCTGCCAGGGTCAATGAACCAGCCTCTGTCTTACAACATGCTTATCCACAGCTTAAGCTAATAGGATTTGGCAGCTAGCAAGCTAGCCTTTGGCATGGATCCAAAACATATGACGGGTGTCAAAACACAGACACATAGATAGGAATCGTTTCCTGGTAGAAATTGGATTGTGGCTTCCAAGTCAGGCTATAAAACCTTCTTGAAAGCGATCAATCCTCTTTTTACTGTCATGTTCATTTCTGCTTCCTGTCCAAGATATTTCAAATTTAACAGACTAAAAGGAAGCACCGAGTTCAAAATCAATGATTTGGAACATAAAGGGGGCTAAATGGAGCTGGCATGTAGGAAAATACATGGGATTTATAAATAATTAAGCGTTATACGGTCTGAGCAAGGCATGACTACCTTTCCTTTCTCAAAGGTGAAGCTTACTCAACAAAAACAGGACAGAACACTTCCTAGGTAATAATGATAAAACAATGCATGGTGGTCCCAAACAACAAAGTTAGGATTATAAAAAGCACATCGATCTAGCTCTGAACATAAGTGAAATGTAGAAAACATGTTTCATTTTGTTAAAACATAAATAATTAGGACTGGCAAGAAGGAAAATACATTCTTGTGTTTGTCATGCTTAACACTATTCATTCAAAGCTGTTCTACCATCCGACTGCTAATCCATAAAACTCATTACCCGGAATATGGATCGCCTCCTGCTCATCTCCGTCTCAGGGTTGCTCCCTGCTTCTACAAACATCAGTGTAGCACTCGAGGTTATACCGAGTCTTTCTTTGTGGGATTTAGAATCTTTGTTATGATGGCAGAATTCAAATTGGAGTTTAGCTGTTTGCTCTGGCAAATGTTGAAGGATCTTAAATGCGTAGTAGGAAATAAGCCCAACATCTTGCAGTACGGCCAACCTCATGATACATAAGACCAGCATATCATCAGAGTGTTTGTTTATACTAACACTGCTAATATGGATTTCTTGAAAAGATCAATATGACTCACGAGTAGGGATGAATTTCAATTGAAATATTTAAAAACTAGTGCTGTTGGACTCAGATCTCAAAAGAAGTTCTTCCAGCAGTGACAATGAACAAATGTAACAAGCTATCGACATTATACAACAATACTGTACACTAATTATTCTCTCTATTTACTGATTCTAATCTGTCTCTATGGCAGGTGCTGTGTCGGCCTGATACCCACCTAGAGGTGTGACTCTCTCCGAGTGACAGCAGAGATACCATACCATTATCCAGGGAACATCCTTAGACAGGTGCTGCCGCAGCCAGCGTGAACCATAGCAAACTGCCCCGAGACAAACGCTCACAGAAACTACGACATCCTGTCCTGAAGGCCGCTACAGTACTCCAGCACATTTACACTCATAATATTGTGACATGCTAGCAAAGGATCCACGCTCTGTCATGAGTCAAGTGTTACTCTGCTAGAACCAGGAGTGTGTCACTCTCTCCCCAGCACACACACACACACACACACACACACACACACACACACACACATTAGTTAAGAGGATAAAGAAGGAGCAGGCAGATTAAAGAAGGCGTCCAGGTTCTCCGGACAAGACAGGTTTTTTCCAGCCCTCTGCCCTTAATTGGCAAGATAAAGCCTGGCTAAATTTACACGGTATGCAACTTAAAAGAACTGTATAACTACATTTTTTATTTTTCGTCATTTACCATCTTTAAAGGTTATGGTATCACAAAGACGTAAATGTTGATATATAACCCTGCTGAATAGAACTTCTTTTGACACATTTTTTCATACAAAATCGAACAAAAATACCAAGACTGTGAAAGACTAAATTCACATATATCTTTTCTTATTTGAAAAACCGAAAACATTGTTTAAGGTAATGATATGTGCAACCTAAAACCATATCATTTCTGGAGCTTGGTATTGTTTGATTTGTTTCAATTAATTCTTATTATTTTATATAAAAAACAAAACTAGAGTACAGATGCAAAGACTTACCTTTGATCTCCCAATATACCTATTTGGTCATTCACATCTGCTAATAGCAAGTATCTGACAATAGTGCTCTCTTTTTCCCAAGTTTAAAACCTCTATCTCAATGTGTGGAACCAATCAGAATAACTCAATAACATGTGCATTTCCACAGCAATAATTCCCCCAGTATAACAACAGAGCCATCACCATTCTGCTCTTAGTTTCACAAGCTACTGCTGTCTATAATTATTAATACATACGGTACATACTTTGTTTAAGCTACTAAACAAGACTCAACACTATTGCAGATATGTATCACTAAAAGCAACTGCAAATCATTTGAACTGCAAAAAATGTTGGGTTTTGTTGACTTCGATTACAGGATAGGTTCACAATTATTATTTGTAACATTAATTACAGGTAGGGCTGTACAATATTTACAATTGTATCAAAATCGCAATATGGACTAGTGCAGTATTCAAATTACATGAAGCACAATAATTGTTAAAGGGTAAACATGTGACAAATAATATGTGTTTTGTAAATGCTAATGCTAGTTATGATATAAAATCATTCAATCCTTTTTATATTTAAAATCATAGCACAACTGCCATACCGGTCAAAATAATGACGATATGTTCTTGTTTAACAAATCGTACAGCCTAATAACAGGTATGCCAAGCGTTTATCAGTGACTGTCCATTTTCTGAATTTCCATTTTGTATTTATATGGAATAGCATAGGTACATTTGACACTAAATCCCCTTGGCCTTATATGGAGATGCAATGTAACACACTGATTCAGAGTGTTTTTTGGACTTACAGTGTGTGACTCCGGCCAGGGTCTGGTAGAAGGTGGGGGTGTCGCTGTCGTCTGTGAGCGTGACACACACTCCTCCGGACAGGAGCCATCTGGATAAAGTGAAGGCCTCCTTGTTCTGCAGGAGCCAGAACCTGAAGTGCTCATAGTTCACCTTGTCACCCTGCCACAACACAACACACACAATTCATCTGTTGGTGTGTCAAAAGCAAAAGATGACACACTTGACCATTCCATTGTCAAAAGTCTGTATCAATATGCGACCTTCTATATGTGTTCCTGTCTGAAATCTTGTTGCATTTGAAACAGGCTTTTTAATGTTGATGGGACCAGGTATGAGATTTGTATCTATTGTTGAGAGCTTCATATGAAGTGAATACTTAAAACGAAAGTTAATTATAAATCATATACGAAGTGAATACTTAAAACAAAAGTTAATTATAAATCATATATGATCAATTATATTCTTGTATGAACCCATAATGAGAATGCTTCATATTTTAGGTTTTTCTATATTTACAGCATAAACAAAACAAAGTGGTTTGTTTAGGTTGAGTGTGTAAGGTCTATGATGTATGGGTGTCACTGATAAGGAAGAGGGCAGTTTCTTCCCCTTTTTTCTCACAGCAGATCACAGGGAGGGGGGCTCCTGCCTTAAACGAGAAACACATTGAGGCCTCAAAAATGTCAAGTCCTACAGGGGTCATGTCCTTTTTACACAAACATGGGAAGGTGTGTCTTAGGCCATAGCCAATAGAAGATGTTGGTTGGGGATAGAGGAGGTGTTTTTTGGGGTTTCGATCCGTTTTTTTTTAGCATAAAGAGACTGGTTTTTTGAGAGAGCGCGAGAGAGGGGGGGAAACCCCTGGTATACTCTCTCCCGGTAGGCTCTGTACTTCAGAGCTGGGTAAAATGGTTCTCGGTAAGGTTATCCTGGAAGGCGTAAATAGGACGTACGGGAATCTTAGACCTAATAGCTTTATTTAGGCTATCCTGGAAGGCGTTATTAGTACGTACAGGAATCTTAGAACTAATAGCTTTATTTAGATCTATCCTGGAAGGCGTTATTAGTACGTACAGGAATCTTAGAACTAATAGCTTTATTTAGATCTATCCTGGAAGGCGTTATTAGTACGTACGGGAATCTTAGACCTAATAAGCTTTATTTAGGCTATCCTGGAAGGCGTTATAAGGACGTACAGGAATTTTATAACTAATGGCTTTATTTAGATCTTGGATAGATGAGAAATATGAATTAAGGTTTTAAATAAAAATATAACCCCAGCATGATATGTTGCATATGATTATAATGTGTTAAAAGGTAAAAACCCTGTATTAGTTTTGGACCTATTTTTCTTCAAATAAACTGATCTCACCTGTTGGATTGGGACAACTAAAAAGAAAATCTGTGCTCTCCTCTCCTGCTTAAAAGGTAAGACTGCACCCTGCCACACTCACACTTAGGTAGGAACACACTCCATTTACTGATATCAAAATCCTTCGGGATCCCTTAAACAGATTAAAAAAGAGTTGTCTGAATAGAAACAGCAGTTAATTTAACCTGGTTCTTCGGGGGGTTAATAGAGGTGAGATCTTGCTGACGTTGATGGATCTGAGCCAAGCAGTAAACTTACATAGACTCAATAACTTCGGTCAGGTCAATTAGTAGGTCAGAGTAATTTACCGGAATAAATTATCAGGACCTCGCCGACTCTAAACACTATCTATTGTTAGAAGTTGTAGTAGAAGGCAGATGTTTGAGAAATGAAGAGCATAAACTTGTCAGGAAAAGGATTTCTGAGATAATTAATCAAGTGAAAAGTTGGTTACTTTCATAGACACCATTCGAATTGGCTCAAATGGAATATTTGTGCACTGAAAAACACTTTTACAAGGCTACAGATGACGGGAAATGATTTAAGTATTAACAACATTTATAAAATGAATGTATAAATAAATAACAAAATCAAATCAAAATAAATAATAAAGTTCTAACTATAGCAAGACAACTGTATTGTGCCCCAGAAATAAACTCCTTATTACGGACATATATTTCACAAAATGTAAATGTTCCGAGACAAAACATTTTTGGGAAATGTGTGTTCCTACTTGTTTTTGTGAATTAATTCTCATTTTGTTTGGATTTATAACTTTAAAATAAAACATATTGCGACTGCTTCTATTCCACTATAATTATTCATATCCGTTTGGTGATGGACAGGCTGCTATATTGGCCTACCTCACTGAAACACTTCTTGAGGGAGGTTGGGATTTCTCCATCCAGGACCTGCAGGACTGCTTCTATATCTTCCCTGGCAGCATATCCACCCAGATCACTGGCAAACAGGCTGAAGAGGTCTGTGAACACACACACCAACACACACACACAGTGTCAAAAAGGCAAGTTCAGCTTTATCGCAGGAAGTCAGGCTTCTTGCCAGTAGCAGCAGTAAGTCCTGATGGATGAGCCCACTGCAACACATGAACCACAGCCATTGGGAGAGGAAAGAGGGAGAGGGGAAGATCTCACATTTTTCATGTATGTATATATTATCAGTTGTACTGCACAATAATCAATTATTCCTGCTGTTCTTTTTTTGGAAAGCGGGGTAGGTTTAAGGAAAGTTGCTGAAATTTATGTTTTTAGTTCGATTTTCTTGGTCATTTTCAAAAGTACAATGTTTTCCCTGTGAAAAACACACGGTAATACTGCTTTTTTTGTTCGAAATGCATTAAAACACAAGATTTTCCAAATGATATGCTTAAGCAAGGATGCTGGTTGTATTTGTAATTTTAATAAATAAAAAATAAAGCTTTTTGAATCTTAATCTGAGAGAAAGAGATATGGAGTGCATATTTTCTAGAAATCTAATAATAAATCTATTAAGACAAATTGTGGGACGACTTTGAACATCAAAGTGTATGAATTGACTGCAGCTCTGATTTGCTGAAATGACATGAATTGAAATATTTAAAAGACATCATACAACTATCCAAGACTCTTCCGTTTTTAAATTGGGGATCATTGAGGTTATCATTAATTAGGGACTATAACAGCGGGTGAAAGTACTTCCTAACTCTCTATTCAAACTGCAATAAAACGTGGCTCCAGTGGAACAGCAGTTTATTTGACAACCTTTTCTAACCACAATATATAGTGTTAGAAATTCAAATCAATGTTTTATGGCATGACTTGGTTTGGACGTACCGTCAGCTTAAAAGTTATTTTATTCTGAAAAAAAACGGAAGTTCTCGCACAATCTTAATGCCAAGCTTTTATTGTGAAAATCCTTCATGACGACATCCGGGGCTACCGTAAATGATAACTGCCGTAAAGTACTTCCAGTATTATTAAAGTAACTATTTAAAGCCGTTATAATGTATTAAATAAAAAGTTATGAAAGAGATAAGGAGGAGAAAAGGCGTGTGGATGTAAGCAATGAATGTAAAATGTCGAAATCCTCTGTTTGACGCGATGTCGGACATTGAAGACTAAGGCGGGGGCCCCCCCTTTCACACAGCACGAGAGGATATAAGGAGGCTGCTGAGCACAGCTCTGCCCTTCTTCCCTCGCAGCTGCCACCGAGACAACACCGGCATTTGTCTCTTCTTCACCTTCTGCTTGTTCTATTACCACGTTACTTAATTAAAGTACCCATTTGAACCTTCTCCTTATTTTAAGTTTCTCTCCTGGACGCGAGGACAAGGAATATCCTAATAATAGTCAACATGTTAAAGTATCCTCGGGCAAGATACCTAACCCCAAATTGCTGCTAAAGGCTTGTCGCTTACCGCGTAAGAAAAAAAAAATCTTACTGTAAACCAGTTCTCCTGCAGTTCATGAGTAAGTTGTGTTTTGGAACTGCAGCGCTTGTTGACGTTTGGGGTTGATACATTTGGCCAACATGTTGGACATGTACATAAAGTGTACATTTTATTGGCTTATTTTAACAATATGATTGAAAGTTTCTTTCCGATATTATTGCAGATCTACTGAAAGCTAGCTAGCTAGCTAACGTAGCTAACCTAGTCATTTCAGAAATACTGACAAATCACTTCCAATTATGAAACCGACTATTTCTACCAACAGTTGCAGTTATATCCCCGAAGGTCAACAAGCGCATGCATCACTTTTTAGTGTCACTGTTTCCATAATGTTTTCGAGCTTCTTTCAGCGTTTAGTTTATGCAGCACTTTTAGTAAACGTTGCACATGTTTCGTCAAGTTGGTGATTGTTTTCCAAAAGCGGCACGTGTTAAGTGAAGTTGTTGAAGAGGTTTCTTCATTTGCACATTTGTGTTTTTATATTTGCATCGTTTTTGGAATTGCAGAGCGTTTCTTCTTATGGAAGTGTTTTTTTTTTCTGTAGCGCGTTTGCACAGGTTGGCCACCATACCTGTCAGATTCTATTTTCACAAAATGTTTTGATTGTTGTTGGATGAAAACATCTATACACTTTGACATATTTGAAATGTCAGAGATCAAAGAAAAACATTCTTTTATTCATCAGAAAGGACTTACACTTGGCCTTCTCCTCATCTCGTCCTCTGGTCAGAAGCACCAGACCAACGATCAGATTGTTGAAGTGCAGCCCTTTAGACGAGCCTCCAAACGAGGAGTAAATCACCTAAAACACAAACAACAACGTGGTCATGTTCACAACGTCAGCAGGGAAATGCATGGCCCAGAACAGATCAGCTGATCAAAGCATTTTCTCATTTCCACTTCATTAAATTTACATATATAAGGATTTTCAACAGGCCAATATCAAAATATAAAAACATGTTTTAAAATGTTTCCAACATTAGGAGTGTTATGTACATTTAAAGTCATCCTTAAAGGTGGGGTAGGTAATTCACTTCAGATACACTTGTTATATTCCATGGAATGCTCTTAACATCCCGATAGCAATGAATATATGAAATGCTTTGACAATAAATCCATAAAAAAATGTCATCTGTGGAAGCTGTGGCGCTGTAAAAAGCAAGACCAATCATCTGAGCCGGCTAAAGTAACTGGATGGCCTACCTGCCTGTCAGCCTTCCACCTCGTGCCCTCATTGGTCATGTGCGCGTTCGTGTGTGTGTTGGAGGAGGGGCTCTGTAAGGAAGTCTGAAGGAAGGGGCAGATTTTCATCGGCTGCGTATTTTCAAATTCTAGCGCACTCGAGCTGGTTTCTCCATTCTTACCTACCCTACCTTTAAATTCTAATTTCAGGTTGCTTCTGGGCCAGTGTTCGTAGTGCTAAAAACTACAAAATATATATTTGTCTTCCTAATTTCGCTCCTCATCAGTATACAATTATTTCTAACAGATTTGAATTCCAGAGGGTGTTGTTGTCATTATGCCACATGTACTCGGAGCAGATTACAGAGCAGTGTGTGCAGTCGATGAAGTTCACTGGTATTTACGTTGTGGAGAGATGACTGTGCAGTCATTGAGCTAATGAAGTGTGTCCGTGTCACTGGGTCACACACTCAGCAGCAACCACATGTGCTTTAAAAAGAGGGTAGTCATAGTGTGTCATACCAGGGTTTCCCACACATAGACTATACCTGGGCGGCCCGCCCAGGTATATTAACGGCCGCCCAAGTATATTTCGCGACCCATTTAGTTTTTTTTTTTTTTTTTAATGTTTTTTTTTTTTTTATTCGTCCGTGACCACGACGCCATCTGCGATCGATTAACTTGTAGACAATGATCCCTCGCTCCCTTGCTCTGATCTCGCCTCCTTCTGGCCTGTTAAGTGGCCTGCCTCACACAGGGTGACTGGCTGTCCACATGATGTGGCCTGCCGACATGGCCACTGTCATACAGATCATAAATCAAAGCCCTTGATTGGTCTCTGTGTGTCATTCAAGCTCGGGATAACCTCAGCTCAGGTGAGGTAAAGGACTCTCTGAGTGTTTAGATAGTTAACTTAGTCTAAGTTCTCAGTGGGTCTCAAACGGTGAGGTCACCATTTATGTAAACACATATTTCCATTTGAGAGGGTAGTGATTGGTCTAATGGAGAGTGAGGTGGGCTGAAGATCGGAAGGCTGTGAGTTCAAATCCCGCCAGGAACACCACCAATAGTGTGCCCTTGAGTAAGGCACTTAGCCCTTAGTTACTCCAGGGAGAATGTCCCTGTAATCGGTCATTATAAGTCGCTTTGGATAAAAGCGTCAGCAAAATGAAATGTAATGTGATTTGTAAAATATGCATGAATAAATAAATAAAAAGTTAACTAGGTGAAAAAAGGTAAGATACACTATTAAAACTTGTTGAGAGAAAACTAGTCTTTGCTGCTGCCTCAAAGAGGAGGGGGGGAGAGGAGGGAGACAGGAGAGGCTGATTCAGGAGCACAGACACACTCACAACTATAAATGAACCAAAAATAAATTAACAAGTTTCAGTGTTTTTTTCATATTGGAAATGGGATGTTGTTGGTTATGGCCTTGATTTTATGATTATTGAAATGTATACAGTTCTGTTAAATATAGGTGTTTCCATAGATCTAGTCTCTTTATTTTCCCCTCAAAATGCACCAGATTGATGCATTTAACTCCAAAATAAAAAATAAAATCTTACCGGGGGGGGCATGCCCCTGGACCCCCCTAGAGGATTTGAGGTCGACCCCCACTAAAAATCACATGGATAGGTTCCTAAATACATTAATAAATACATACATTTTTTAAAATAGTAGCCCATTTCCATATGTTCATGTGTGGGTAGTAGATTTAAACTATAGGGCTATCATTATGGACCCTGCCTGTACCTGTTCGCTCTGCCATCGCGTGAAGGGTCTGCTAACAAGCGACCAACAGAAAGGTTAATGTTGTTGCACGTCACCCTCAACCCCCCCCCGCTACCACCACCCCCCAAAGTATATTTCAGATCTGTGGGAAACACTGGCAGTTAATGGACCAGCACCAGAGGCATTCCCATACACACAGGCGTTGGAGCTGTTCTTCATGAAATCCCAGAAGGATGAAGTGCTCTGACAAACAGTGCCATCTTTGCGCAAAATGATTATACCGGAATGAAAAGTCAATAAATAATGTTGTTAAAACTTTTTTTTTTTTTTTCGCGCACCCCCCCCCCCCCCTCCTTGCCACCACCCGCCCAAGTATATTTCATATCTGTGGGAAACACTGCATACTATGCAAGTTCTAACACCAAACTCACCCTATCTGCTGCATTATTATCACCTATATCTACCTTATTTCAACCAATTCACCAATCAATCAATGACTAACTGATACTTGTGTCTCTTTACAGAACACCTTTTCTTTAGAAAAATTGTTTTTGCAAAATCCCATTGTCCTTAGTTTATACCGAATTATTACAAACACATCAAGAACCATACATGGAAATGCCCCTGAACCTGACAACATCCTGTAATCCAATGTGACACATGCTTGATCAAGTATGCAAAACAGATATGAGTAAATGGTGGAGATAGGGGGAAATCCACTGAATAAAAAAAACCTACTTTCTTGTCATTAAAAGTAGTATTTTCCACGTCAAGAGTGAGAGAATAATCCCTGATGATGTCATGAGGGGATAATGGTCATGAAGAAAACATTTATGATTTAAATAAGTGTTACAAACTGGATACATGGAGTAAAACGGACGTGGACATTTACCACTCAGGGGAGGCCTCATGTTTACCACTTTTCCCCAATTTGATGGAGCTACAAATAAGTGAAATACTTGAATACTTATTTCATGTCTTATTTTATCCTTTTTGCACATTCTTACTTATTTTATTATATGATATATTACATTTTATTTTTAATTGATTCTAAAATCGATCAACTGTTACGAAAACCAATATCCCCCTGGGATTATTAAAGTATTTTTTGTATTCTGTTACTCTTGTCAGTCTGTCTGACATTGTGTTTGTGATATGGCAGCATGACTTCTATCAAAATGTCAAAGATAAAAAAACATATTCACACCATGAATTAGGCTACAGTCTGTCACACTTCTTCAAGGCAGGAACAATGTTTTTATTGCTTCAACTATCTAATAAACTTGTATTTATACTAGGGATGGGAATTTGAAAGCAAGGTATATTAGAATATTCCACCCCCAAAAACGGTTAACCAATTAACCGAAATGTACATATCCTATTAAAATAATCCCAGCATCAGTTCTGAGTTAATCATACTTTTCAGTTATTATTAAGGCTGTAGGAAGTGTGCTTCTGCTTGCTGCTGATGCATACAGCATATTCTATATTAGAATGAAATGTTCCGCCATCATGCAACTCACTGAGGAGAGTCTATCACGATTTACCATCGATGCAGGGAGAGAGAACGAGCGTGCAATCAAATGTTCAAAAGAAGAATTTGTTCAAACGCAAGCTAGACTTTAAATGACTGAATATCAAAAAGAATATTTCTGGTTCCTGACTGACTGATTAGGCTCTGGATTTTCCTCTGAACTGTGAGATTAGGCAGCAGCCATGTTACTGTTTGAAGAGACCAGCAGTAACCTTAGATCTGCACCGCTGTCACCGCAGGAAACTGCTGCCATGGTGACAAAGAAAAGAGGAAGCAGAGATGCTGGGAGAAAGAAGAAAGGCGACACATGATGTAGTGTTCAATGGTAAATCAACTGTTTATACAGCATTCATATTGCCAGCAGTTCTGAACCAATGCACTCTTTGTCAAATTCACCCTCTTTATGACTGCTTCTGTGTTGGTGATAACATAAACTGATTGTAAATGAAGATTGATTTGTGCTGTCTAATGTAGGGCCTCATCATTGTCTTTAAACAGGAAATACATAACATTAAGGAAGTAATTATGCCTTCATGGGACCTATAAACCCTCTGGTGGTATGTAGGGGTGGACTTTATGCTGGGTAAGACGTTTAGAAGAAGGATTGCAGCTAAGAAATAGTACTGGGCTGGATCCCTTCTCTGGGGCGTGTGGCATTTCATTTAGGGAGGAGGACACTGGGCTCCAGCTACCTCCTTGTCAATATCCCCTTTGCCAGAGAGCCTCTAGCTGTAATGCTATCAAGGGCCTGCATTGATCTGTACATCCCACAACAAACTCAAGTAAACCACCAAGGTCCTTTTCAATTTCTATAGCCGCATTCACACCGCAGGACTTTCCCTGGTTCTTTAGTTCCGTTAGTACCAATAATGTCGCGTTCACACCGCCGGGACTACTCAGTGCCGGGAACTCTTTTGGCCATTTTCAGTCCCTGCTAGAGAGGTGGTACGAACCTGGTGATAAAAGAGTGCCAATTTCTATTCTATTTCTATTGGCTGGGCGAATTTCAAACCACGCCCCGTTAGACTCTGAATTATTTTTGTTAGGCAGCCATTTTTTTCCTCGCTACAAAACCACATCCACACCTGAGCGAGTAGTTTTTTTGTACTTTAAAGCAGTTATGACCACACGTACTACAACACCGGAGCGGTGGAATGAAGAGGAAGTGTCGGCGCTTCTGGCAATTTACTCCGAGGACGGGATGCAGCAGCTTCTACAGAAAGCAGTTCCCAACTCCAAATGTTTTGAGCGATGTTCGCAAAAGCTACTTGAGCTGGGAATCGTGCACAGTGAACACGGATTGCCGGGTAAAATAAAGAACTATAAAAAAATTAAAGACCACAATAATAAGAGTGGTAACGATGTTCTATTGTTATTATATATATATATATATATATATTATATTGCCACTGTTTTTAATACTGACACCTAACTTGCACTAAGGTGTGTCTGCTGCTATATATATTGCCACTGTTACATTGTTTTGAAACTACTTACACTTTATTTTACATTTCACACTTTTATTTAACTTCAATTTACGTCAATTTACACACCTGGAACAGCGTGATGCCGTTATTGTTATGTCTTGACTGTGCAATAAAACAAAACAAACTGGCGAAGCTTTATTTATTGTGTCCCACCCCAAATTTGCAGAATGGAAGAATGTGAGAGCAGACAGGTGTTGGTGGTTGAATTTATCTACAATGTTGCAACCTTGTGCAGCAATGGCAGGGGCAGAAACACAAGTCTTACACACATAAACACAAGTAATTTATCATGTCATTTGTTTTAGATAAATAAGGGAAAAACACCAAACAAGGGTTAATGTCCTTTTCCAAAATCAGCCTGAGGGGGTAATATATAATAAATACATAAAGATAAAGTCCATTGTTATAATGGGGTATTTTATTTGTAAATTACCCTTATGAACTCCATCATGTCTGAGGTCGGAAAGTAAACAAATGCCTCATACAGCGGGTGGGCTTTATACCCCCTCCCCCGTGTAGTTCTTCTTCTCTCGTTTTTTTTGGTACCTGCCGTGAAGTGGTTTTGCGGCTTGCCAGTAAACCCAGAGAAGAAGAAGACGAAGTGACGTCAGCGTAATCTTGCCTCAGGGAAAGTACTGCGGTGTGAATGCGATTGGCACTAGCCCCCTGGCGGATTCAGTGCCGTGGTACTTTAGTGCCGGCACTAAAGTACGGCAAGTCCTGCGGTGTGAAAGCGGCTTATGAACTTAAAGAGGTTTCCCTTTCCTTTAGTGCAGAGGTGCCCAGTACGTCGACCGCGGGCGACCGCAAAGCTGGTAGATCGCGAGTCATTCTTAAAGAAAAAAATCCTGTTCGGTTAAAACAGACTAAACAGGTTTTGATCCCGCCTCCCTTGGCCTCCCTGCCACTTAATTCAGGAGTTTACTTGATTGACAGAAAAAGCGACCTATCGCTTTCCAGTCTGTTAACCCAGAATGCAAAGCGATACAAAATCAGTCAAGTGCCGGGAAAAACTCAAATTAAGTTAAGAGACTAACAGAGACAAACAACCAAATGAGTGCGGGACCGAGCAAAAAGCTAAAGACAAACCACTTCCACCCAGAATGGGAGGAAGAATATTGTTTTGTGATGTCACATTCAAAGGTTATTTGTAAAGCAAGCGTCGCTCTGCCAAAGAAAGGTAACGTGGAGAGGCATATTATCGAGTGTTCACAAGGCATATGACAGCGACTTCCCTCCGAGTAGCGAGTTGAGAAAGAGAAAGGTCATGTATTATTGCTACACAAACATTATCTCGCAGTCTTTAGTGTCGCCAACTCGTTTCTAACATGCAAAAAGACAAACAAATGCGTCTATGGTCGGTGTATTTTCGACCTTTCCAATCCAGACGAGATCTCTCTCCCCCGTCTGTGCGCGAGGGGGCGGGGCAGTTTACACACACGCGGCTGCTACATGCAGCAAACACACGGAGGGGGATGGCGGAGAGAAGCGCTCCAAGGTGTGGTTACATGTTACCCGTCTTGAGGAGGACAATGCTCCTTGCCAAGAGAGTTCAGCATGTGAGGGCGGGAACACGAGCAATGTGTCGAAACATTTATCAAAAGCGCTCCACATTCAGACGGAGGAATGCACCGGGTTCAACTGTCTTTCTAGCAGCTCTGTAGCTCCATCACGAGTAACGTTTCCACGTCAGGTGTTATGTATGCTAGCAGCACCACACGGAGTTAACTCAATGATTCAAACATGGGTTAATGATTAGAGGAAACTGAGTTACTCTTTATTTTGTTAAAGTTTCAGCTATTCTGTTCACAGTTCTGTCATCAGATTATTTAATAGGATTTGTTAAAACATTGTTGTTTCTTTTGATGCGAAATATTATTTATTTTATTTAAATAAAAAGCAATGTTAATTTTGTAAACAATTTGTTAATTTAATAATATATGTATTTTTGAATCAAGTATTCATCTTTATTGTCTTGTTAGTTTCCACATGCCTAAAACAACCTCAAGCTAAATCTAAAAGTTGATGGCTAAACAAGAGGGTTTGAGAAATTGTGCAAGGCATACAGTAATAGTCTGTATAGTCGATTAGTCGTTTCATTAATTCGATAGATTAATCGATTATCAAATTAGTCGTTTGTTGCAGCCCTATTGTAGTTATCCCATGTATAAATAAAGGTGTTATTCAGCAACCCTTGCAATTTGGGATTTTATTTTGGTTGGTAGACCTCGGTGAGCTGGTCATTTCAAAAGTAGCTCACCAGCCCAAAAAGTGTGGGTCAACCCCTGCTTTAAGTGTGTTGGTAATAGGTTTTTGTGCATGTAAATGGGCTGCAAAGACAAACATCCCAATGATCCCTCCAGAGGGGAGTTTCTCCCCCAAACACTCCTTTGTTTACTCTGGAACATGGTGACACCACTAAGTAACACTTGCTATTCTTTTGGCTATCTCTCCAACATTCCATTGTACGTGATCAGAGGATGGACATCTCTAAGCTGTTGATCAATCACAACAGAGCTGGCCAACAAACCAATCAGAGCAGACTGGGCTCTGGTTTCAGACAGAGGGTGAAAAGAGGTGCTGCAGTACAGGCAGTATGAGAACAAGAAAGAGCTTTTTGAACATTAAAGCATGGAGACATGTCCCAGTAGAGCAGGGGTGGGGAACCTCCGGCCCCCGGTCCGTATACGGCCCGCGAGACAATTTGGTACGGCCCTCGAAGTAATTTATAAAACACACGCAAAAAAGAAAAAAAATTAAGAAATCTAGACCGCAAAAAAATTAAACAAGCGAGTGCCTGTTTTTCCTGGCCAAGGTCAGGGTCCTTGAACACAACACGAGCCTAACGTGTCATCACGTGGTATATGTCTCGACTGACAGGGGTGCAGTTCTGACGGGGAGCACCAGAACGCCGCTCCAGCACTTCAGATATTGCAGTACCGATAAGGAGTGTTATGGAAATCTTTAGACCTAGTCAATACTGTGGAGATACACAAGTCAGAAATATCAAACAATAAATGGTGATGAAACAGACAGAGTTGTCTTCGGGTTATTTATTTGAGGCCTCAAAGACACAGGTCTCACAGAACACAAGGTATCCTGAGAGAGTGCGCGCAGAGTAGAAAATGCATACAGGTTATATAGGATTTTTGGTCAGTTCAACAACATCCCGCTCACTCATTAGGAGGGGCCCTGGCAGGAGAGATAAGCTTCCAAAGGAACTGAAACTGTCAATCACTAATAGATTGAACCAGGGGCCCGTTCAGCAAGAGGGAAGTGAGGAAACTTGTCAGCAACAGATGGAGGGCTAAGAAATGGGGGAACTTGATTATAAGACAGGGAAACTAAACAGGAACTTGCCCATTGCCCCTGCGCTTGGTACCCAGCCCCCTCATCAAGTTCAGACCTTAGATGACCTTAAATGGTCACTTTCCAGGGAGGCAAAGGACATGAACTAAAACACATCACCCAGACCTTACTTCGACATTTTTAAAGGTCATGAGTGTCAATACATCATTACAGACACTGTTGGGAAAATGCTGACAGAGGTTATAAGCTGAAATACATTATTATAGGAACTGCTGAAAGTGCTAACAGAGGTTACAAGCAAAACACATCATTCTAGGAACTGCAATTGATGTGTCCATGTAAGGTAAAATATAAAGTCTGCACTATAAGAAACCTTAAACTACATATATACAAAGTTTGCCATTACAGGAGCCGTACACATGCCGCAGTTTCTGCGTGGCTGTGTCTTAGTTGTAAGCCCAGTGGCGATCTGTTCATTTGTCATACTGATCTACAGTCAATAACTTTTTTGTTATTAGCATCTGGTTAGCTAGCTATGCTAACGAATATAAGAAGCTTTTTCTCCAACCAGTGAGGTAAAGGCACATCTTTATATGATCATTATAGTTATACAAAAATAAGAGAATAAAGTAAACAGGTATAAAATACTATATGACAGTAAAAAAAAGTTGTTATTAATAAAGAAGAATACAGTTTGAAAGGAGAGTGATTTGTCAAATATTCATAAAGAAAAATAAATCTGCTTCCAGTTCTGTTTCATATGGATGTTGAGAGATGTTTCCATAGATCTCTTAATGTTGCTCTCAAAGTGCACCAGATTGATGCTTTTAACTTCAACATTTAAAAAAAAATCTTCCCGGGAGCATGCCCCCCGGACCCCCCTAGAGGAGGTGAGGTCCACCCCCACCTAAAACATGTTCACATGGATAGGAAACTAAATACATTTGCACACATCTTGTGTCCATATCTTTCTGTTTTGGTGGTCACGCCACACCGTGCACGTGCATGCATGCGCGAGTCATAGTGAGATATCTGGATTAAGAGGTTGCTTTTTCTTTGCACAGAATGAAATGAATGGGCTGTGATTTTAGTTTTTTAAGCAGAGGTCAATAATTTGTACGGCCCTCTGAGGATATTGTAAAAATTGAAATGGGCCCTTGAGGAAAAAGGTTCCCCACCCCTGCAGTAGAGGCACAACATGCAAATATGAAGGTGAAGATGAACATAATATGTTGTATAAGTTATATATTATAGTACAATGTGTACCTTTTTAGGATTTATATGTTTAAATCTATTTTATTTTGATTCAGATATCATCTCTCATCTTTCTACACCAGATCAGCCATCTATATCTCAGTGAACACTAGATGCTCTACGGACGTTAACTAGGCTATTTTGGTGGTCACCTTGCCACCAGCCACCATTTCACAGTAACTATAGCCATCATTGTAAATGATCCATGGTGCGACATTACTCTTACCTCTGCAACTTTATGGGGAACTCCATCTCCCAGCACTTCCCTGTAGAAGCACTGCTGGGTCATGTAATAGGTGATGCCGCTGGTTCTTTTGAAGGCATCTTTCAGCCGCTTCAATTCCACATCAGTGACTGGAGAGAAAAAGAAAGGACAAGAAATGTCATTCAAATCAAACTCTAAAAGGGCCTGCAGTAATAACAGCAAAAACCAAAACAAGAGTATATAATAATCCATACTAGTTGTTGAACTTTAGCAATGTTAGATTATAGATTTAGATTATCCTGAGTTACCAGAACATTCTATCAAGAGATACAATTTGATGTGGAGTTCGAATGATCAATGATGAGTGTAACTTTCTATGTTTTCGATCCTGACTATATTCAACACTGCATTTGACCAGGGAAAGAGGGAAGAATGATCTGATCTTGATGTTTGGGTGAAACAGCCTAAAAAAGAAAATCGGATAGATTGCCGCCTAAAATGGACAAGCTGCCTAGACCAGGGTATTTGCGGGAACAACACTGTAACAGTTTACTTGACAGTCTGGTACACATACTCACATCTTACATTGTATACGCTTACACACACACGGGGGCAAAGACAACCACAACAATACAGTACAGTAACTCCAAGTCAAATGCATCAATGCAAGAATTGTAGACTAGAGGGCGTGATTGTAAACATCTCTGACCAGCGAAATACTGCAACAGTTGCCATTTTACGTTTAATTACGATACAGTATTTAATATCATTATAGTATTACTATTTAGGCCAATTAGATAACATATAAATTATATTTGATGCAACTTTAGTTATATTTCCATGACTTTTCCAAAACTTTGGGAAAAATATTGTTTTCCATAACTTTTCCAGGGCCTGGAATTTGCATTTTGAATTTCCATGACTTTTCCAGGTTTTTAATGACCGTACGGACCCTGGTATTTGTGCAGAGCTAGCTTCACTTGATACGACACACACACTCTATTGTCCTCTGCTGCCCTCTGCTAAAGGCTTCCACTTCAGGTCAAAGCCATGTCACAGTGCTGGGATGCAACGAGTCCCAGCAGCTAATATAAGCCTGCTTTTGTGTGATACAATGAAACATGTTGCTGTATCGTCACTACATCCAGTTCAAACACTGATGGAGTTTTCCGGATACAGCTCCACACTGTGCAGTGTGTGCAGCATGCTGTTGTTCAACTGGACCATCACCACTCACCGGTAGAGAAGAGGAGACACAGCTGCTACAGCCACCATCCCTTGATAAGTTAATATGTCCAATGATTTAACATTGATACAATTGACACTGGATTTATAATTAAACTAATGCATTAATAGTACATATGTTTACAGTTCACATATTCATATTTTATTTCAATAAGCAGTAGTTTATCCTACTGGGACTTAACATTCCTAAAGCCAAAACCCCTGTAGCTATATGACAGAAAAACGCCTTTGAAATCTTTGGAATAAGTACAAATAGTGTATTTACTATGTTTATAGAATAGTTTATTCATCCAGGGGAATAATTGTGTTTCCATGACAGTTGCATAAGTTAAGAATACAACTTTTATTTTTATTAAATGTAATAAAAGGTATGTATACAAACATAAACAAGTAAAAATGTGCAATAAAAAGATTTAGAAAATACAATAAAAAAGGAATAAGAATATTAGAAAATGACCATATGAAGTCAAAGTAAAATTGTGCAATAAAAGGTAAACAAAATGTTTAATAAAAAATGGAGTACATTGTAAAATAAATAATAATACATGTGTTAAATGAGAATATTACAAGCTATACAGTGGTGTATTAATAAGATCTTAGAGCAGAAATGCACAGTTAGGGTGTAAGCTGTCTTTATGCTATGAGGGAGAAGTTTAAAACAGTCTAATAGCCAGAGGCAGCAGTCACTTCATGTGGGGCTGAAGTTAGTCTTTCTTCCACTGAAGCTGCCATGACCACCCCAGCAGGTATTGGAAAAAAATGTATTGGTCTTTGATTTTAAAGATGTTTACATCCTGGTTTATAGGCTCTTTTGACACCAACCTGTAGGGGGCAATAGAGTCCATCCTGGTCTTACTGTAGGTTTACACTACCCTGCTGGTACAGACATGCACACCTCCAACACACGCAGTGTATGGCAAAACATAGAGGTTTAATTTTACCTGGATTAAAATAATTGTCTCTTCCCTCACTGCTGACTTTAACAAAGCAGGAGAAGGTCAAACAAAATGCCCATAGTAAATATTAACAACTCATACAGTTTCCCTTGACTGGCTGTTAGTTGGCTTCAAAAAGGAAAAGCAAATGTCCTTAAGAACAGCCTTGGCTGAATTTTATTCATTCAAAAACCAAATCCGCAACTTGTCTTTTTCTTCTTTCTCTACCAAACACGTCATCCTTACCTTATGTACTGCCTACCAGTACAAACAATGTGATATGAGGAAGCAAACGATGCGAATAAATCAAAAGGAAACTGCTGTAAACAACAATACCAGGGATTCTGGTGTCAGAATTGATGTGCTTGGTTATTTATGGGGAATTGGTGGGAATTATAAATCAGCCTTTAAAATAAAATCTGATAGTTAACTTATTTTACACAAGGGCTATATTTAAGATCTACAGGTTCTCTTATTTGCCTAAATGTGCTGTATGTGGGATGTTTTTATGACAAATGAACCGAGCATAAGAAATGCAAATGTGTGGTTTTACAGGGGTTATGTGAAGGACTATTTCAGCGACTTTATGGAGTTTTCCATTGGCTGCCTGGCAACCTCAAAGTGACGACATGACATGTGTTGTTTTAACACTTAAGTTTTTCTACCAATTTAACAAAGGTGACCTGTTAAAATGGTGAGCCTAACCGATGATGGTAGGGTTTTAGCTAGTTTGGACAGAGCAAGCCTAGCTGTTTCCCTGCCGTTTGTGGTTATTTAACAATTTAGGAAAAGGGGGTGTTTGCCCAAATGGGTACAAAGCGAAAAATAATGACAGGGAAAGACAAAAAAAGAAAAAAGAAAATCTTCAAAAAAGACTCAAAAACCAAGGAACGCAGGAGCAGACTGACACAACTTGGTATCGAGGATAATTTGGTGATATATTAATGTAGTGGAATTATGAGGGAATAGAGACCACCCGAACAAAACTGAAATGAACACTATTTGTAATGGTACTATTTGGAAATAAAGTTGTTTTTCATTTTCATTCAAATAAGTTAAAGGTGACATGTCATGCTTTTTCCGGTTATTACCGTCCCCTTGTGTGTTATGAAGGTTTTTATGCATGTAAACGGTGTGCAGAGTCAAAACCCTCAAAGTACACCCTGTAGCGAGTAAACTCTAACACACAAAATACCTCCCCAAAACGCCTCGTTGGTGAAACGTCATCATCCATTTGATTCTTCGGGGACATCTGATGTCATGTCGTACCCGGAACTAAATGGACCAATCCGTGGAGCCGTTACGTTACGTCCGCGGAGCCGTTACGTTAAGCCCACGCTGATTGGTCCAAATTGACCAATCCTCGGACTTCCTCACACACTCAGTGCATGCAGCTCTGCTGATTTCTCCTCCCTGGCTGCAGGCTGATAACAGACAGTTGGGATCGCGGCGAAATTCTCTCTCTGCAGACCCGTTCTCTCTGCAGACCCATTCTCTCTGCAGACCATTCTCTCTGCAGACCCATTCTCACAGCGTTTATCAACCTTTTTCTTACTCAATATCAAGCCACACTTATTGTTTTTACTTCGGCTGTGACTTTGTGTGTGCTCAGGGTGAGTTTGGCTGTGTATCGCTAAACAAGGAAATCACACCTCCACAGAGCTTAGCGCGATTCACAACGTCCCGACTGGTCCCGACCAATCGGAGCACACTGGGCTCACAGGGAGGGGGGGCAAGAGCTGCAACGAGCCGTTTAGTGGAGAGAGTGAATACACGTAGTTTACAGAGATGCTGTATGCGAAACAATGTGAGTTTGGAAAATTGCACAGTATAAATCTATTCTAGTAGACATCAACAATGGAATTATGATCAGTGGAAATGGCCATGACATGTGACCTTTAAGGACTGAGGAGACAAACTCATAAAATAACAATGAATCATTCCGAGATGTCCCATCATTATAAAATAAGGTGTTTTTCTCGGAAGATGTCAGTTATTTAAGGCCACATCTATGTTGAGTCTTTTGTTTATTGGAGCTGCTGTAAAAAAATCCCCACTGCGCTGCATTAAAAATAAGGAGCATTTTCCAATTTTCCATTTTCCTGAGGCACAAAGCAACTGATTTATTGATCCTAATAAATGATATCCACTCTAATAATGTAAACTGCTTTTGTTTGTTTATTCAAAGAGGTCACTTTGTCTACATTGTTAGGTATCAGACAGCTTCTGGAATATTATTGTCGGTTTACAGGTGCATTTGAAGTTCAGTGTTTCCTAGGGAGGTAACGATACCAAAAACTCACGGTACGATAATATCGCGATAACAAGTCCACGGTACGGTATTTATCGCGATATTGAATAATAAAGGGGGAAAACAAAATTAAAAAGAATTGTTTCAATAAAAAATGTTTTACTCAGAAAAGTTTCTTTATTAAATAAATAATAAATCTGATTTGTACAGCATTTTAGTAGGATAGCAATATTTTAAAGTGTCAAAAACAAAGTGACAGTAAAACTGGAACAAGAAAACCAGTGTTTTTGTACCTATAGTACTACCAAACAAAGTAGGCATTTTCTTGTGCCACTGCATCTCACAAATAAACAAGGACATTTAATAATCAAACCCCGCAATAAAATAAATCAAGTTTCACTTTAGTTTTTCAAGTAACTCAACTCAAACTCACTAAGTCACTCACTCAGCATCATCAGACAGGTTTTTAGGAATATGAGAATGTCCACATTTCCAGGTATTTATAAGCTGGGATGTTTGGGCATTTACAATATCCCTGCTCTGTAAAAAAACTCTCTCGCTTGGTACTGATGTTGCTGGGACAGCAGTGGTCGCGTTAACCGAATATTTTATTTAACAATGACGGAAAATCTGAAAGCAGTCTGTCATTTTTGACAGATTAGAACAAACTCGGAACAGCGCCAACGTTCCCCCCGCAGCGAGGCTCTGGTGTTATGCC